AAGTGGAGCAAGAATGCCGACGGCAGCAGACGAGCCAAGGCCCGCCTGATCGTTCGTGGCTATGCCGACCCCGATGCCCTGCAAGGCAAGGTCGAGTCCTCGAGCCCTACTACAAGTCGCCTCAGTCGCACCATTTTGTTGGCTCTTGCAGCCACGTATCGGTGGCCCCTGTGGACAGCTGATGTAGCAACTGCATTCTTGCAAGGTCTGCCACAGGACCGGAAACTCTGGCTGAAGCTGCCTGCCGACGCCCTGGCATTGCTGGGCGCTGATATGGACACCAGGATGCTCCTGATGAAGCCGTGCTATGGTCAGATTGATGCGCCGAGGAGATGGTTCCTGGAAGCCACCCGACGTCTCCGTCATGCAGGATGGCGACAACATGTACTAGATCCTTGCCTCTTTATGCTCTACCCCAACCTGTCGGATCAGACCTACAACAAGGATACCGAGAACGGCAACGTCGAAAACAACACTGGCATCCTTGAGCCGTGTGGCATTGTCTGCCTTCATGTAGATGATCTACTTGGCTCCGGAGACCCACAATCGGAGACCTACCAGGCCGCCGAGGTCAAGCTCAAGGAGATCTTCAACTTCCGGGAGTTCAACAGTGACAAGTCCACACTCCAGTACTGTGGTGCTGAGCTCAAGCAGGTCAACGACATCTGGCACCTCGGGCACCACGACTACCTCCATCGTATCAAGCCGATCACCCAGAACAAGGCCAGCAACTCCATTCAGAAGTTGGACCCGTCCGGAGTCTCTCAACTCCGTGGATTGGTTGGTGCGCTACAGTGGCCGGCTGTTCAGTCCAGCCCGCATATACAATGCTCGGCCTCGATTCTCTCCGGCGAGGTCGGAACTGGCACCAACATGACGATCAACGAGGCAAACCGCGCGTTGAAGTTTGCCAAGGACAACTCTGATGTCACGTTGCAGTACCGGCACATTGGCAATCTGGCAGACCTGCGCCTGGTCACTATGACAGACGCGGGATTCGCTTCCCGATCCGATGGTAGCTCCCAAGGTGGCTACATCACCCTGCTGGTCAACGCCGCCTGCTTTGACGGCAACGAGCTCCCCTACATGGTTTTGGACTGGCGCTCGTACAAGCTACCTCGTGTGTGTCGCAGCAGTCTGGCTGCGGAAGCTCAGGCGGCTGGTCAAGCCGTGGACAGCATGGAAATGGTTGTTCGCGCCTGGGAGCACATTTTCAACCCCAACGTGAAGCTCCGTGACCTCTTGGAAGTTCGCAGCATGCTCAAACCAACTCTGATCACCGACGCCAAGGCCCTATATGACAGCTACCAGCGCGAGCAGTTGGGCGGCAACACAGATCGCCGCACAGGTTTGGAGATCATGGTCATGAAGGAAAGGCTGCAATCGTTCGGCGGACACCTCAGGTGGATGAGCAGTGAGTTGCAGTATGCCGACGGCCAGACCAAACTGTCCACCCGGCAACTTCTTGCAGACCGTTTGAGATCACACCAGCTGAAGCTTTCGTGGGACCCCAGCTTCACCGCTGCCAAGCGCAAGAGCAAGGCCGAACGTCAACAAAACATGCAGGAGGGAGCTATTCCCAAACCACTCGCGCAGGGCGATGTTATGGTCTCTTTCTGCCAAGCCACCTACGTGGACAACCAGAAGAACACGCTTGTGGAACCCGAGGGCACGTTTGTCGAGCCCTACGCTGAGGTCATGGACTATGCCGTGATCACCCTCCTCCTGATGTTCGGATGGTGTGTGGTTCGGAATGCACTGAGCTGTTCTTGCTCCGGCCGAAACCATACGGCCGTGACCGATGCGGTCGTGCAAACCGATCCCATGCCCATGGATCCCGTGATCACCACCCTGGAAATGAACTTGGAAGAAGCCAACAGCAGCAACGAGCACCTCATGGGTCAGAACTTTCGGATGCAGACGCTACTCCGTGAGCTACAACAACGCGAAGTGCAGCCCACAGGCCCCATTGTGCTCTCCCGCTACGGCAGTGTTTGGCATGTGAACCGTGAGTGCCGACACCTCCGTGGTGTGAATGTAGAGGTCCGCCGTGCGTGCAGGACCTGTGTGCCTCAGCCGACCGGCTGAGTGAAGGCTTTCTTCCCCGTGTGAGTTGCGTGCCACGCAACCGGCATTTCATGGCATGTGAAACCTGTACATCCATATCATGTGTGGCCGTGATGGCCCGAATCCCCTCTCATCCCACATAGGGTGGGTATCTGCCGTTTGACGGCACCGACCGATGGCTACGCTGAGCAGGAAAAGGGTCTACCTCCTGCACCTCTTCTTCGTTTTCTGGATTGGGGACTTCGTTAGCCCCTGCCAATCCATTGAGAAGGGTATTTCTGGAGTAGTCCATTTTAGTAGGGGGTTTCCCTCCCAACCAAAAGAAAGAAATGGTGAAAGTTGGCACATTTCTGGGGACCGAGTTTTGGAGGACTCAAACCATCCGCCTCCACAAAAACGTGTGGCACCGGCGAAAAACGTCTGGCCGCGCGGCTGCCGTCAACGTCAGCAGATTGCCCGACCTTGCTTCCGGTGCTCCCAGTCGGCACCAATGAGAATCGATCCAAAAAGGTTGCTCAACCTAGGAACCACTTTTCGGATGGTTTCAAAGGGAAACCAAAAGGAACCCACCTGGAGGGGTCCCCAATAGTGGATCTAGGTCGAGCGTGCTTGGTGGGTTCCTGCAAGCAAAAAGGTCAATCCCAGCCGCTCTGAAACACTCCAGGGCCCATCTCAGAGACCCAAAAGCGCTTCGAGCTCAAGTCTTTGGCTAGGTCCTCCATTAGAGAGCTTAGAATAAGGATATATAGGGGTACCGACTTTTTTCCGTCCATTTTAGTAGGGGAACCATTCCCCAAAAAAGGGTAAAAGAGCACTACTGGGGGACCTTGTTGGATACCCTCCCACTAACATGGCAGCTGACACAGGGTACCCCCAAGAGGAAAGTCATTTTCCGGGTACCCGCCCACAGGTGCTATGCTTGTTGGTATATTGGGTAATCCTTGAACTGGATGACAGTACATGTGGGCCTGCCTTGTTGCTCGCAAACCCAAGATGGTTTGGTTTCCCTTGAGCTGAAACAACTCCAGGCAAAATGCGCCCTCCAAAAACGACAGGCCCATATGGCTGTGGGTCAAAACCAACAATGGCATCCCTTTTTGGGGTAGGTGCACCACCCATTTTAATCCATTTTACTGGGGATTGGGATGTTCACTGGGGGTACGATTTGGCTTTTGACCCATGGCCATCTTGCCATCTCGCCCCTTGCCTCGAAAAAATATCAGGGACCCCACCCCCTCGCCCCGGGTGCCAGCAAAGCCGCTTTGGATCCTCTTTCAGCACCACCTCCATGGCCAAGATCGCCCCCATGCACCCGGCGAAGACCATCGCCACCGGAACCTCAGCTTTTCAGCTTTGTTGGGGCGGAAAATGGGGTTGATCCCAATTCCACTCTTCCACCATCGTTTCCAAAAACTGGATCCGTTTTTCCTGGGTTTCCGGCGGTTTTCTAGAAAGAAGGATCCCTGGAAAGAATGGACATGGAAGGTACCCCTAGAACCATGGGCGGTTTCAAGCTACGTTCACTACTTTAAGGCTCCTTATAAAGCTCCTTATAAGGCTCCTTGCAAGGCTCAGCTCATGAAGCGCCAACGTTCCTGGTTCTTAAGTGGCTTGAACACCCAAAGGGCCCGATCATAGGCTCGTGTCCGCAAGGATCGGCAAGGTTTCGGTCGCCCTAGCGCGCCCCAAACAAAAACTGCCCGGACAGATCTGCAGCATGGCAAACACCCGAGCGTCACCCGAAACTCATTGAGATTCTTGGTTCCACAAGAATCGATTTTGTTTAATACTCTGTTCTTAAAAAAAAAAAGAAAAGAAAAGATAAAAACAACAAAAACAAATAACAGGCCTCAATACAAACCGCGCGATTCAATTACACCAAGTAGAGCCACCAAAAACTGGATCCATTGTCGCAGGACATCCTCAAGATGACCCTCCTGGAGTTCTTTTTAAGGACATCATCGGGACCCCCAATTTTGTCCCTCAAAACTGGGCTGCCCAAACTGATCCCCCGCTAAAAGTGACTAACTGTTAGTGGGTGAAATTCGGAAACTACCACTAAACTAGCAAAAAGGCTAAAAAACTAAGGAACCAGATGGCTGGGAGCCACCAAGAAAAATGGGTTTCGCTGGATTCCCACGCACCTTTGAGAGCCCTTCAAGCGCTTCAAGGGGGACGAGTGCCAGGCCCTTGTGGCCGAGTGGCGAAAACTGCTCCGTCGGCCATGGCGCTACCATGGGCGCGGGCGCGGATCCGCGGTTTCCGTTTGCTTCGCGCGGAGGTCTTTGACTCAGATGACCATAGTGAGATTCATTGCAGTGATCCCTGGCTTTCCGAACAGGAACTTCTTACAGCCCATCACATCGAGTAATCATGTAGGTTTGTTTGGGGACCGCTCTTTTGGTCCGGTGAATCAGTGGAAGGGAAGAACAGGATCCACAAATACAAGGTTCATGCTTTGGGGGCCTGCCTAAAAAGGGGACCAAAGGGAGGAACCAAAAGATCACTGCAGGTTGATTCGCTTTGGGCAGATAGGAAAGCAAGCATACAACTTCAGTCCTGCCAAACGCTTTGTCTCCACCACGCCCCATGGAACCGGCAAGTCTCGAGAGCCAGATGTGACGCGAATCTTTCTGCTTTTTGAGCGCAACATCATTCGGGATTCCGGGATTTATGGGTGTTGCTGAAAGTAGGCCATACGAGAGCATGCCTGGCATTGCCTTTTATGAGATTCTATAGGGTCCAAATTGCACCCTTTGTCCGGTCTGCCCTCAGATCCCCCGCTAAAACTGACGAACCTTTAGTGGGTTAAAAGGAAAAACATGAAACAACTACGACTAAAAACTAGAAGGCTAAAAAGCTAAGGAACCGGATGGCTGGGAGCCACCAAGTTAAGAGACACATCCATGCAGGTCTTCTGAGACACTCCGCGCCTTGGCAATGAGTTCTGATCGGATCACCGAGCCCCAGTAGGCGTCTCCTTCTAGCGCCTGCGACCAGCGCTTGAGTCGCATGCGCTAGCTTTCTCTCCGCCAGTCGCACGGAATGGCCTGAAAGGACTCTGAAAAAACCCAGGAAGTCCATTTACCTGGAGACCATCCATTTGAAAACCAAATAGAAAATGGCTGGCGACCTATAGGGGCAAATGGGATCCATTGGGGAAAGTAACAATTCATTGGGGATCCCCGATTCAAGCGCATCCTCGCTCGGTTGCTTTCTGCTCCCTTGCTAAGTTTAAGTTTTGGTGGTTTAATGGAAAACCCATTAGTTGGCAAAAAGTGAGAAAGCTTGGCAAAATGCACCAAAGAGGTTATGCCAGAGATCCACCCCAAGAAAGTCAAGAAATAACAATAGGGTATCGACGCCATTTTGGGCCGAAGAACCCCTCTGAACCGTCCAAAGCTCAGTCTTGACGATGTCAACCTCGCCTTGCGGACTTCATCGAAGACACACATGGGCCGGACGTCTGCTGGAAGTGCTTCTGGCGAGCCGTCGCCCACGTGGATGGTCTTCACCTCAGGCAACCGGAGACCCCTTACACCCAATACCCACTTTTTGTTAGGGTATCATGGCGACCCTCTACTAAAAAAGGAGGTATTTACCATGGAAACCCAGGTTTTTCAAAAAAAAGGGAAACACCTTTTTGTAAAAAAATGTGGGTATTTGGAGTAGGGTACTTTGACACCTTCAGCTTCCACGACTCGGTGGCTTGGAGTGGTGCTTTAGCTTCCCTGTTCCCCTTAACAAACACCAAGGGTTCAGCCCGAAAAATCCCCAACCCAAGGGTTACCTGCCACCTTGTGAGGGGCCAGCCCCCCCCCGACAAACTCCATTTTGAAGTGGGTGGGGATGCCCTTCAAAACCGCAAGCAGAGGTTTCGATTTAGAGTCGGGACCAAGCGATGTGCCCCGGGACAGTTCCGTGGTCAGCCTCACCGCAAACAGCAGGCTGCTTTGCAGCCCACTGAAAAACGAACAGGCACCAAACACACTAGTGGTGACCCCGTATTAGTCAACCCCAGCTTATTATAATAGGGGGTGTGATGATTCCCCACTAAACCCAGGGACGCCCCCCATATATATATATATATATATATATGTATATACGTGGGGTCAACATTCCTCGGAAATCGTGGCAAAGAGTGCAGGGAACTCCAAATTTCTCTCAACTGAGAGGTCGGCCCGGTTCCCGCAGAAGTCCAGGATAGCATCACGCTCCTCCCGAGACCAAAGCAAAACCAAAGCTCCAAGCCTCTCAAGGGCACCCCAAAGAGGGGACCCGGTCCCCACAAAAAACACTATAGGAAATAGGGAGTAAGCGGATCACCTTGTGAGGATCCACTTTATTTTCAGGCTTAAGGTTCAGGTCTAAGATGGCTTCACCCCAATCCTCCACCAGGACGAGGGAGAAAACAGGGCTATAATTATATCCCATTTAAACCCCTGGTGGTAGCAATTTGGGGATAGCGTAATCTATAGTAGAAAGCCACACCTGGAATGGACATACGGCCCACACACGCTTTCATACATATACGTACTTGTGCATGTGTTTCTGCGTGCAAATGTACATCTCTTGTTCTGCAATGTTCTGCATACATGCAACTCGCATCGAAAGCTGCAGATTCAAAGGTGTGAGCTATGGGTGTGGTTCAAAAACCAATAGCCAGACCAGTTCTTGTCTTGCCCATGTACCAGGTTTCCATTTTGGGTCCCTTAGCCTCACACATATACTACCCAAACAGTCGAGTCTTCTGGGCAAAAGGGTCAAAGCCTGGAATTCTGGAATACTTTGTCCTTCCAAAATTCCTGGTGTCTCCTTAGCTCCCTTGTAAAAAGGCCCAAATATGGCTATCCCCAGCTCCCTAACAGCTCCCTTCCAACCACTAGCTAGTCGTGGAGCTTTCCGGGATCTGGAACTGGAGCTCGGGAGCTGGGCAGGCAGAAGCCGAAAATCACCAGAGGGTTCACCAAAACAGGGGGCGGCCGGACTCGGCAAACGTTTAAGTATATGGCTGTGGGTCAAAACCCTGTCCCTGGTGAACATTAAAGTAGGTGGCAAATGGATGTTCATCCACCTCAAAATGGAGCCATAGGTTATGCCCCCATGGCCATATACCTAGAGGTTAGAATAAGAGTTGAGGAATCATGAGCACTTTGTCGCAGGTACCCTATTGTTCGGAGATTTTGAGCCTCCAAAAAATGCAACCATGCATCCTGGAGACTTGTTAATTTCCTCTCCCAGGAAGTCCTGGTTGGGTTGGCGGTTTTTGGCATGGCCTCAAACAAATCGCATTTGGCCGCGATCCGCAAAAAACGCCCAACGCCCGCACCCCCCCATCCCCCCCCCATCCGGACACTTAAATGCAAATTCAACGCCAAAGATGAAGGAGAAACCACTAAAAAGATCCAGATCTAGAAAATGAAAATATATCCTTGCAAGGCCCGGGAAGCCGCAAGCTGAACCCACGAAGCCCACCGAGGGCTCTCCTGGTGGTAGGTCACCAGGCGGGTGCGAATCCTGGCGCGGCACATTACGGTCGATGACCTGTAGCTTGGTTCGGGCCTAAAAAATCGAGCAAGGTGGACCAAACCGGGGACCAAAACAAAAAGCTTACAGGTCGGCTTTGCGCAGCTGAGAAGTTTTATGGGGAGAAGGAGAGAACAAAAAGTTGGCCTTCCTTCAAGTTCCATAGTCGAGTGAAATCCAGGAAGCCCACGCCCCAGTTGACATGGGCGGTTTAGCCGTATAGCGCTTCATCCATCCCAAGATGTTCCAAGTGTAGGTGTTCAGCATCCCCCTCATTGCTTGGTTTGGTTCGGACAGGGGTTTCCCATTTGCCCCCATACGAATCACGGGTTCAAATCCAGATCCAAACCACCAGTTTAAATGGCTGTGGGTCAACAATAGGTACCCCAAATGGCTTGCCCTGGTAAATGGAAACATGGACCACAATCTGCAGTCCCCTGGTGATTTAATATTGACCGATCCTGAGCTACGTCTTCTTGGGCCCTGACTTCTCAGGCGTATCGTCTTCACGCTGGATAACGCGACGGGCCACGTCCGGCGGCGGGGGGTTGTCCTGGACGGCGAAGTGGAGTGGCCTTAAGACAGCTTCCCCTCGGTTTCTGGTAGACGATTGAACCACCAGGTGAACCAGGCAACCCCCTTTATTTTTCAACCAAACCAACCAAAAGGGGCACCTATGCTCAGAACGAGCGGGTTGGTGGTTCGGCGGCTTGCAGGTCCGTGGGTTTTCCCATTCGCCCTCTACAAGATGTTCAATCCCCCAAGCCACCAATCCAAGTCACCAACAAGGCAATCTGATTGTAGGGGTTTCCCTGGTGGATTTTCTTCAGGGCGGCTTTGCTTAGAATCCGGTTGGTTGGCTCCTCTTGAAAATGTCCCGTTTCCTTCGTCAGGGTTGAAATACCTGCAAGGTTCTGAAGAGTCTTCGTCGAGGTTAGCATGAGGGGAGGGGTTCTCACTGTGATTCCAGGGTATAAGGACGCCGTGGGAGCTTCATTTTGACCCATACCCGTAATACCCGTACCGTCATTTCTCGGTTGCTTTCTGCTCCCCTGCTAACAGTTTAACTTTTAGTGGCTTAATACGGAAGACCCATTGGTCGGCAAAAAGTTAAAGTCCCAACATCCCTTGCCAAAATGCGCCAAAGATTTAGGTACCCATACCCGTACCGTCACTTGGTGCTGACCAAGTGGATGGCAATTTCCCCCCCGCGAAGTCCAGGCCTCGCCTCCCGCGCCTCCCGCCCTGGCCTTGACGTGGTAGATCTTCCCGCTCAGCGGGTCGATGCGGCGCCCGGCGATGCGCTCGATCACCACCTCGTCCGCCACCTGACGGAGACCCCAAGCAAGGCGCAGCGAGAAAGGTCCGGTGAAGTGCCATTGACATGTCGACCCAGCTCCAAAATGGGCCCCTTTTCCTCTTGGTGGCCGTTCAAAAAAGCAACCAAAAACAAAAAGTGCCAACTCAAAAACAAGACATTGCACCCATCTCAGGAGTCCGTTTCGGATACAAAAGCCCAAGGGTTCAGGTTGGGCCTCTCACAGGCTCCACTCCACAGGACAGCCACTGGGCTGATGGCTTTGGGGTTGTGGGGCCCTCAAGTTACTCCACCCCACCCCGCTGAAAGGCCATCTATGCGTAGGGCTAGGGCGATACGACCTGAAGGCGCGGGCCAGAATTTGTCCAAGTTCCAAGTCCGGAACATGGTCTGAGTCATGTGAGTGTGGCTCAAAATCAAACAAGAGGGGTTACGCAGGTTTTGGTCCATGTTTCTACTTACCAGGGTTCCATTTTGGTACCGGTTTTTTGAGCCACAGCCATGTGGGAATAACACACTATACAAGTCATGTGGTTGGAGTTGGCTTCTGTTGGCGTGCGCCCTCTGGTGGATTGATTTTGACCCATATGCATATGGCGTCGTGTTGGTTGTGGCACCCTTCTCACATCCCATCGTCGCATATTTCAATCGCACCATCCCAACCGAAGCTCTCCACAAACGTCTCTCGCCAAGGCCTTCAAATGGATCACAGCGGAAATGTTCACGCCGGCCTTCTCCAATGACTCCGCCTGCACCCAAGAAAAAGACCACTCGACATGGTTACTGTCAACCCTTGCACGACCAAATTGAGCGCATCCATGACAAAACATCACGCGAGGTTTCCTGACCCGGCACCTGAACATGGCCTGAAGAGAGCCCCCTTGCGCAGTCAAAAACGTCCTTGTCGGCCACAAATAAACTGGGGAAGTAAGCCCATACATGCTTTTCCACAAAGCAGGCCCGTGCGGACGTGTGTCTATTCTGCAACGGGCTGTTGGTTTAAGGTGATGATGGACATCTTTTTCGAGTTGGGATGTTTAGGGCTCGAGGCAATTGCAGGGATCCTTACATTATACAACTGAACATTGCCTTGTAAATGGCGGTTTCCCTTTGTTTTGGTGGAAAAAGCCATGTTTCAATTGGGCAAAATGTATCTTTTAAGCCCTGAATTGCCAAGTCCATGGCATCTGCAAGGTACGCCCCGTCTTTCGACCCCCAACAAAGGCCCTGATTTCGCCTGGGCGCGGGTGCGGGGGAATCCGTCCAGCAGGACCCCACGGGAGCAGTCGCTGTCCGCGAGCCGCTCCTGCGACTCTGTAGGTTCGAATCAGGCTGAAACCAAAAAACAACGAAACCCTATGCAACCCAGCTCCAACCAAACACCTATAACCGTATGAAACCACGCAGGAAACAGGTTGCACGCAAAAACTAGGTCCCCCAGCACAGAGGTTAGAAAAAGGCTACCAACTTTTTTCTTTAGTCTATTTTGGAAGGGGAACCCACCCCCAGAAAAGAAACGGTAAAAGGGCACTACTGGAAAACCCAGACAATCCAGACACAATTATCCAGTGGCCTGCAGTGGGTTGTGGCCTAGGTTGCTGTTACAACTTCCTAAGTTAGCTAAGCACTTATGGACTCCCGACAAAGTCTACCATGATTATTGTCCATGATTATTGTGCTTTTGTTTTTTCCACTGGAAACAACAATTTTTTGTTTAACACATCTACACAACTGGATGGTACTCCGACAACAAACTTCGAACACCGGGCGAATTTGGAGGCTTCGGTGGTATCTGGGGCAATGGTCCGCGGGCTTCTCCATACCACCGCCTGGGGATTTCTAAACAAAACGGGAAGGGCACAGTTGCAAGCCTCCATCGGGACCCTGGTGTTTTTGGCGCCCCCTGTGCTCTTTGAAACAAACCTCGAATGGGCTTGGATTCCTCTTTGATGCGGTCCTCACCCTGGCTTCAACAGCTTGAACTTTTGGTTTCGCCCCAAGCCCGCTGAACAAAGACAACCAACACATGGTCAACTTTCAAAGGCTTAGTTCTGCGTGACAAGTTGGCAAGTGTGACTTGGGAGTAATCAACCTGTGATTCATAGTGTCCCATTTAGGGGGTCCTTCCTTTCTCCATTTAGGCCAAACAAACTGATGCGAGACACCTGTGAATGGGTGGCGTGTCGATTTTGGGTCACACCTTGTGGGGGATGAGGTTCAAGCCCCCAACTCTCATCTTCCCAAACCTTGGTATAGCAGCAACTTTGTTTTGGCAGCCACTAAGCACGCTCAAGACCAACAACTACAAAGAAGGCACATGGAATCAAAGTCCCGATGGGCACTTGTTTGGGCGATGTTTTGCAGCCTCACCCTCTTTGAAAAACAGGGGCCCAAAGAAGGCTTACCCCCCGAGCTGGACACTTACAGTTACAGTTTATTTTGCAGCCCGGAACTCGAAAAAAAGAAGAAGACAAAACACATACCCTAAATGAAGGAGGTTGCAAAATAGACCCCAAGTGTCCATCATACCCCCCCCAACCACCGCAACTGCCCCAAAGACGGTGGTTGCAACTCAGACCCCGGTGAGGCATGGCTGGGGCTCCTTGAGCATCGAGACCACCACGTCATCCGGGACCTGAGCTGGCCTCCAAAAACCAATCAGGCTGCAAAATCACAGGGTGAATTAACATATTTCACCAGCCTGAAAGAAGGAATTCCGTTGGGCCATTCACCACCTAAACCCACCAAAAATGGTATGAATTCGGTCGTGTGAGGCCTTTTTGGAGGGGTCCACTTGAATATCCAGGTTCACTCCACTGAACGGGGGACTTATAAGTGGGCTATAACCTTGGTTACCGGTACAACCTGCTAACTTGGAAAGAAGAACACCCAAGTGAAAAGGGGTGATTCCCCCACAAGGGTTTCTGGTGTCCCTTGAACCCCCCAGCTCCGAGCTGCAAGGCGTCCACTGGAGAGGTACTCGGCCAAGGAGGGTAGGAACTTGGCCCGCGCCCGCAGCAAGTCACCCGTGGAGATGTGGACCATGCCTGAGGTTTGGCGTCCGACCAGCTCGGTAAGTGGGTGAGTTCCCGTGGTTTCTATGTGGGGTAACACGCAGAATCCGCTTGGGGGTTCGACTAAAGCTGCCACTTTTGGAGGCTCCGAAAAGGGAAACAGGGGTTGCTTGGCGGTTCAACCAGGGTCAGAGGAGGTGTTTTTTTTCAGCTGTAGCCAATGTCAATAAGTGAGGTAACTGGGTTGGTTCCATTGTATCCAGGGTTTTAAGTTATAACCTGCTTTATGGAGTAGCTTGAACATCCAAGCAAAGGATAAACCGAAATCCTACCCATTCCCGTTGCTTCTCCGGAAAATGACAAACTGGGCATCTGAAAGCGATGACCAGGTCCTTTCAGGGCCATCTTAAAGGGAGGTCAGCTTACACCATGTTGCTTCCCGAGGTCCTCCAGTAGATAGGTTAGAATAAGGCTACCAACTTTTTTTCGGTCTTGTCGATTTTCGTCGGGGGTTTCCCTCCCAACCCCAAAAAAAAGAAGCGGTAAAAGTTGGCAGCAATTGCTGGGGAACCGAGTTCCCAAAAGCACCGTTTCCCCCGTCCTTTGAGGGCCTTGGAGGTCGGCCCTCCAGGTAAACCACTTCCGGACGAGAAAAGAACAAGGTCTTTGGACGAAGGGCCCCAAACCAGAAAAAAAGAAGAAAACAAACAGAACTGAAAAACTAGTCTCAAGTCTGGAATGTTCGCACACTGCGAACGAAGACCGCTAGAGTTCATTCACACAAAATGGAACTCCTCGCCCATCAAATGAGCTGGTTGGCTCTTTGCCACTTGAGTGGTTACCTAACAAGTTTAAAGTCTTCCATTTGGTTGAGGCCCCAGGACAAATAAACAAAATATATATGTCCAGTAGTGATGAATTCCTTTTCAAACCAACCAGGGAAAATCAAAATATTCATTTCAGCAAACTCAGGGAGTGAGATGTTCAGACTTCCGTTTGAGGAGAGATCCCTCCTCCGCAGCGCGTAAAAACAAAAAAACTGTGGGGGATCTATTTGGAAGAAACCGGCTTGGCCTCCGACACTTCTACCCAATTAAACATGACATGTTTGGGCATCAGGCTTTTATAATCAAGTTGTTCCGTGTTACCACTGTAGTAGGTAACCCTTCGCCATGCTCCTTTTGGTTCTTAAAGGGTGGGAAACACCCTGGTTAGCCATGCTACAGTTAAAATGGATGCACAGGGTCCATGTAGGGATTCTTGCATGATCCATTTGGAGGGATGCCGAGGGTGGCCTTCCTACCCGAAAAGAAGTTCGTCATCCACCCTCAGAAGAAACCCACTGGCAAAATGGAGGGATGTGGGTACATATGCCATGGAGTGTTTGAGAAAACGACAAGACATGGAATCCTCTCTCCCGCTCTCTCTCCGCAGCTGTCCCCCACAGCCGAAATTCTAGGGGTTGATTCCAATTCCATTCTTTTCAACCATCGTTCTTTTCAAGAACCGGATCTGCTTCCAACCTGCGATTTTGATGGCTTCCTGAAAAGATTTCGGATCCCCGGTTTCGAACGGAACTGGAAGCTAGCTCTAGAGAACTACATCCGTCGCTCGCCAAACGCCGCACCCAGCGGCCGAAGCGCTCCGCCAAGAAGTTCGCCTGGGTGCCCTTCCCGCCTGCCGAACGGACGGACGCACACGCGGAGCCGAGGCCGTGGATGGATTTTCCGGCTGTGTTGGAGCCCCAAAGACTGGGCTTCTTGGCCGGAGGGTTTGGTTTAGGGCTTCTTGGCCGGAGGGTTTTCGCGTCCTCTAAGGTTTCCTGGCGTTGGGGAGAAAAATCAGAAGGTGGACCCCATATTTCAGCTTCCCTCCAACTGGGCTGCCCGATTTCAGATCCCCTGCTAAAAGTTTGACTCACTTTTTGTGGGCTAAATCCGGAAATCTGACCACTAAACACCGACGAGGCGACAAAGCTAAGGAACCGGATGGCTGGGAGAAAGCCATGCGTAGCGGTGCCTCTCCCTTTGTGATCTTGATAACCTGCAGGGAAGTTTTACATCTCTTTGGCTCCCTTGGGATATGTTGGGCATCGTTCGCTGGGGTTGAACCAAGAAGAATCAAGAAAGGGAATGGGAAGCGGTCTCCAGCAAGGGCAGAAAAAGGAAGCATACCTTGATTCCTTTCCATACGTTTTCCAGAGCAAAGTATAGGAAGCGCGCTTTGTGAACCACCTTTGTCGGGGCTGGAGCTGTGCTGATGGAACAACTGGTGGCATCTCAAACTGAGGCCAGGCCCAAATTGGTTGGTTTTCCTTTTGGCCTCCCTTTGTAAAACCAACCGAAAAGGGGTTTCCGAAAAATCAGAGACACACCTAACCACCATGTAACCACCAACCTACCATGTGCTTCCCTGTCCTTCCATTCCGCTTGCTTGGCGTGTATAGCTTCCATAATTCCAGCTCTAGCTGAAAATAGTATGGAGGGGTGCCCGTGCCATGGAAATACTTGGCATCACTCGGCCACGCGGCCGGCCTGCGGGTGGGCCCAAGAGGATGATGTTCACCTGGGATTGGGGGCGACAGGGCTCTTTGGATTTCCCCAAATCCACAAGTTGATCAGGGATCCTTACATTATACAACTGAACATTGCCCTGTAAGTGGTGGTGTCCCTTGATCTTTGGTGGAAAAAGGCCATGTTTCAAATGGGCAAAATGTATCTTTTAAGGAGCCCTGTTGATCAATTTACGAGTGGTTTCCATTGAAAGTCGAGACAGCCGCTTCTGGAGGTTCCAAAAATGGAAAGTCGAGGAAACTCTGGGGAAGCGGTTCAAACATTTCATGACCAGAGGTACGCTGTGGACGGATTCCCGAAAATATGGCGCATGAATGGGCGATTGAAAGTTGAGCACGCCTGAAGAAGCTTTTGCGGCTTTCCTCCGAGCGGTTTGCAGCCGAATCGGTGGATTTGCTAAGGGTAGTTTGCCCATTTACCCTCTACAAGAACCAAGGGTTCAAATCCGAATCCAAACCACAAATTCTGGATCCCTTCCAGTGACTTTTCGAGAACAACACCCCTATGAAAAAGGATGGGTTACGGTTTATTCATCTGGGGTCACCCTCCTGTGCATAGGTGCCCACGAATGTGAAGGGGTTTACATGTCGATGCGCCCGTTTTCCCCGGGAAAAGGAATGTTTGGCTGCGGGTCAAACATGGGTACCCCAACAAACATGAACCAACCGTCTGGTAAAATCTGGTAAATGGAAACATGAACTATATAAATTCAACCTGGTAAAATCTGTTTGTTCTGGTTGCCTCACAAAATGACCCACAGCCATTTGGCGCTTTCTCTTGCCGTCTGCTTGGGGAAGCTGGGAAACCGGCCGGAGGTCCTCCCGGCACCACAATGGGCTGGCCTGACACGAAGCGAGCGACAGAAACCCCGAGGCTCCAAGCACCGTCAAAACCAGACGAAATTGGAAGCTTCAGAATTTGTTAGGGTCAAAACTGGCAATTTGCCATGCCAAAGACCCAAAAACGCGTAGCATCATGTAGCACGGTGGTAATTGCACCATACGACTTCGTGCCACTGACTTCCGGCTGCCTGTAGCAGATGCTAAGTGGAGAACCTGAAGGCTCAAGTCTAGGCCCTTCCAGTGGCTGGTCCTTATTGCGGACTACTGGATATTGCAAAGGGAGGAGCATGACTTCGTCCGGGTTCGGACTGGGCTTTCCCCTGGGCCGATTTCACTCCTCTGCTAGTTAGTGGTTTAATGGGAAACCCAGTAGTTGGCAAAAACTTAAAGTCCTAACATCCAAGCAACATGCACCAAAGATGCTTTTTCATGTTTTTCCCTTGGCTTCCCTAACATCACCGCATTCCGTGGTCCCCCGCAAGCTGAGGCTCAGGCTCATGTCGGCGTGCTGTGCGCCATGGCAGCGTGACTGTGGACCCAGACTATTGGTCTGCAAGTCTTTTATTTCCCATGCGTGCACGCGTGCACATTCATGACCGTATAGGTAAATGTCGCTTTATCTGGTATGTGTATCTCACTTGCCCAAAGGACCCAGAAATAAAAGGTTAATCTTTTGGGTACCTAGCGTCACGTCACACTGTTGGCTTGCCGGTTGTTGAACTGTTGTCAACAACAACAACGTGTGCGGTGCGGGCGTGTGTCTTGGTAGGCTATCTTTTCGGCTCAGTTGATCTGGGCAACCAAGAGAAATACAAACATCTTCCGCACCTTCATGTCAATGTGCATCTCCTTCCGTCGCTGGCCTGTGCTCAGCCCCCAGCTGATCTTAGAGTGCTGCAGCTTTCCGGACATATCTTTTCCGTTGGCGAAGCGACCCCGTTTGTCTCGCACCTTTCCAAAGACGACCTTCTGTTTTGCCCAAAAAAACCACCCCTCTTGATCTTCATGCCTTGCCAAACATATTTTGCTCTTGGGCCCATCCCAACAAGGGACCGCACTTGAGATTGGCACCCGCAAATATCGGCAGGGCGACCAGCCTTGCGGATCTTTGAACAGCCCCGGCAGCCCTTCCCCTACAAAAAGCGAACTGACGAAGCTCGTGTTTCTGCTACCAACTTTCCCAGCATAAAGTGGGCATCTGCAGTTGACACTGTATAAACAAACATCTCTAGTCAAAATAAAAGCTATGACATAAAACAGTTTGATTTCGGATACTTTGAAAAACTCTGGTCCCCCGAACTAACGCGGAAGAGTTCAGGCCCCTGTAAATGGAACCAAGTCTTCCATTTCGGGGTCCCAGAACAAATTCGAACTGTTTGTTCATTTGGATTGTTTGACTATAAACTCACTCAGATGTCCAGTGGCCATGGGCCAAATTTTGGCACCTTTTTTTTGCTTGGGTGAGTTTAAAGAAAAAACACCCTTATCCCAAGGCAGCACCCCACTGGCAACAGAGACCACTCAGATGTCTGTCTGGACAATTTCAGGTTTGAGAACCTCGGGCGCTAAAAATGGAATGGCTTTCGCCGCCAAAAGTTCCGCGACGGCGCTGCCGAATTCCCGGCCTTCGGCGCGTGCCTCTGCCTCCGCCTCCGCCTCCCGAGTGTCCGCAAGCTGCTGGAGGCCTCCGGGAGCCGAAGAAAAACAAGAAGAGCCACGTGTGAAACGGAAAAAAATGGACCCCACAAACCAAATAAGGGTTCCCCAAAAAAAACAAGGGTTCCACGGAACCTAAGGGTGGCTTCCATGTCCATTCGAAACCCAGGGATCCGGATCCGGAAAACCTCCTTTTGAAACCCAGGGAAAACGGATCCGGTGATTGAAAAGAACGATGGTTGCAAAGAATGGGAAATCAACCCGTGGAAATCGACCCCAGCTTATTCATAGCGGAGTTCTTCCCCTGCGATGATTCCCCACTAGGGACGCGTCCCCATATTAATCAACTGGCCCAGGGTTGATTTCTATGGGCTCAACATTGGGAGACTGTTGTTTGTGTTGTTCGCATTCTTCGGCTTGTTGGTCTGCTTGAGTGGTTGTGTTTTCCACACAGAGACATGAGAGGAATATGTGTTGCTTTGTTTGCTTGGTTTTGTGTTTTGGCTTGGTGGTCGGCTTCTTTTGCTTGTTTGCTCGCTTGCTTGTTTGTTTGTTTGTTTGCCTGCTTGTTTCGAACATCACCCTGTGACACACAAATGGAGTACCAATCCCATGACCTCTATTACTGAAAAGGTGGATCCCTTGGCACCACCGATCATGGCCCAAAAAGACTCTAGCTCCAGTCATGAAATGGTTCAAAACCCAGGATGCCTTGTGGTTTTCTCGGAGCTTCATATTGCATGTTGACCTTGGGGGTTGTTTAAACAACTAAAAGCAAGCCAGCCATTTTGCCACGGCTCCCAAAATGGGCACTAAAACCAAGCCACCAAATTGGCCACTCACCGCATACCCCTCTCCCCAAACAAAAATGGATGGAGTCCCTTTGGATCCGCTGTCGGAAATTACCACTTCCATGACACCACGATACCACAAAAAGGGTTTCCCAAAGCCTAATCCGGCAAATAAAGGGGGAGACTTCCAAAAGTATCACGGAAGTTGGATAAACCCCGAGTGATCCAACACAACCCTGATCCTCTTCGTTTCCCGTTTCTCTTTCTGGCTTGGGCTCTAGCGCTGGTTCTCCGCCCTCAGCTGCAATAAGGCAGCTTCAGCGGAGGCCTCGATGCGCAGGGAAAGCAAACCCAAGAGGCGCCTAGTTGCCCCATGTAGCGGGTAGCCAGTCATTTGCCTTTTTGGCGTTTGAAGGCTCTTGGCTTTTGAAGGTTGTCTTTTTCTCCTTGGCTGCCTGCCATTTGTAAAGGGATCCACTGAGAAAGGTTGGCTGACTGTTTTGAAGAGCAAAGGAACCCCTGACCTCGCTCCATTTATGGCAGCTGACGATCGGAGGGGTTGGAAAGACGACAGCGTTCCCTTTGGGCACGCCGTCAGAACCCACTTCCGTGATTGTTGGCACAGGGCGGTTCCAAGGAGGGTTCATGATGTTGGGGAAATCAGCTGATCTATTCTTTTGGCGGGCCAGACTTTGCACTGACACACATGGCCAAAAGAATGCAATAAACTCACCAGCACTCAAAAGCATACCCAGCCACAAAGGCGGGCTTCCGTCTAACTGGTGCTTTGGGTTGGTGGTTTCGAGTATCCTCTGCAAAAGCCAGGGGTTCAACTCCAAATTGTAACCTGCTCAAGCGATCATGGGGCGACGTGGGGTAACGGACAGAAGGAAGGTTCTCCCCGGGTATTTTCAACAGTTCCGGAACCGAATCTCCGGAATTCTGAAAGCTGCCCCAAACCCCCCGCCCCCCCCCGCCTATGGACCCCCAAGACGCTGAGTCGGCTGTTGGGGAAGAAACAGTCACCAAACTTTTCGGATCGAGTCGCGGAACTCAGAAATGATTCCTCCAGAGCCCAACGTTTCTGGGCAAGGAACACGGCAAGCCTGCTGTTTTAGGTGCCATGTTTCTGGTTTCTTTGGGGGCCACCTATGTGTGGGCTCCACCTTTTGACACCTATACGCACCACCGACCCTTTCCTCGGGCCCAGGCAGCACGCGCCAAGGCTTCATTAAGCTGGGACTGCAGCTGGCCCTGCTCCTGGGCCTGGCGACTTGCAGACGGGACGAAAGGCCCCCCCCCCATTTCCATGGCGATTTGAAGGTGTTTGGGTAGGGTGAGTTGGTAGACATGGCGATTTGAAGGAAGGGGTGTTTGGGTAGGGTGAGTAGATGGCACATGCCCATTCCCGCTGTGGCAAAGACCAAACCAACATGAGTTGAAAGCAAGCTCGATCTGGCCAAATCTCGATTGCTTTTGGTTCGATTCGAAAAGAGACGCATAGCTCGAGTCACACAGATCCAACCTGCCTGCTGCTCCTTGGCAAGCTGGTCCTCACCTCAGCAGCCCAAGGCTCCGTATGGTAACTAGTTTTCCCTTGAAGAACGTGGGCCCGTGGTTTTTGTGCGTAACTTAGCCCCCATGCCCCTCTCAAAGCTCTCTAAGTATGGGAACACCCCGATGAACTAATACCAGTTTACTTGGGGGATGTTCCTGGGTTGAGTGGGGATTCAACACTACCGGAGAAGAACACCCCGCCTCCGCATATCAATACATAGTAATTGATTATCAACGTTATGCTTGCTACCTTTCAGATCACCCCCAAACGAAACATCACGCGCGGGTGGAGAAGGGTGCTTTACATGGGCGACCACTAGGGACAACCACCCAAAGAAGATGACTTTCCCACTAAAAAAGGACACTGGACCCAAACCAGGCTGATGGCAGGCTTTCAGGGCGGTTCCGCCGGTCTGAGGCTGCGACGCATCCCTGCCTGACGGGCTGATTCCGGGATGTGTTGAATGTCCAGAGCAGCTCAAAAGGGCACCCTCTCAAAAAGGCGTGAGGCATCAACAAAAACCCAATCCTGCTGTTGCTGTTTGATGTGCCACAGCCACAGCTTTTGGTTTTTATTGGGCTGGTTGCACCCGCCTCGATGTGCCGCCTCAGCGTATCCAGGCCCTGTAGGGCCAGGCCCACGTGGGCCTAGCGAGCGAGGGACGCCGAGTCACGTTCGCAGTTTCAGGTAGTGCTGGAAATGAGCTTTAGTGACCATCAAAAAGATTTTACGAGGCTCCAAGCCAAGTTGGCATTTTCAGGTATGGGTTTGGAGGTATGGAGGTTGAATACCATGCAAGGGGTTCAAGGGGAAAACTCTAGACATGTGCTGGTTTCTCGGAGTGAGGGAATGATATCAACTGTGCGGAACAAAGTACACCCGAAGGGTGAAAACTGGGCTCTCTCTAATTTCCCCACTCGACATACTGGCCGGCATCTAGGGACAAGTGGAACGCATTCCTAACCATCACCAAGCATGAGTTGTTTGACCATGGCAACTTGGGTATGATGTTTGCTTGATGTAGCTTTTCGGTGGACATGATCTAACAGGGGGATTTGCATTCGCCCACCATTTTGGAGAAGGCTCCCGAGTGAGATTCATAGTCAGCTGCATCTATTTTGTGAGTCCTCTGGTTCTCCCCTACTGGGATGCAACAAGAAATAAAGACTGCACCAACAGATATCGTTCAAAGAACCCTTAGGACAAGAATGGCACAGTGAGTTGCCGCATTCGCCCTTCCCCACCTGTCAGGAGAATATTGATAGAAATCTTAGTAGGGTTCGGACCAAAGGGAGCCGAGGCTTCTCCCTCGGTCCGATGTGTCCCTCCTGAAAGAGATTCAATCGCTGCTGGCTCGAATCGTTTGGCTCGAATCGTTCTGATAAGCTTAAAACTCCTATTGCCACCCGCCAAGCACTAAAGGAGGACAACAAAGAGCACCCCCTCCCCAACGATTGCTTCTTCTCTAGGGCTTGATTCCAATTCCATTCTGTTCAACCATCCTTCTTTTCAAAAGCCGGATCCGTTTTCCCTGGGTTTCTGGAGGTTTTCTAGAAAGCTTCGGATTCCTAGATCTTCCTGTCCAAAACCTGAGCCTCACACGTTCCACTCGAACATCCCCTTTTGATCTCCGCGCGCCTGAAGCTTCTGGAAGATCGGAGCTGCATGGAGCTTGGCGTCTCGCGGCAAGACCTTGAGCCGCCGGAGGTGCCCACCCATGGCCATGGGGGGGAAAAAGGAGCAACCGGTTTTTTTGGTCTGAATAACTTGGTCCTCCCAGAATTGAGAGGTTGGAGTAAGGGTGCCCGATGTTTTTTCTTTTTCTTTTTCTGTGGCCTGTTTTAGTAGGGGACCCCTCCCTACAAAAAAATGAAACGGTCAAAGGGCACTGGGGGACCTAGATGATGTCTAAGGCAATGTGCCCAGTGGCCTTGAAAATGCTGGCCCTGAATGCCAGTGTCCAACTCAAGGGATGGAACCTGCACAGGAAATGGCCCTCTGAAAGGAAGGAACACGGGCAGCATCGGGCAGCCAGGAATCGTGCAGGTATGTTTGTGGGAGGGTATGTCGTCCGTTTTTGTAAGTTGAGTCAGGTCAGTGAGGTGAGGGAGGTGAGTCAGGTGATTGAAGTCCCCCTCCAGAAGGGAAGTGGACACAAAGCAAGCAACCCACAAGATTTCTCGGTGCTACACAACGAGCTGTAAACAACTGACCCGCAGTTTAGGTTCCCCGCCACAGACCCAATGATATTGGTGCGTCTGTTTTGCAGGTACCCGTTTTGGTCATGCCTTGTCGTGAAACCAACCCAACCAAACAAAAAAAAAACCTCCTGTTGGGATTTCGTCCAAAAGAACACGAGCCACGCACGAGCAGCGCTGTCTCTGACTGCCAGCATCTGCCAGAGCGCCCAAGGCCCATTTCGTCGCTTTCGCCGCTCCTTGAGCCAGGGGTTGGGAAGGAAGCGCAGGCTGTCGGGATTCCTGGATCCTTCCCTTCCCAGTGGCTGCCCAGTGGCTGCAGCTGCTGCTTCGTCTCCATCTTAAGCTGCTTTGGCTTTGATGGAGCTCAAGGCCCGCTCCAACTGCTCCAAGGAGTCCGGGAAGCTCTTGAGCCCAATGCCGAAGCGCACCGCGGGGTGCTCGAACTCGAAGAAGTCGCTGACGATCATGCACACCTGGTGTTCGCTCCTGGGCAACGAAAGAAGCCGAGTGGTTCCTGCCAGAATGACATGAAGGGCGACCTGGGTCCTCCGGTAGAGAATATGCTCAGAACAAGGTACCAACTTTTTTCGGTTGTCTATTTTAGTAGGGGAACCCTCCCCAAAAAAGAAACGCTAAAAGGGCACCTAGCTGGGGGACCTAGGCGAACCCCAAGGTAGCCACCGGGTGTTCGGTCCTGGGCAATGCTTTGCGGACGAACGAACGCCTGGAACACGAATTCGGTGGAGATATTTATGTCCAGCGCACACTTAGGGGCTCCAAATGAAAATTCGCAACGCTGCATAGTGGGGCAACTTTAGCTCGCTTCTCTTTGGGGCGGTGTCTTGACAGACTCCCAAGCGGCGTCCCAAATCTGGTGAACCTGTGATGCGTCAGGGGGGAATATGGAAGTGGTTTCTTTCTACGGAAAAGTGCCGCTTCACAAGAAACAGGCAACACACACGCCAATCTCACATCGCAGAGCTATGCGCATCTCGTGAAACCTACGGTTTCAACGTGCATGGCTTGCAGGAACCGCGTCACCATTCAGATTCAGATTGAGTTTCCTACAGGTTCAGCCGCAACTGCGGACGCCCCCGAAAGAAATCCCCTCCTAAATTGGAGCCATCCAAAGAAATAACTGGGGGGTCTTGTGTCAGCAGAACGCCATGCTCAAAACAAGTGAAGGGGTCACATAAGGGCCTTCCCATTGAGATTTCGATTCTTAGTGATAACTTCAGGAAGCCACCCCTCCAAACTCATCTCGGCCAACTGTTGGGATCATCAAAGGAAACCTTTCTAAATAATTAACAAACGATGACCAGTGGCAGGGAACAAGTCAATCAGCTTCCCTCAGGGTGGTTTCATGTGGTTTCCATAGGTGTCCTTTTGGAAAAAATAGCTCCTGGTATATGGAATAAAACCCAACTAAACCAGTGCCTTCTATTTTAACCACACTCACCTCAAAAGGACACCTATGGTGGTTTCCCATTTAACCCTCTACAAGAAGGGACTCACATCCCCGACCAAAACCCACCGATTTGACCTGAGAGTAGGCAGTACATCCCTCGCCAGGGCTCGCAAGGTACTCCGCCAGGTGAGTGGTGGACTGCAGGCACTCGGGTGGGGAGGCACCTTCCATGGGGTGTCACCAACTTCTCACTTCCTATCGAGTGGATGGGCCAAAACAGGCTCCCACACTGCTCGTTGTTCCACTAAAATGGCAACCAAACCAAAGTACGACTAGAGTCTGAGACTCAGGAAGTGAGACGTAAGTTCTGATTCTTGGATAGTTCTGGGAACTAAGCCCACTGTACCCCACGGTAGGTTTCTTTGGCCATCTCTCCATGTGCAGTGGGATAATTTGCAGTGGCTCGTCTTTTGTGGTACCCCTAGATCTGGTTTTGGAAACCCAACGGGAGGCGACCAGATGGGGCTGGTCTTCACTAAACCGCCTGGAAGGGGAGCGGCGAGCCGCCCAGTTCCTGAAAATGATAGAACGGCTTTAGATTCGAGGTCGGGGCTTGCATGCTGAAAAAGATGGCAACCTGTTTTTTTGCCGAGGTGTCGTTTTTTTCCCCACATCTTTGTGTGGGGTTCTTACTTTTTCCGCTCGTCGTCCGCGCGCCGCGTCTCCTCCTCCTTCTCCCGCTCGTCTCCGTCTCACTCACTCACTCACTCACTCACTCACTCACTCACTCACTCTCACTCACTCACTTACACTCACTCAACTCACACTCACTCACTCACACTCACTCACTCACTCACACTCACTCACACTCACTCACTCACTCACACTCACTCACTCACTCACTCACACTCACTCACTCACTCACTCACACTCACACTCACACTCACACTCACTCACTCACACTCACTCTCACACTCACGACTCACGGCAGCTGTCTAGAGGGACAGGATGTTGTCGCGCGCGCGGCGGGGGGTGTGCGAAATCGTGGCAGGCGCAGCACTTTGGCGATGCCGTTGCGAAATCGTGGCAGGCGCAGCACTTTGGCGATGCCGTTGCCGAAGTCGTGGCAGGCGCAGCATTCTGTGCATCTGGGTGTGTGTTTGTGTGGCAGGGGTCGCATTCGGCAGCTGTCTAGAGGGACAGGATGTTGTCGCGCGCGCGGCGGGGGGTGTGCGAAATCGTGGCAGGCGCAGCACTTTGGCGATGCCGTTGCGAAATCGTGGCAGGCGCAGCACTTTGGCGATGCCGTTGCCGAAGTCGTGGCAGGCGCAGCATTCTGTGCATCTGGGTGTGTGTTTGTGTGGCAGGGGTCGCATTCGGCAGCTGTCTAGAGGGACAGGATGTTGTCGCGCGCGCGGCGGGGGGTGTGCGAAATCGTGGCAGGCGCAGCACTTTGGCGATGCCGTTGCGAAATCGTGGCAGGCGCAGCACTTTGGCGATGCCGTTGCCGAAGTCGTGGCAGGCGCAGCATTCTGTGCATCTGGGTGTGTGTTTGTGTGGCAGGGGTCGCATTCGGCAGCTGTCTAGAGGGACAGGATGTTGTCGCGCGCGCGGCGGGGGGTGTGCGCGCAGCACTTTGGCGATGCCGTTGCGAAAGCGTGGCAGGCGCAGCACTTTGGCGATGCCGTTGCCGAAGTCGTGGCAGGCGCAGCATTCTGTGCATCTGGGTGTGTGTTTGTGTGGCAGGGGTCGCATTCGGCAGCTGTCTAGAGGGACAGGATGTTGTCGCGCGCGCGGCGGGGGGCGTGCGAAATCGTGGCAGGCGCAGCACTTTGGCGATGCCGTTGCGAAATCGTGGCAGGCGCAGCACTTTGGCGATGCCGTTGCCGAAGTCGTGGCAGGCGCAGCATTCTGTGCATCTGGGTGTGTGTTTGTGTGGCAGGGGTCGCATTCGGCAGCTGTCTAGAGGGACAGGATGTTGTCGCGCGCGCGGCGGGGGGTGTGCGAAATCGTGGCAGGCGCAGCACTTTGGCGATGCCGTTGCGAAATCGTGGCAGGCGCAGCACTTTGGCGATGCCGTTGCCGAAGTCGTGGCAGGCGCAGCATTCTGTGCATCTGGGTGTGTGTTTGTGTGGCAGGGGTCGCATTCGGCAGCTGTCTAGAGGGACAGGATGTTGTCGCGCGCGCGGCGGGGGGTGTGCGAAATCGTGGCAGGCGCAGCACTTTGGCGATGCCGTTGCGAAATCGTGGCAGGCGCAGCACTTTGGCGATGCCGTTGCCGAAGTCGTGGCAGGCGCAGCATTCTGTGCATCTGGGTGTGTGTTTGTGTGGCAGGGGTCGCATTCGGCAGCTGTCTAGAGGGACAGGATGTTGTCGCGCGCGCGGCGGGGGGCGTGCGAAATCGTGGCAGGCGCAGCACTTTGGCGATGCCGTTGCGAAATCGTGGCAGGCGCAGCACTTTGGCGATGCCGTTGCCGAAGTCGTGGCAGGCGCAGCATTCTGTGCATCTGGGTGTGTGTTTGTGTGGCAGGGGTCGCATTCGGCAGCTGTCTAGAGGGACAGGATGTTGTCGCGCGCGCGGCGGGGGGTGTGCGAAATCGTGGCAGGCGCAGCACTTTGGCGATGCCGTTGCGAAATCGTGGCAGGCGCAGCACTTTGGCGATGCCGTTGCCGAAGTCGTGGCAGGCGCAGCATTCTGTGCATCTGGGTGTGTGTTTGTGTGGCAGGGGTCGCATTCGGCAGCTGTCTAGAGGGACAGGATGTTGTCGCGCGCGCGGCGGGGGGTGTGCGAAATCGTGGCAGGCGCAGCACTTTGGCGATGCCGTTGCGAAATCGTGGCAGGCGCAGCACTTTGGCGATGCCGTTGCCGAAGTCGTGGCAGGCGCTGCATTCTGTGCATCTGGGTGCTCTGTAATCGCATCCATACAAGGGGCGCACGGTACATGTGTGTGGACATTTGAACTCACATCCTTGGGAAAAACATAGCATGTGGGGTTATCCGGTCCTTTAATTTCCGTTCCTTTTTTTTCTGCATAGCCTCTTTGCAACAATTGTGGAGGGGGCTTGGAAGACGACCAAGCCGCTTGAAAAGGGCGCCCTTGTCAACTTGTATTGGTAAGAGTCATGCTTCTTGATTCCATTCCCTTGGGTGGAAGTTGCGACGACCAAACAAAACGGAGTTGGGGACATCGCTCTGAGAGCAAAACACCTGGCCCAACTTAGCTAATATGCAACATGGCCTGAACGAGGCCCAATCAGGCCAACCAGGGACAAAGCTCTTTAAGGATGCCATCAAACAAAAGGGATGAGGCGCCACTGAACAATTGGCATCTGAGTGTTCCCCCATGGCTTCGGTGTTCCTTTTGGTTTCCCCTTTGAAACCAAGCCAAACAGGGCACCCTTCACCTCAAATTTGAGCCATTGGGGTTTTGGGATTCGAGTCGAGCCTATGCTGCCCAGCGGATGCTTGAGGCGAGCAAAAACTGTAGAGGCGCGCCAGTCAACCGTGGGCTTCTGCTGGTGCTGGTTCAGTGGATGGAACCTCTGGCTGACACACATCCAGGGTATCCAGGGTTGGGCATGCTTTTTGAGCCAGACCCTTGATCCCCTATCAAGGTATGCTTGTTTGAACCAGGCCCCTGGACCCAGCCCTAAGAAACAAGCAACCATGTCGCAACATGGGTGAAAAACACATCTGGGCTGACCTGCTTAGCTGACTCGGGGGGTCAGCAAACCAACTCAAACTGTGTTGGGCTTCTTGAAGCCCACAACACGTTAGTCGTGCTTTCTCAGCTTCAGTTTCTGGGGTCTTCAAACAACTTGGCAGGCTATAACTGCGGAAAGAACGGACCAGCCCGACCGGAACCCCCCTTGTTCAATCTAGGGTCGACATTACAAGAACAAAATACAGTGAACAAAATGTTTGCCAACTCAACTGGCGATAAGACCAGTCGGGCAGGGAGAGCAAGAACTTCTGCAGCAGCTCATAATTGCTCCTCGCGATCTCTCGGTTGCGCTCCAGGAAAAACTCCGGGTCCTCATGGAAAAGGAGAATCCATCGCTTGCCCGAAATGGCGTGCCTGCTTCGGAGGCGGCCCTAGCTTTTTCGGTGGTTTAAAAAGCTTAAACAAGGACACCAACAGCAAAAAACCCGACCGTTTTGGGTCCCGGGTGTCCCCTCTTGAGACAAAAACCTAACTGGCTCCAAGCACTTGGCTTTAAGAGGCATCCAATTTGGGCGGACAACCTCCCCTTCGCCTGTTCTATGGGTTTGCAACCTGACAGAATCCCATTCGGGGGTGGGTAGTTTAGAGCCACTTTCAGGTTCCTCAGACTGCCCTAGGATTCCCGCAGAATTCCCTAGCGTTCCTCAGACTTTTCTCGGTTTCCTCAGAGATCAGACTTCCGTCCTGCAGGGCCACCGTGGACAAGAACTCCGCGTGTGGGGGCAGGCACAGCGTGGTGAAGTCCCGCAGCATGACCTGGGCTGCCCAAATGATTTTAGATCCTCCGCAAAAAGTTTGGCTCACTTTTCGTGGGTGAAATACGGAAATCCCACTACTAATTAAACACTAAAAGGATCTGAAGAGCTAACTTTGAGTGGGTGAGATGGAAACCACCACGGCTTGCCAAGTGACGATCCGCTCGAAGTGGCTGGGGTTCTCCACCAGCAGCCAGCCCATGCGCAGGCCCGGCATGCCCCAGGGCTTGGAGAGCCCCGAGAGGACGATGGAATTCCTGAGGCGCGGAACCCGAAACCCCAACCCCAACCCGCTCCGAAGCCGAAGCCGAAACCTCTCCAAGCTGGCAGTTGGGGGGGGGAAGTGTCTTTTTTCTTTTACGGCTTCAGTCGAGAAGTGGTTTGTCTATGTTTGTTTTCCTTCTTCAAATCCCCGAAGCAATCCAAACGGTTCCCTTGGGAAATTTGCCATGTTGCCGGTGCCAGTCGATATCAGTCGATCTCTCCTGTATAAAGTCCGGCACCGCTGGTCTTTGTCTGCACGTCGGACTGGCTACAACAATTCTGGGTCCAAAGTGCCATGCTCAAAAAAACAAAAAAGCTAAACTGTGGCTTTAACACAATCTCTCCCCCCCCACCCCACCCCCCACCCCCCGCCGGGAAAAAACAAAGAGCAAGCAAAGAACAAATAAATGAAGCGAAGAACAAATAGATGAGAACCCCTCAAATGTTCACTTCAAGTGGTCAAAAGACACTTGGGCAAGTTCACGGCCGAGGTTCTTCTTGCCCACGTTGCTGGGAGCCTGCCTTACTATGCCGCTGTACATCTCGTCGGAGAAGAGCACTGGCCCCGTCTCCTCCGGAGATGTCAAGCGCATGCCAAATCTCAGCTTTCCCTAATTCCTCCAATAGAGAGGTGGTACCGACTTTTTTCGGTTTTGTCTATTTTAGGAGGGGAGCCCTCCCCCAAAAAAGGGAATTGGGCAATAGTGGACCTAGTTCCTCTAATTGGTGGCTTGGAGCCCGGTGGTTTGGTGTTCCGGGGGTGGGACACCCCATTTGCCCTCTACAAGCAGGCGTTGCAATCCCCAAACCACCAATCCAAACCTTTAACTCAGGGTTACCTGAAATTATACGGGAGCGAAGAAATGAAAACACGCAAACACGCCCCCCCCCCCCGCAGCGTCCCTTTCGGCCCAAAAAAAGTGGTGGTAAGGCGGGTAAGGGAAGGGAACGAGCTCAGCATTAGGTGTTTTCAGGGGTTCCCAGCACCCCAAGGTGAGTCTCTGGAGACTAGCAAGCAGCAAGCCCCTCAAGCTCATGACCGACTTTGCCTGCCTCCATGGAGGCCATGGAGCTCCAATAACAAGCACCCGGTCGACCAAAAAGCAACCAAGGGTCGACAAAAGCCATAACCGCCAGTCCCCCAACCCAAAAAAGAAACATATGGAGCCCCTCAATACTTCTCCAACTGCCCGCAAAAGAAAAATCATGGGGGCTTCTCCCCCCCCCTCCCTCCTGGTCGAGACCTTGCAGCAGATCAGAGATGGTGTCGAAGTCCTGCGTCCGACCCCCCTTGCAAGGCTGCAAGCCCGAAGATAGCCCGAAGATGACGGGGAAGACGGCTGGCTTTTTGTGTGGAAGGTCTATTCATTTTTTGGGGACCCCCCCCCCAAACAAAAATCCGGGGTAAAACCCATTTGGTTCCCTTTTAAAATGCAGGGTCCCCAGTTGCCATCCCCCTGCGTCCACCCGGCCCACACCCAGCAGCAGCAACACCTTGAACGGCCCGACCTGTTGATCCAGAACTGCTCCAGTGGGGTTATGCGGTGAGTTCAGCACCACCATGCTTAGTCGCTGCTTCTGACGAAGCCCTTCCTCGCTTGCGAATCTTGCACGTGGCAAGTACAAAGGGACTTCTCCATATTCGTGTCTTGAGTTTGAACTTCAAGGGCAATTTTTGCCGGCTGCTGCATTGAACAATTTTGACAGTGACGCCCACAAGCACCAAACAATTAGCAATATTAACCTGGAAAAAACGAGACACCCAAAAGAACCAAAATGAAGATACACATCTGGAACAAGCGGGCGCCATTTGGCAAAGACCCGTTGCTTAAAAGTGGTGCAACCGCTGCGAGAAAATACGCTTAGGCAACCTCCACCATCGCTTAAGCAACCACCGCTTGGCTTTAGAAAACACTGTTTGCCCAAACTCGAAGGACCGATCACCTTCCCCCGAATTGGTTTGGTTGGTGGTTTGGATGTTGGGTACCTTCTACTTTTGGGTTCAAAAGGAGCCAGGGTTCAAACCCAATCCAACCAATCCACACCACCAACGCTTGAGGACATGTAATTTCAAGCAACCAATCCAAACTGCCAAAGGGGTTACCCGAACAGGACGAAGGCCTTCGTTGCAAAAACCAAAACAACGGGCACTGCCTCTCAGCTCAGCCGCGACGAGGGCCTCGAAGTCCGAGACCCGGAAATCCCAGAAGCCCCGCTCGTCGTAGCGAGGAGCCCAGGGCAGCACCTGGCAGCCTCTGCTTCTGGCGATCTCCTGGGCGACTCAGCCGGGGGGGGGCTCGGGGGGGCTGGAGGAATCGGAAGCAGTTGTTTTTTCCCTACCCTGGTGGTTCCCTTGGGATTCGAGAAACAGATATGGGCTATAAGCACACATAGGGCAAGATGCAACATTGTACATCTAAGCAGCGCAAAGCTAAAAAAGAACAAACAACTACAACACAACAACTAACACACATCAAGCAAGCAAGAACACAAAACAACACACGGCTCAACGGACAAATCACCCCAAATCCCAAGTGCCAGGCTTCGTACAGCGCTTGGTACGCAGGGGTCATCACAATGACAACATCATCCTCTTCCAGCCTCAGAGAATGGTTCCGTCGAAGGACACCTGAACAACATGCTCCACAAAGTGATCTGGGCTAGAGGGGTCAGCGGATTACCCCTTGAAAAGTGGATGATTATACTGGTGGTTTAAACTAAAACTGCCACTTCTTGTGGCTCCAACAAAGGAAACGGAGGAAACCCTGTTGAACCCCCACCATTTCGCTCGTTTGCGCGAACGAGCGGCAGCTGACTCATCACTGCGAAGATGCCCTCCACCGGCACACACGCCGTGATGGGCAGCGGCTGGGACTCCAACAGCTCCTCGTTTCGCGGCGCGGCGGCGAAGTCCGTTGCGAGTCCCACTTCTCCGTTGCGGCCGCTCCCCGGCGAAAAAGGTTTCACTGTTAGTGGGCTTAATACGGAAAACCCGTTGGTTGGCAAAAGGTGAAAAAGTCCGAACATCCAAGCAAAATGCACCAAAGACTTGGTTGTTGGTGTTTAGGGAAGGTTGGCCCTCATGGTGGCCCCAAGAAAGCGACAAACCAGGCCGAACATCCAAGCACGAGTTGGTGATCTGGTTTGGATGTGGGTGCCTTCCCCATTTTTTCAGGAGGAATCGGACACCAAATCCAACCGATCGAAACCCCTGAGGTTGACGTGAGGGTCAGCTACCTGGAGCGGGATGGTCTGGTGAAATGGCTTGGTTGACGTTCGAAGGGGAGCACAATTCTATGTTTTAACAGTTAGCTGGGGATGTCAACCACTAACCACACTAAGCAAACATGTAAAATGCTTCCCCACAACAACCATGACAGGGGGTAGCTTGCCATTTGCCAAGATCCATTCACATCCAAATCACCAAGTGCCAGATCAATGGCTCGGAGCGGATGGGACCACTTCCGCCTGATACCAAAATCCACGCCGATCGTCCCCCGTTTGTAGCGGTGACCAACCAGTTTTATGCTGCGAAGCGGATTTCGTCCACATGAACAGTGCCCACACCAATTGTTTGGCTGACATTGGGTAAGCTGGTTGTAAAGACAGGGCATTGGTGCCCACGGATGAAGCAGGCACTAGGAGCGGCGGGTCTTGGGCGCTGATGATGCGAGCTGCTTTTTGTGTTTGTTTGGCGAATCGGTACCCTTGAACAACCCTGCCTTAAAGATGAAAGCCCGAGGAAAACAAACACAAGCAGCAGAGTGCGGGGGACCTCTTTGTGGTTAAACGGTTTAAACATCGAAGTGCCACACTTCCGCACACCCAACTTTTCCCAAAAGGGCGGAAGGTCCCGAAGCAAGCCACGGGCCAGCCACGGGCCAGCCTTGCGGCGGAAAAACGAACCTTTTTTCTTCGTCCGGCCCAAGGCCTCAGACAAACCTTGCTGCGAGAGGGGACGTGAAACCAGAAGTTGGATAAAAGGAAACCCCACCCAATGGGAGTAACCCCCTAGAGCTAAAAAATGTAATGGAAGGTGGGAAACGCCTCGGATTTTCACTTGCCTTCCAGAAAGGAGAAACCACAAGTCGGATGGTTTGCAAGGCTCGCTCGACTCATTCCCAGAAAAAAAAAGCCAGGCGAGCTCTTCCTCATAGAGCTCGGGCAGCTCGCTGGCCTCGTTCTGGCGCACCCTCTCCTCAAAAAAGGCGCGCGAGAAGAGGGTTCCATTTACTCAGATGCCCAGTGGCCATGGGAAAAAAGGGCATCCTGTTTTGGTTGGTTCAGCTTAAAGGGGAACCCTTTCCAAAAAAAAAGAACAAAGGGAGCGACTGGGCAGGTGGGTTTATTGGAGCTTCATATCCACCAATCACTTCATATCCACCAATCGCCTTTGAGGTTGTTCCAATTCAAAAACAACATAGCCAACAGGTTTCGGTGGACGTCCCAGTACCCTTCCAAATATTTGGCTTGCCAGCCTGTTTGACAAGAAGGAAATGATCTATTTTAGGTCCTCCGGACTAATCCGAAGTTCACACTAACTGCTTTCCTTCTAAAGTCTTCTTTTCAACCAACCCTAAGGGCACCTGACCCACGAAGAAAGAAGAAAAAAAAACAAAAAAACGGACAAGGCGTGGAGAAGCTCCTGAGCGATTTTGGCGCGGTAGTTCTGGTACACCTTCTGCAGCAATGCAGGGCTCCCGAGAGACTCGGTGTAGGAGAGGCGAAGGGAGCCACTTTGCCAGAGCGCCTCGGCATTTGAAATTTGGGGGGCAAAGCTCAGAAACACCGAAACACCCACTCTCCCCCTGCAAATTCTTGCCTGGATTTTGCAGAGGGTTTTTCCCTTGGATGCGTTTAAGCCAAAATGTCCAGTGGGCATGGGAGAACAAAGCATCCTTTCTTCCTGAGTTGAGGTTTAAAAAGAACCCTTCCCAAAAACGAGGGAAAGAAGGGCGCCACTGGGCAACTGGGTAAAGGGAGCACAACAGGAAACCACCCCAAAGCTCAGAAACACCCACTCTCCCCCTGCAAATTCTTGCCTGGGCCCTCAGATCCCCCACTCAAAGAAGAACTTCTTGTGGGTTAGTTGGGAATCCAACCACTTTCCACTCAGCTAAAAGCCTAAGGGGGTGGCTGGGAGCCACCAAGCTAAAAATCACAAACAAGATACCTTGATGGTGGCAAACGGGACCTCAAAATCTTCAGGATCCACTTTCACTTTGAGCCAAACAGTGAATGACTATTTCCTGCCTAGTGTTGGTGGCGTTTTTTTTTTTGCTTGCGAGTGAGGAAACAACCAAATGTTCCCAAACAGCCAGCCGCGAATCGACCTACTGCGGATGGACGAAATCCATTTCGCACCCTGTTGAAACCACGGGAAGCCATTCTTTGTTGGTATTTACGTCGGGGAATCATCAGAAACCAGGCTTTCTCAGGGGGTGCAGGATTTCGTCCACATCCACAGTATGTCAGCCAAAAAAACCTGGGTCCTTTTGCAGCCGCCAAGGAACCACGAACCAACGAACGAAACCAAAACGGTACTTCGGTCGCGATCAATGACCAACAAAGAACGGTTCCGAACATACAAAGGTCAAAAGGGCCGCGCGACAAAACGCCAAAAGGCGGAAGCATCAGGTCTGGATCATTTTGACCGATTCAGATCAATGGCCAGGGAATGGCCAGGGAGGCCAAGAACTGGTTTTGACCCATGATAAAATCGCTGGATTCCAGACATGAAATCCAGTCAGCCACTTTTCCCCATGGGAAATCAAACTCCACAAAAGCCGACAACAGCGCCTTTTGCTTCTCCTCCGCGCGATCCAGCACCTCTTGGGTGGTCCAACTTTCGCAGTCTGAGCAGCTCACCTTCGCACATCCGCGGGCGAAAGCGCGATTGATTTGGATGGGTGTCCTTTTCTTCAAAAACAAAAGAAAAAGACACCTCGGTTGGGTCTCAGCATTGCTTTTTCTCTGGGGATTCCCCGAGAGAGCAACACATGAGGGGAGGTGGCATCATTTGCCACATCATCCTGTTTGTTGCTCGGCTGAAGGAGTGCTTCCAATTTTGGGGCATGCAATGATCCCCCTGAAGAAAAAAGCAACATGAGCCGCGAGTTGCTTAAGCAAGTGCAACCACCACACCCACCAAAATAAAGGGTCACCCCCCCCCCCTGGGCGAAAAGGCAAGCAAAACAGCATCTTCCCTCAATAACCATCCAAAAGGAGTGCCTGCAAAGTAGGACAAGTCCCTGCTCAAAAAAAACAAATGGACACCTTCCAACATTCTCCTTGTACCGGCAAAGAAGTAATGTGGGCCGCTGTCTCGGGCATGCGGCCCTCCTTTCATACCATGCGTAGTGGGTAGGGGTGCAACCCCAATGCGGGCCAACCAAAAGCAGCCAGTGAAGCTATGGCTCACTGCACTGAATGCTTGGCACCAAGCGACGTGCGATGCCCCAATTTCCCTACCCCCAAACCCCAGCCCCTCCCTTCAAACCACTTTCCCCCAAACCCTGCACACCCCTTTGCACCCCAAAATGTACTTCCTGCGTGCCGAAAAAAAATCCTTTGCCACCAAAACGGCCCAAGCCTAAAAAGTGCCTACAGTACAAAACGGAACTCAGGAATTGAGATCCCCCCCAAAAAAAACATAGAAAAAAGGCAACAAAACCCAACGCCACCCTTCGACAAACCACTTTTGCCCTCCACCACCCCAACCCCCCCTTCCCCTGTCCCCCCAAACACGGAAATGCCCGCCTGATACTTGCAATGGAACTCATACCGCGCGAAGAACCGCTCCAGCAGCGACGCCCGGATCGCCCGCGCGCCCTTTGCAGCAAAGGCCATGGCTCCAATTCCACTCGCGAATTCGTGCGGGGACCGGGAAATGCCACGAAGCCGGCCAAGGATTCCCATGCTGCCTGGATCGCCGGTTGCTGCTGTTTTTCCATGTGCTTTACCCCCAAAACCAGCAACGTGACTGAAAAAGCAGCAACTTGGCTATCCAGGTGGTAGATGTTTAACTCAGTCGCCCAAAGGACCCAAAAACACAAGGCTAACCTTCGGGGGCATGACTAAAGGTGGATCAACAAGGGGAAACAAAAGGTCAACAATTTGATTCGCATTGGGCAACTGAGCTAAAAAAGCGAAGGCCAACCGGGTGTTTGGTGACAATATCATCTCTAGGGTTGCGAGAATAAATCAAGTGAGATCCCGCGCACGCTGCCGAATGGTGCCGCCATATACCGAATGTTGACCCCAAGCTGCAACAATTCTCTGCCGAGATCAAGCACGATGAGGAGACACGCAAGTCGACTTCTAATTGTTAAGCAAAAACAAGCAAAAGTACGATCCATCCCTTTCCTTTCGAGGCACCGCACGACCCAAAATCTTAAAAAGTACCTTCGACCTTCGCCCCGAAAGGCTGGGCCCGCCGCAAAGACCTCCAACCGCAAAGCCGGCCACAGCTGCCTGGGGTCATTCGATCCGGGCAGCACGTCACTCACGTCCGATCGAGTGGCATGGCCAAAAAAGAAGTTAAAACCATGCTGCGTGTTCGCCACTCAACTGATCCGACCTCCAAAAGTGCAAAGTCCGAGTTCCGGAACTCAGGGAAGACTCGATCTTCCTCTTGGCTTCGCGGCACGGAGCCAGGCAAGACGTGTATTAACAGGGCACCCGAAGGCTTTACGCGTCCCCTTCAAACATCACATGACCAAATTGGGCTGTCCTCAAATCCCCCGCTAAAAGCTTAACTTTTAGTGGGTTAAGTGGACACCCCACTGAGCCAACTAAAAGGCCAAAAAGCTAAGGGGATGGCTGGGAGCCACCAAGACTTGGTGAAGAACTTCTGTGTCTTGTGCCCCACGTCCCCGGCTGGCCATTTGTTCTTCCCGGAGACCGAAATGCATGACCATTTGACCCTGAAGCAAAGGAAACCCACATGCGCGTCTGTTTTAGGCCCCCACCCGGAAAAAAGTTGCTTTGTGTCGTTTCCTTTTGGTCTCCCTTTAAAACCACCAAAGAAGGCAGTACCCTGGCAACGGAAAGACACACCCATATGATGTGTTTATGAGTTGGAACCCCGGACAACTTTCTCCCCGGATTCTGATGTCCAAAGGGTCCGGGACCCAGAAACAACCAGGCGGCTCGTTACCCGGACGAACCCCGAAACGCCAGGAAACCGAAGCAACGAGGCTTGGCGAATGAATTGCTGGCAAAAAGGCCGTTGCCCAAAGAGAAACCAATGCCCACAGCCCAGCAACTTGCCTCTTATTTCGGAGAGAAAAAAGAAGAAACAAGAACGTGGGTTTCACCTCGAACGCAGGGCTAGGGACGTTGGCCTCTCCCAAATTGTAGGCCAAAGATCCAACCCAAATGCAGTCATCTTAAGTAACTGAGGGTAGGGCCAAGAGACCGGGTAGATGCGCAGGCGGCTCGTCTGGATGGGCTCCAGTTGCACAAAGTGGACCTTTCATGGGAGTTGGGCATGTGTCTTTTGCGGAGTTAGTAACTACCCTTTTTGGCGGCTTTAAAGGGAAAACAAAAGGACAACCGAAGCCATTCTGGGGGGCACACCCATTTGTGGTTGTTGCTTTTCTCCGCGCTGGCTAGTATAACAAGGCATTTGCCCAGGCATAGGTCAGTGGGAGGAACCATCACCTGTTCAAAATATGAAAGAGCTAAGGGGTAAACCGAAGAGCGGCCAAGCGACGTGCATAACTAAAAATAGATCGACAACATGGGAAAACCAAAAGGTCGCAAGGTCGATTTGCTTTGGGCAAGTGGGAAAAAGCAAACAAATGTTGACCCCGAATTTAATAAACCCCTGTTTCTTAGTATTGGGGGTGTTCCCCTCCAAAAGTGGTCTGATTTGCCACTAAACTCAGGGACACCCCCCCATGTTAAAAATCTCAGGGGTTTAGAAAAATCTGGGGTCGACATTCTTGAGTTTCCGGGCCTTCTGGGCATCAGAGTTGCCTTCCAAGTCCACTGCTTCGTCGGACTGTCCGGGCGCCTGGGGCACGACGCGAGGGGTCCAGGTGGCAGGGAACAGTCTTTCAGCCAACAAAAAAAATGGACAAAACACGGGGCAAAAGCGAATATCAGAGGGGCGCAAGCACAGGCCCTTCACTTGTTTGATGTTGGGTTGGAGGTTTGGCTTGGGGTGGTTCCCAGTGCCCTATCTTACCAATCCAAGCTCAAAACAGCCAACCCGTTGAAAACAAGGAGCAACAACTGAGAAACCAAAGAACGCAAAGAACATGTAAACAAAACGAAAACAATACATATCCCCACTTCCCGCCCACCTCCCCCCCCCCCGCCCCAACTCCCCACCACAAAGCAAACACGCTAGGCCGCTGGCATACCACTGCCAGCCGGCAGGCCCTTGGTACCTCCAGATCAGCCAATTTGGCTTCGATTGCTCTGACCTGGGACCTTTTCGGACTGTGGAAACCCACAAAACCCGCTCTACCCGGGGGATTCTCAAGGAACCAACCGAAACACCGAGGCGCACGGAACCCCAAGCCTAGGGAAGCCTAGGCTTAGCCAATCAAAGGGAGCCCTTGAGACCCGGTGGATGGTGGCGAAATCCACTTCTCACGCCATCTATGACACTATGGGTGTCTTCTTTACGGTATCCCCCCAAAAAGAAAAAACAAACGTGAGTGTTTCCCTTGGTGCCAACTCAAAAAATAAGATGCACCCAGGTTTTCTGTCTCAATAGAACCCCAACTGAATGTTCAACAGGGTTCCCTAAAGGAAACAACCTGCGTGGATGTCTTGCTTGGCCCCAGCCAGCCTTGAAGGGGCCCTGAAACGAGTCCCCAAAAGGTCTGCAAGACTGAATCCAGAATGATGTTCAAAGGGTCCCTCTGGGACCCAGCAATGTTGACCCAGGATAAATAAACCAGTCCCATTGTAGGGGTAGCGGGGTGCTCCCTCCAAAAATGATGAATCCCCACCAAAAGGGACAACCTCCTATTAATCAACCAGGGGTTTACTAATCCGGGGTTATCATTAAAACTCATACCCCTGACTGGTGGTTTGATTTGCCAGGCTTCACTCAAGTTGCAGAACAAGCCGAGCAGCGAATCCGCATCTTTCAGGGTTGCGCTTCCCACAACCCTCACAGAGACTAACCACTGTGTCATCCTTCAAACAGGGGAGGGAAAGATACAGCTGGGTGCCAGTGCATGGCACAACCCAGCAAAAAAAAAAAAACGATTTGCACCCTGGTGATACAGCTGGGCCAGGCTGATCCGACGGTTTGAGGATACAGTTGAAGCAACCGAAAAAAGGGTTCAAACTCAAACGGTAAGTTCCGTCTGGCGAGGCGGGCGTGTCTTTCTTAGGGACACCACCCAAACAAAGTTTATATCCTTTTGCTTTGTCTTTAAAAGCAACACACAAACAGTTTACCCTCCCACCAACCAACATGGAAGTGCAAAAAGGCCCTTTTCAAGAGGAAAGTAGTCTTTCTACAGGGTCTGTGCACTTCCATGTTAGCTGGTGGGAGGGTATATCCTGTTCCCTTTCCCGATGTTCCCCCTAAAAAACGCCACCAGAACGGGCACCCAGATTTTAGATGGCCGTTACGGCCGTTGGGCCCTAAGCCGCTCACTGCAAGCGCCAGCGGCGTGTCCAGTGAGGAGCTTCCCCTAAGCCTCAGCGAGCGGTGGTTCTCTGAATTTTCATGTTCAATTGGCATTGGAATATCGACCACCCCCCAAACCAAAATAACAATAAGGAACAAACAAAAAAACAACTACTCTAAACATGCCACACATCCATCCAAGTTTGCCCCCCCAAGCTGTTTGACACACATCTAAGTGCACCCCCCTCCCCCGCTCCCAATTTCAACACCAACAATCATACCACGTCAGCCAGACTGACCAAACCCAAAGGGGCTCTCAATAAAACGACATGCTTCCTTGTTGGTCCCCCTTAAATGGGTCTGTCTTTTTGTGGTGATACTTGGGCGTCTTCTAAAGGGAAACCCAAAGTTGAAACCACTCATTTTGGGGGGGCACCCTAATTTTTCCTTCCGGGGGTGCTTGTACATATCCCTTTTACATACCTCGGCAAACGGCCTGCTGATGTTCTTACCCATTTCTTCTAAAAGGGGTGTATAATGTGTATATATATATATACCCACGGAAATAAAGTCGGTTGGAAACTACGGAAGCCAAGGGCTATGACTCACTTCCTGAGTGGGCTAGCCACCAAAAGCCAAAATGGTCCAAGCCCAAAAAGCTCAAAGTTCATGAGCTCAGAAAGTGGCTATGTCTTTGCAGTCTTCCCAAGGACACCTTTTGTCTAAATGGTTCACCCAGAACCATGTAAAAGAAGGCTGCCTTTCTTGGGATTGTCTGCCTAGCCTTCACTCACCCGGGTTTTGAGCCAGTGACTCACATGGGACTGGGGCCCTGCACCCAGTGCTCGGCAGGCCATGAGCTGCAGCATGCGGTTGGTTTCTGTGCAGTTCCTGGAGGCAGATGGTTTTCTTCACAGCCCGTGGTCTGCCTTGGCTATGGCTTGGCTATGGCTTGGCTTGGCTATGGCTTGCATGGCTTGGCAAGAGCTGGTTTTGCTTTTTTGCAGCCCCGAACCTAAAAATGAACAGAACCAAAAAAGAGGAATACCAAACAAGCTTGCCAAGAACAGTGAAGTTTGGGGTGATTGACCGGCTTTCTCTGGAGAAACCAGCCCGAACCACGGGATACCGGGGAGACCAGCAATTTGAACCGGCCAGGTTGAACCCGTTCCTGGTGAGTTGGGTGATTCCGCAGGTTTACCATGAACACACCAAGACCTGAATAGGCTTGGCCTATGCCTTGCAACGGCCCATCCAGACCACGACCTCCTGAATTAAGGTTGCGGCCGATGATGGGGGATGTGTGTGGGTGTGTCATTCTCTTGAGGTTGGTACCCCTTTTTTGCAATTTTCAAGAGAAACTAAATCGAAAACCACCATTTTGGGGTCCCGTAAAGGAGACAAAACGAATGTGGACCATTGACACACATCAATTCGGCCCATGGTCACGGGGCAAAGCACCCCGAAACTTTCAAAATCAACGTGGTAAGAGAACGCGTGCTAGCGAAGTCTGCTTTGCACACGAACACTCTGTGCAATCATGCTATGTGCAACTGCAAGTTGCAAGCTTGCCCTTTGCATGCCTGCGATTAGAAAGGCGTCTCTTTGCAAGGCTTGGCTTTGGTCAGCTCTGTGCAAGTCTTCTACTTGCTCGCTTTGCAAGATCACTCGTAAGCTTTCTTCTTGCTACTGGTTGACTTACCGACAATGACAAAGTAGGAGTTCCTGCGCATGGTTTTACAAAATTCGGCCTTTCAACAAATCGTACCAACTTTGCTGGTGAATTTGCACACTGTGTTTGGCAGCCGCAGCCCCCCCACCATCTCCGCCATGAGAGAAAAACAAGAACAACAAGGATCACACGACTTAAGCATAGACCAACGCTCGCAGGCCCGCCTGCCAGCCAAGATATCTTGGGCCGTAAGCTGTAGCGGCTCCACCTGCACGAGGCCCCATCCATGGCGCAGCTCACCAGCCCAGAGTTCACCTTTTCTAGGTCCTCCAGTTGAGAGGTTTGAATAAGTTGGTACCAACTTTTTCTGCAGTCTATTTTAGAAGGGGAACCCTCCCCCACAAAAGAAACGGTAAAAGGGCACTACTGGCGGATCTAGTTTTCATAGAGGATACACTCCCACCAACTAACATGGAATCTCACGTTCGGGGGTGGTTTGGACCATTTCTCACAGGACCGGGTCCCTGTGAGGTTTCATATCGATTGGTGGGAGGGTAGAGAAAAGAGAGAAAGAGATATAGGTGTTCTTTTATCAGAGGCAGGTGGTGACATATTCGAACTCAACCTCAGATTGCCCGAACAGATCATATGTGTCTCAGGCTCTGAATTTGGGGTTTGCACTAGTTGTGCTCATTTCAGTTTTTGTGGTTTCCCACTGCAGGCCAACCAGACGAGGGTCCTCACTTTTCAGGACTTGGGGATTGAGGTTGAACCGTGTTAACCTGCTCCTGGCAGTGAAAGTGGGGGCACCTAAATGGTGAGGATTGATGAATTGGCCCATAGATGGGTGGTTTCATGCCTGGACCATGTGCAAGTGGGAGCAGTCAGCATCCATTCAAAACATGCAAGCCGAACGGCTGTATTGGTTGATGTTTGCAGGCCACGGTACCAACGCGGCAACGCGCTGCGTTGGGGATCACCCTACTCCGATTTAGATGAAGGCTGCGCGAAACCAACCGACTCAATCTTATTTGATTGAATTTTGCTCCCGCCTCTTTTTTTGACAAAGTGTCTGCGTGCGTTTGGAGGTCCATCCCTCCATGGTGCGTGCAATTGAGGCAAAGAGAAGCAACCAACCAGTCAGCTTCCCCTGTGGTTTGGACAAAACCAAACCAGTTTTAAACAGGGTTGTGCCTTTTTTCAAACAACACTGGGTTGCTTCTGACCCCTCCGCAAAAGTTTCAACTTTTTAAGTGGGTTCAATGGAAAACCCTTGATTTCAACCAAAAAGTGAAAGTCGCAAGAATTCTAAAGATCCAACCCAACAGCAATCAAGCAAAGGCCCCTAGGCCCTCCCCCTCATGCCTCCTCCTCGCTGCCGGAGAGACCCTCCACGTCAAGACCCGACGGCTTAGCCGAAAGCTTCTTGACCTCAAGCGGTCGACATCGATTTGGTTTTCGCCATCCCCAGGACCAACTGGGGACCCAAATGGCAGTCAAATTCCTGGAGTCTCCATGACCCCCTGAAAAGAATGGGTCCATAACCCCTCGTTTTGTGTGATGAACCTAGTTTTGAGGGATGTGGAGACTCCAGGTTCCCTGTTTTGAGTTGGGTAATTGCCCTTTTCCGGATGGTGTCAAGGAAAGCCCAAGTAAAACGACTCTTTTTCCGTAAGGGGGGGGTTCCCTTGTTTGGAGATTAACCCGAATGACGAATATGTAAGGGCAAACCAACCATGAAGGATCGATCAGGTTTTTGTTCAATACAGTGAGAGAGGTGGGCTGAGAAAGTCGTCCAACACCCCGGGTAGGATCTGCTCGGATGATGCAGGGAAGCATAATCGGGGTTCGCATCAGCGGTTTCCCTCAGGTTTTTGTGGTTTCCGGAAAATAAGGATCCCTGGAAAGGATGGGCAAGCTACCCCTAGAGCCATGAATAATTTCACATGCACTGCTTAAGCAACAACAAATCAGGTGGGTGTGACTTTTTAAGGGCATCCTTTTTTGGGTGGCTTCCTTTCAAAGCCAGAAGGACAACCACAATTTGTTTGGGTCCCCCTATTCTGATGTCATGGCACCTGACAGAGTCCTTGTTCGAGGAAACTGATCTTCCAGCTACCCTCTCACAAATCCAAAAGGCTCCTTTATCTTTGATATCCCAGATCGATGTGTGCGAGGGCGTGAGGATCAGTCGTTAGTGTGAAGGAAGGGTCAAGGGGCGGCATAAGAAACCATGGTTGAAACCCAGTTCAGTGGAAGGGGATTTCAACCACTCAACCACCATAAGCAAAAATGTGAAAGACATGTTTCCCAACAACAACCATCAGTATGTTGGTGATAAGAAACCATGGTTGAAACCATTCTTTGGTATTTACAAAAATCGCATCTTTTAAGGCTTAGGTGAGGATTGTGTCCATCCACAGTAACTGGGTTGACGTTGGAAGGGGAGTAAACATTATCAGATTTTAACAGTTCAGTGTGTGGTTGGATTTCAACCACTAAAAACCGCCCTAACCCAAAAGTGTGAAACATGTTTCCCAACAACAACCATCCTAGGTCCTCCAGACTTGAGAGGACCTAGAATAAGTTGCTACCCACGTTTTTTTTTTTCCGGTCTTGTCTCTTTTAGTTCGGATTTCCCTCCCCACCAAACAAGGGAACGGGTAAACAGTTTGCGCACCAACTGCCGGGACCTGATCCATCACTACGGAGGAAGCCCGCGGAAACGGAGCGAATGGTCCGGAGCGATCTCTGGGTCGAGGAGAAGCCCCCTCTGTGCGGTTTTTCCAGCGCTTTGTCAGAGCACAGCAGTTAGTTTTACACCCCTCTTTGGGTGTGATTCGAAAACTGAGGGAGCCAGCAGAATTGAGAATGGGTTTTCTTCTTAGGCTTCCCTTTCAAACCACCAAAAAAGGGGCGCCCTCGAAAGGAAAACGCCACACGACCCCCCCTTTTTGGGCGAGTTTCCCACGAGCTCGAAGCAACCTGCGGCCACAGGACCCGAGGCCGGCACAGAAGACTCCTGAATCAGCCTGCGCGCCGCGGCTCTTCCCTTGGGCTCTGTCGCCGAAAACGCCGAAATTCCACGAGGCGTTGACCTCCGAGTCTGCCAAAGACCCGGCACGATATTTTCTTCAGGGTACCAGGTCGACCCAAAAAAAAGAGGTGTATCTACCGTGGACAAACCAGGTTTTCCCCCAAAATACCCTGAAAAAAACGGGCCGAAGACGAAAAGGCGGTTTTATGTTTTCCATATTATGGCTGTGGGTTAAGAATATGTACCCAAAATGGGTTGCCCTGGTAAATGGAAACATGGACTGAAATCTGCGGACATCTGGTGGTTTCATTTTGACCCAAACCCACATGGGCGCAACCCTAGCTTTTCAATTTGGGAGCCGCACCAAGACATGGTGCTTTGGGTTCGAGGCCGGGCCCAGATGATTGAGGTGGACGGGAACCACTGGGCTTTGGGGGCCTTTTCAGGTTCGGGGAGCGAAAAAAAGAGGGGTCTCAACACCTTTGGGCGCTTTTTGTTTGAGGCTGGCTGGAATCAAAAGATGATCCAACAGGGGAAAGCCACCGCTTTTGGGATCCCACAACACGCAACATGCTACCCATACTGTGATTGGACGAAATCCTGGCTTCAACCATGGTTTCAAAGTGGTGCGAAATGGATTGCATCCATCCACGGTAGCTTACATAAGGGCCACCCCCCCCCCCCCGCCTGGAGAGAAAGTCCAGCTTTGACTCTTTGGTCATAGCCCCAAAGTCTTTCGCCGCTTCCTCGGTCGTGACATCCTCTAAAAGGCGAGCAGTGTTGAGAACCCAGAGCAGGAAGTTCACAAAGCACCAGCAGCTATGAAGACACCACGCCCGTACTTCAAGGGCGGACGGGGGCGAAAAGGCCCCCCCCTCCACCATTTCCAGCTCCAATGGCGCGGAAATATGCCAAATACTTTGGCCAAGTAGGCACGAAAGCGGCCTGTATCCGTAATTCCATGTATCTTCGACCGAACCGCCAAACAAAACCTTTAAAGAACAGGAACCCGAGGCAGAGCGAACAAGGACAACGCCCCAAGGCAATGCATCTGAGACCCCCTCCAATGGGGACTCAGAAATAAAAGGTTCACCTTTTGGGGCCATGACTAAAACTAGACCAAAAAGGAGAAACCAAAAGGTCAAAAGGTCGGCTTTGGGCAACTGAGGGGACCAATAAGCCTGGGCTGGGGCCTGCGCAGGCACTTCTCGCCACTCGCCGAAGCAGCGTTGCTGGATCAAGGCCACGGCTACCTGAGCAAAAACGTCTGGGCCGAGCAATGGAGCAAACAGTCCACTGGAGCAAAGTCCACCTGGAGCTTACCCCTTAAAACTCCAAGCCCTGGAGAAGTTAATCTTTTGCAGACATATAGCCCTGGGGAAGTTGTGTTTTTAAGAGGTAAGGGAGTGTTGGCGAGTTGACTGGTTTGTTGGATGGTTGGATGGTTGGATGGATGGATGGAAAGGCGGAAAGATGCTTGGAACCTCACAAAGGGCTCTGGACGCCCTTTGGGGCCCCGCAAATCTCTCAAGGTCAAGGGATCAAGGCATATATCAAGGCTGACTATGCGGGGAAGCACCCATCTCCTTGAACAACTGCGGCCAACCAACATTCAGGACATACCTGAAGTCTCCATGACCTTTAACTTAAAAAAACGGGTCCAAAGGAGCCAAAGGCCCAAGACGAGCAGCGGACAAACATCCGAGAAACCCCGGCAAGCAATTTCATACTTTTCATGGCCAAACTGGACAAGTGGCTCAACTCCGAGTTTCGCGGACTCCTTTTGGAGAGAGACACCAAAAAAAAACAAAAAAAAACAAAAAAACAACAACATCCCAACGCCATCCACCGACCCGATCGCTGACTCCACCGAACCGGAGCCCACAGCGGCCTCGTGCACGCAGCGCACCGGCGGCCTCACGAAGGTCCGGTCCACCCAGGGCGCCTGATCCGAGAAACGAGAGTCTCGAGTCTCGAGTCCAGTCGAGTGGAATTGTTGGCCAAAGAAAACGCACGCCCCCCCAGGCCCCCCCCGCCAAAAAAAGAAAAAAAGAAAAGAAAGCAAAACAAACAGCCCCCCCCCTCAAAAAAAAAAAAAACACGGGAAACAAACAACACACACACACACTGGTGGGGTCCCAGGTGGCTCGTGCCTCAACTTTTTGGTTGCCACTAAAATGGTCTTCCATGTATAAAGTCCGCGAACTCTGGAAGTGAACGATGCCATGATGCCATGTTTTCTGTTTTTTTTTCTGAAGAAAATCTGCAAGATAGGGGGGCTGGGTGTGAAAAAGCCACGGGCCCTGGACGAATCAATGATAACATTGACCCTGCTTCCTCCCTGTGGAGCTTCTCGAGAGGCTGAATAGCTCTGAACAAATCTGAAGACTGCGAGGTGCTAAATCCGTGCAGTTTCCGTCCCCTTTAGTTTGTTCTTTGGGAGGGAGCAAAAAAGGTGGTTGCTAGTTGAAAACAAATCACTTGACTACTTGTTTTCGCTTCGGGCACAGTTTGTATTAAGCAAGGCTATTATCCAATTGCAAGGTTTTGGTCAAAATCGGCAAGAACTTCCCACGGCACTGGTCCAGGGTCGTTTTGTCTCGCGCAATTTCCGGCGTAGGCTCTGAGCAAGGCGCCTTACAAGTTGAGGCTTCCAAAAATACGACGAGTTCCCGTTCAACATGCATTGTGGGGAGAGCTAAGCTTTAGCCCCGGATTTGGGGAAATCAACAAGAGGGTTCGACTTAGGGTCATTCCAACTCATCTCGAGACGGAGAGCCACAAGAATCTGGGGGCAGGAAATTTAACCATCACCCGCACGTTTTCAGAAATGGAACCCGGCAAAACCACCTGCTTCTCTGGGAAATCCTCCAAATCAGCTGGCAAGGGCATTTTTTGCTCCCTTCCGGTTCATTCCTACACCTCTTGAGTCGGTTCCCCTTTTTGACCACTCAGTTTCCCAGTTCGGACCCAGAAACCAAAGGTGATCGCCTTTCCGGACGAAAAACCCCATGGTTGCCATGGGAAAACCAAAAGCTCATGTCGATCTGGTCGAGTCGCCTCTGCAACCCGACAAAAAACACCTTGCCCCTACCGGGTACCTTTCCCACTTGGCTTGAAACGATGGGGGGAGTCAAATCCATTCGTCACCAATCCAAACCTCCAAATTGGCTGTGGCTCAAAAATAGGTACACACAATTTGAACCCTGGTACATGCAAACAAGGACTAAACCCTGCGGTCCATATCCTGGCGGTTTCATTTTGAGCCATACCCAAATAAGGCTTAACTGAGACTAGCCACGAAAATCCACCAACTTGGGGGACAAATTCGGAACATCCGACCTGTTTCAACCGCAAGGTGAACAAGTCCAAAGATCCAACCGCAGGTACATCATAGAGAAATTGGTAATTGCATTGTTTCATTTAAAAATCAACACTCTGTTAAATGAGAAGAGCATTGGAAACAGCAATGAGAAATCTTAACCTGAGCATCATACCCTCTACAAGAACCAGGGGTTCAAGTCCCCAAACCACCAATTAGAGGGAGTCTGAGTTAAAAGAAACCGCCTGCCCCCCCAAAAAAAGAACAAAACAATGCGCAATCCAAACCAATCAGTGGGAAGCTGAAATCCAGGCCGCGGCATTCACAAAACAAAAAGGGCGCGCCTCTCCGGAGCCCAAAGCCAGCTGCAGCAAGCCGTGGGTCTGCTGCCAGAGCCCGCTGCAAGGCACCCGGCCTTGCCTCGGATGGAGCGCTGAATCGAGTCGCAAGGCGCGCGCGCGCGCGCGTTTGGGGGGGGGGCTTTTGCGGGTGGCTCCTGGTTCAAAGAGTTGACGCCCGTTCTTTCTTGTTTTTGTGGTTTAAGGGGAACCCAAGAGGACATTTCTGGAAATCCCTTGAAGCAAAACGCACCCAACAGAAATTGGAGCTTCCGGCAAGCTACGGACGATTTATTGGTTGGATTTGGAAAGTAGCACCATTTGCAAAGTTGGAAATTTAGTTCCGTTGCCAACGCCGCTTGCCGAATTTGAGAAACCAATTCGCTCAATAAGACCAGAACAGAAAGCTCGCTTCCCAAATGGGTCTGTCTCAAAACAAAACTCATTGAGATTGCTTTTAAAGGGAAACCAACAGGAAACCACTGTTTTGGGGGACAGCTATTTGGGAAACACCCCAGTGGTTGCTTGCAAAGGTCCGTCCGCAAAGAAATTTCCCGTCTGGGGGCGCTGCATAGCAATGCCCACCACCTCAGCAAATCACTGGTTCCCGGTCTCAACAGCAGCTACAGTTGCTATTGAGCACCTAGGCTGGCAACTGGAACTCCAAAGGCCAAGCCTCTCCTACCAAGCATCCCACCACGCAAAGCGCACGTGCGTGAACACATATGCGCACACAAAGGCTCACAAGGCCAGTGATTGCGGACGAAGCTCTTGCTCGGTGTCTCAAGTAAATCATGACGCTTCCATTTGCTTAAGCCCCCTGCAAAAAAAATCCAGTAGTGATAGATTCCCTTGAAAACCAGCAAGGGAACATAGACAAGTTCTTAAGCAAATGGATGGACATGTCCATGGCGCTGCCGGATGAAAGGATGAAACGCCGGGCTCAAATGACGCTTTTGTTGGCTCTGCGCTCGTGGGGCGTGGACGAGTGGACCCCCCTTCATTGAAGGTAGTCCCGAGACGGCCAACAGCAACCAAACTTGTTGTTTACCACTGAAAGAAACGACCACAACTAATGTGGCTGGGGATCGAGTCCTTGACAAACTTCCCAAACCTTACCATAACAACACAGCAGTGTTGCTTAGCTTCTCTCTAATTTGCAGTTTGGTGGCTTGGGGTGATTTCTCATTTACCCTTTACAGGAATCAACTCTTTGCAGCCCACACAAAACGAGAATCTGTATTGATGTCCGGCCCTTAGCCGTCCAGAACGGGGGCTCGCCCATTTGGGGGAGGCAACGCAGAAACTGGGCAGTGTCCTTGTGACTGCCCTAAGGTCACCCCCCAAAAATGAGGGTACTCCTACAGACTCAGGGACGGGCCAAAAACTCTAGGGGTATCATTCTTTCCAGGGATCCGGATCTTTCTGGAAAACCTCCAGAAACCCAGGGAAAACGGATCTGTTTTTGGAAAGAACGATGCTTGAAAAGAATGGAATTGGAATCAACCCCTAGAAAAACCGTCCGAACTTTTGTACCACCCAACTAGGCGGGAATAATATCTTTTTTGCCTGGTTAGTGGAAAACAAAGGGGACCCCGAAAAAGAAGAAAAGGACAACGGGGAGCAAATTCTGGGGAAGTCAAAAGCTCCAAACCTAAGTGTTCCGTCCAGGAACTGAGCTGATCGATTAGACAAAGGAAGCCGAGGCCCAGTCGGTCATGGGTTCCTGCAGATCGACCTGGCGCGAAAAAAGCTGTGGCCCACTGCGGCTTGCGGACCGTCGGGTGCAAAACAAACATTATCTGTTGTGTTTAGTTATTTGTTTTTTGCTTTCTCTCCCTGTTCAAACAAAACACATTCAAATGTAAAAGCATCTGTTATAAAGGAACGAAACAAACTATACAACTAGTACACATAGCATGCCTGTATCTATATATGTATATATTATTACTTTCTTTTTTACATTTGTTTTTTAATAATGAGGGTTAATAAAAGGATGGCGTGCTCTTAGTAGGACTCACCAAGCGCTGTTATGGAATGAACCTGCAAGACAATCAATCGTGGGTCAGGAAAAACGAAAACAACAAACAATCACACATCCGGTTTCCTATACAAATGGAAATTGAACATTGGAAGTTACGTACCACCCAAACAACAATGAAAGCTGACAGAGCGAGGCACAAACAAAAACAACTTATTAAGCATCAACAAACAACTTACTTCTGAAGATCGAGAGGCAACTTGTTCGGCATCAAGACACTTGCTGGGCATCACCTTGATGCAAAGCACCGTGAAAAGACCGGACACTGCAGCATCAACGCAACATCTGATGAGGCATAGGTACCCTTACTCCCACTAACATGGCACCTGACAGGGAAATAGAGGACATCTATCTTCCAGGGACCCCACAGGTGCCATGTTAGGAGGGAGGATATCCTTTGTGGACAGTAGATGGATTTCCCTGGTAAATGGAATGAAACCCGTCTAAACCAGTGGAACCCATCTATTTCTACTCGAGCTAACCTAAAAAGGACGCCTATGATTAGGCATCCACAACAAACTTGTCGGCCATGGCTGGGTTGGTGGGTTTACTGCGGGTGGCTCAGGATTGTTTAGCTTAGGGTGGGTTTGGGTGGGTTTGAGGTAGGCGGGTTTGGGGTGGGTTTGGGGGTGGGGACAGGTTTAGGATGGCTTTGGGGCGTCCCAATAGTCATTGGGCAATTGTGTGACGGGAATGACAAATCGAAGTCTAAAAAGGCAAGCAGGGAATGAGAAATAGAATGACCGTTATACACCATCCAACTGGTGGTTTTAGGGGACCAAAGCCTGGGTTCATTCCATTTCACATTCCCTATCGCACCAGCCGTATCTCCGCTCGCACCAGAAGTTGAAGGCCTCCCAAACAGACCTGACGCTTCGTTTTGTATCCCAACGCAGCCTGGATTCATTTTGTCCACCGAAATGGCCCAAACACAAATAGAGTCCCGGAACTCACTGGGTTTACTGGCTTTTTGGCTTGGCTCTTGCGGGAGACGTTTGGAGCTGCCACGTGGACCAGAACCTACCGGAGTTGCTGGCCAAGCCTCAAATGCCAAACTCGAACACACACACACACACACACACACAATTTGGACAAACTGATACGGGATGCAGGCTTAACGATGGCAGGCGGGGTTGTATTTAAGTCAACGAAACGGCAGGAAATAAACTGAAGCACATGCCTGTTATTTTTTCTAATTTGCAGGGCTTCGGTCCATAGGAGATTCTGCTCCCAAAGCTGGTGGCTTCTGGGTTGCGTGTTGCTGGGCTGTCTGTTTTCAGATCCTCTGCTAGAAGCTTAACCTTTAGTGGGTGAAATCCGGAAACCCCACCACCAAATCAACTAAAACGCTTAACACCCAAGGAACCACCCAGGTGTTCCACGAAAGGTTCAGGTTGAAGATAGCAGTCAAATCTCAGTCAAGACGTGAAAATCGGAGGTCAAAACCTCCCCTAGGTCCTCCAGTAGAGAGGTTAGAATAAGTTGGTACCCACTTGTTTCAGGACGTCCATTTTAGTAGGGGAAGCCTCCCAACCAAAAAAGGAACGGCAAAAGGTCACCTAGACCCCTTTCAGTGGAGCTCTTCACCTGACTCGCCACGCCACCCCCCCCCAGGGCTGCCTCAAGGAACTCCTCCTTGCCGGTGGCAGGGCACCAGGCGCCGGCCAACTCGCAGCGCTGGAGCCTGCGAATGACGTCAGCCAAGCTTCCGGGCTTCGGTTTTGCGCTTCCTTGGCCTTTTTGTGTTGAAAGGAGGCCCCTCCTGTTCTGCACCATAGACTAGAGGAAGTCGCTTGCTGCTAGGAGAACCAAACTACACAGGGCAAAGGAGGCCGATTTTTTTTGAGGACACCGGTGTGTGGGTTTTTCAATCAGGGGCTCCCTTGGTCCCCTTCTCTGGTGTGTCTCGTTTGAGGCCATGCCCAAACATCCGCGTAATACGAACGCGACTGTGCCACCAGGACATCGGACATCCATCGGGCTGCTCAACGCAACCCGGAAACCAACCCGCAGGGCACTACTTTTAGGATGCTCGGGAAACCCAAAAAGTCCAAAATCAAGACCTGGTAAGGGGCATCTGCCGGCCAAAAACAATAATGATTCAACCGGCCGGAAATGTCCGCACCTCTTTCTAGTTGGGGCTTTCCTTTCCCTCCATCAGGGTCCCCTTCGAGACGCAAACATCACAACATGACCAAAGACTTGATTTTCGAAAACCATTGACGCAGCAGGCAAAGGTTGTGTTTTTGCCCCAAAATGGATCCTCCAAGAAATTATTGTTTCTTCTCACCAGGTCAAGTGAATTATTGACGGCTTGGCTGGGTGAGGAAAAAAAGGAAATAAATGAAAAAAGAAAACACAAACAAGAATAATAATCATATTTAAATAATAATAATAACACTAAAAACAATAATAACAAGGAAAATAACCAAACAAAAAACAAACAGATGCCTGGCGCAGCTTGCCAGGTGCGAGTGCGAGGACGCTGAGATCTGCGTGTCCGGCACCTCGCGCCTTATTCGACGGCCCGTTTTTCGGACGAACCTCCCCCCTGCAAAGTGGGACAAATTGGGCCTAGGTATGCCTAGGTCCGCCAGATTTTAGAGGTTAGAATAAGGGTGCCCGATATGTGTTTTTTCTCGGTAGTCTATTTTAGTAGGGGAACCCTTCCCCAAAAAAGGGTGAAGGGCACTGCTGGGGGACCTAGGGGCCTATGTCTCCCTCTACGACATCCGCCTCACCCAGGTCGAATGGTGGTTTCAAAGAGGTCTACCTGCAGCTCTCCACTTGGGTTTGTCTCAAAGTAGGGAACCCCCTAAAAGGGGCGGTTTTATCTTCGTGCCCTTTGCGGACCGTCCCCCAAAAAGGGTAGCTTCAAAACAAACAGACCCTCTTACTGACATCCTCACAATCACAGGTGCGGAATAGTGACTTTGGTCTTGTGTTTATGTGGTTTTGGTGTTGGTTTTGGTTTGGAAAAGTGTTTGGTTTTTGGTTTTGGTTTCTCACCCCCCAAAAGTGATCTTGAGAGCTGGCCAGCTGGGCTGTCGGGCGAGGCAAGGCCCAGGGCGAGCGGCAGCACGTCTGGGGCCACCTGGAGTTGGAACCCAAGGGACCCAAGGGACCGGGGCTATCTGAAGGCTCAAGGATCTACACGGTAAAGATGGCAATTGGAGTCTAAGGGGATTATATCCGAGGGTAAGTTAACAAAGTGGGATTAATTACCATCCCTTGAAGGAAGCCGTAAAAAGAATGGTTACAAGAGGCTTATTTCCTGATTCCCTGGTTTTGACGGGGGTGATTTCAACTCCTTCCCTCAAATCCCAGCCCATCAAGCCAAAAATGAAGATCTTGGTCGATAGCTCACTGACCGCCAACAGAAAGGAAGCCAATGGTTAAAAGGTCCTCCAGTAGAGAGGTTAGAATAAGTTGGTACCCTTTTTGCTGTAGTCTATTTTAGGGGCTTTCCCTCCCCTTAAAAAGAACCGGTGAGAAAGGGCACCAATTGCTGGGGGACTTAGGTTAAAAGGGGAGGCGTGTTTTCCTCTCATTTCCAGCCGATCGGACCCAAAAATCAAATCCGATCTTGGTCCAGCGCGGCAACAAACCGACCCCCGCGCCGAGCGCCGACCTCGAGCTCGAGGTCCGGCAAGTCCGCGCCTGCGAGGGCGCCCGTTTTCCTCCACCCCGAACTCACCGAAGACGGGCCCAAACAAGGCTCTCGCCTTTTTTTTTGGGCCACGCCAGTGGCCAAGAACTTGTCTCGACCACGAAAATGGCCACCAGAAAGCCCGAAACAAGCGGACTCGAGATCCAAGTTCCGGAGCTGAAGTAAGCGACTTGATGTTTAAGGTGTGGTGGCAGGTTTTGGGGGGGCAGCCTTCCCCATTTGATTCAAAAGGCTTTTGCTGGGGTGCATCTCCACACCACCAAGCCACCAATTCAAACAGTGCTGGCTGAATCGCCGTCCCAACTTGGGTGTTTGAACACTGTCAAGTAAGTATGCTCCTTTCAAAGGGGACTAAGCCTAGGTCCTCCAACAGAATCAGGCTATCCTTTTTTTTTCTGTAGCCTATTTTGGTGGGGGGTTTCCCTCCCAACCCAAGATAGCTGGCGGACCTAGAAGCCCAGTTGCCCAGGCCTTCTGCAAGATCCCGGAGGCCTCAGGACGTCACACTGGGGACCTCTGAGTGCCGGCGGGGGCGCTACAAACTTCTCACCAAGGCAGCTGCGATGCTGAACTGCCCTCAGATCCCCCGCTAAAAGTGACTCACTCTTAAAATGGAGACTACCACTAAACACCAAAGGCTAAAAAGGCTGGGAGCCACCAAGTCAACATCGTGCACACAAGGAGTTTGCCATTCCAAAACCCCGAGCGCATGGCAGGATTTGCCATTTCCCGTGGCAATGGTACATTGCACCACTCAAGGGAAAACCCATTTCGCAACTTGCCATGAAACAACGAAGCTGCAATAAACCTTCCACACATGTTTCGCTTCATGCTTCCGGAAGCACCGAATGCAGGCTGCAATCGTCAGTTTGCGACCCAAGGCGACGCCAGTTCTACTGGAAAATAAGGTTCCTTCCTCTTGGAGTTTCTCAATGTTTCTCATGTCTTGCTTCCTGAGTGGATTGGCCAAACAAAGTCCAAACGCTTTATTTACCACCATTTACTCGGGCTACGACGCTGGCCCAGCTGAGTCAGGCTGAAGTTCAGCTGAGCCACCTGGCCAGCGGAGCGACAAACTGGTTTGGGTGGCGATACTGTGGATGGACGAAATCCATTTCGCACCACCTAAGAAAGCCTGGTGTGTGGTGACCCCCCTGTAAATACCAACAAACTATGGTTTCAACCATGGTTGCAAAAGTGGTGAGGATTTCGTGCATCCAGTATGGCCGTGGGTCAAAAGCAAAATCATATTTTTAGGGAACATCCAATTCAATCCCCAGTGAAATAGGTTCGAACATGCGTGGTGAATTCACCCAAAACCCCAAAATGGGATCCCATTAGTTTTGACCCACAGCCATCTGGCAATAGAACACAACGCCAGCCTTAGGGTGACTCTGAACACGTATCCGGACATCACAAAGGTTGTGGAGTTCTTCACCCTACCAAAGGTTGCCACTCCCATGCTGAGTTCCTATCACCTTGAAGGGGGTTCCCGTGGCTCACAAAGCCCCGATGTTCCACGCTCATGCAGTCTTCGCTCCCATCTGCAGTCACCCCAGCGAATAAAAGCAAACTTCGCCTCCTGCAGGAATTGCCCGGATGTCGCTGCGTAGTGCTCGCGCAGCTGAAGTTGCACCTCAGGGGATCGGAGGCGAAGAATGGCCGGGGGTTCCCTTGGAGGGAAACCCCATCCCTCAAGAACCAGGGCTTCAAACCCGATTTGGAAGCTGACTGTCAACCAGCTGGAAAGCACAAGTCTGCTTCGGAAGTCTCATGTCGAAAACATACATGTCACCGACAAAGCTCAACTCTCCCCTCTGCTGAGTACTTTCTCTCTGCCGAACAGCAGAAAAAAACACTTTCCCATTAGATTTGGGATTAACGTCAATTGACCAAGCTACTGAGGCTCCATCGCCACAAGTAAGAACCAGAAGCAACCTCCCCACCAACAATGACGTCAGCCCAATGACCAACCCAAACCAGAGTTTGGTTTCCAAAGAGTTCCTGTTCATCGATTGCCATGGTCCCCACGTCCCGTGCAGGAATTGGCCATTCTCAATAGAGTTGGGACCAGAAAGCAGAATACCGCGGGTTTTTGCAAGCCTCCCGATTCGAGCAACACCATTTCGGGGAGCCCGGACTGGGTCCAATCAGGTGGCATCCTCCAAGTGACCCTGGAGGTTGATTTGACGTTTCCACCCCGCGAAGTGCCTTCCACCCCCCCCAAGAAAACAACAAAAAGCAGCAAAGAACAAGAAACAAAGCATGTGGAAATCACCTGCCCTCCCTGTTGGACCCCCCCCCAATGCACCTTGAAGCATGACTTGCTGGTTCTCAGCAGGGAATGAGTTGGAACGACCACAAAAAAGCCATCCATCCTGGCGGTGCTCAGCACCTCAGAGATTCCCGTAAAGGAAGCCACCAGTTGGATGGTTCAAAAAGTGGTCATTCCCTGCAGCAAGTTTTTCAGACTTGTGTTGATTATTCTTCTTTTTTAAATATATGTCTTGTTTTACTTTTTCGGGTCTTTCGGTTTTCTGCCGTTTCGTTTTGGTTTCGGCGGACTTTCTCCATTCAAGGGTCGCAAAGGCCTTCAAGTTTCGGCCGGATCCGGTCCATTCCCACCCTTCAACCGCTCGGCCCCTGGCCAGCTGCAATAGTTCCAGGCCCTCCACCTCCCAAGTGACCCGTTCCCAAGTGACGTCGCCGCCCCCTGCGCTGTTGGGACGTTGGGAACCCCGTGCTTGGGGTGATTTTACATGGAAGCCCACGGGCAAAGCACCACTGTTGGGGTGGTGTTAAATGGAAACTCACCGGAAAAAGAAGCGCTCCTTTGGTGGGGTTTCTCTACATTTTCCATGCAGCCCCAAATAGATCGGGACAATGGACAAATGACCCGGGTGGCTCGCGTATTTTTTGAGTTGGTACCAAGTTTGAGGGGGATGAAAGGGAAACTCAGAAGAAAGCCGAAGCCACTTTTGGGAGGTCCGATTCCTAAAAGCATCGAGAAGCAAACACCGTGTGCTCACGTAGCCACAGGAGAAGCCAAAGGATTTGGGAAGGGAAGCCACCAGAAAAAAGAGTCCGACTCGAGAGATGAGATCTGCCGCCGTGAAACACGGATCAGGTACCCATGCCATTAACATTGAAAATGAAGTCATTCCAACTTATAGGAGCAACTCACTTCATGAGTGCCCTGGTCCAAACACGTCTGATTTTTATTACTAGGGTTTAGGGTTTAGGGTTTGCCGCTAAACTAGTTGTCATGCAAAAGTTTGAAGTCCTTGCAATCAGGGAGTGAGAATTAGTGCTGCCACCACTTACCCAAGTTCAAGACATCTCGCCGGCGCCTCTTGCTCTTTTCCCTCCTGCAGTGTCACAGCAATCTCCGTGCTGAGCGTGCCTCAGCCAAGTGCCCAAGAGCGACCCTCGCCAACTCCGCGCTGGTTGAAGCGGCCGGCTGAGAAAACCCAGGGCTTGTGCTCAGGCACCCAGCGTGTCATTTTCCCACCTCTCATTGGTTTGGCTTCCCAATTTGCCTTCAAAAGGAACTGGGGGTCAAACCGCCAAGCCAAAAGGAACTGAGCTCCTCTCGGGTTCTTCGAGTTGCAAACGCAACTTTTCGTTCAAAAACAACTCCCTGAGTTCTTTTGTCGAGTGGCAAATGCAATCCTGTGACTTTGACAAGCTCCTGATTCGTGGGAGCTTCATTTTCCCGAGCTGGTCAAAAGGCAAATGGCAAGAAGAACCTGCAAAGCCACATGCAAGTGGGCGTGTCTCAACATGGGGGTCCCTAAAAACTGCAGCCTGTGCTTTTGCGGCGCTTTCAAGCGCTTTCACACCATCCCAAGAAGGGTACCAGCAAAAACAGACCCACCCCCATGAATGCCTAGGCAGCTAAGCATTGAGGGGGGTGTTGGGGGTGGTGGGAGTGACATGTGCAACAAGAGTGCTGCTCATCTGCAGTGGATTCTTGTCTATGCGAATAGTTACGTGAGGAATCAAGCCTTCTTCGAGTACCCTAAATTAAAAGGTGGACCAATTGACCGCGCGCTTACAAAACCCAGACCTTCAATTGCCAGGGCAACACGGGAGGCGTGTTTTTTGGCTTGCTGGTTTTCGAGGGAAGCCCCCACAACTGGCACCAAAGGCAGTTTGATGGCCACTGGAAACCCAGAGGTTGCCTGGATTGCCTCAAAACAGATGCTGATCCATTCACAGGGGGGTTCCATTACGAGAAAGTCTCTCTGGCAGGTTCTCTGACCTTTTGATCAAGATGACTCGCGTGAGAAATCGACCCGGGCTGCCGGGCACAGCTGGCTCTTGTAGCTGACCTCTGCCTGCTCCGCCGCCTCAACGGCTAAAGAACGACCCGGCGCCGTAGCTGTGCCCTTTTGGACAAAGTGAAAGGGGGGGGGGGGGTTGGGGTCCTGGGCCTGGACATAGGTGTCCCTTTGGCAAAAAATCGAAGGAGTTCCCTAGGTTCAGGTCAACAAGGAATCGCCATCTATGCTCGAACAAAACAACCAAAAAGGACCCTTATGCATGGCCCGGGAAGGTCACGTGAACGGTCAACACTCATGATCATCGTTTGCCTGTACTTATTAAACAGGGGCACTCTAAATGTCCGAAGGGGGCCATGATCAGTTGCTTTGACAACCATCAGTTCACATGCTTTTTCCACCGTGACACGTTTGATCTGCTCAGAACAAGGTTTAAACTTGCAAAACACCTTTTTGGAATCCTACAAATGGCTATGGGTAACAAAAAACGTACCCTCAGTGAACATCCCAATCCCCACTAAAATAGGTCCTAAAATGGGTGGTGCACCTAGCCCAAAATGGGATCCCATTGGTGTTGACCCACGGCCAGATCATTCTGACGCCGCTGAATGCCTGCAGGTGGCAGATCAAACTCTGGGAGCCCATGTAATCCGAAGCTTGCTGGTTCCCGGGGAATGAAGGAATGAACAAGCCGGGATCCACTTGCCCGAAACTGGTCCCCTCAACTTAGGGAGCGAATGAACAAGTTGCCCTTAACCACAAAGGCACAAGGAATGGTTCGGTTCCCGGGTTCCAACTCAACAAATAATAGAGTTGGAAGAGCAGGGGCGAGCGCCTGTTTCTGTGCCGCACAAAACAAGGCTTCGGGGTTCCTTTCGGTGTTCCTTTACAACCAAAAAAATGGTACCCTCCAAAAATAAAATCACATCCACATTGGCTGCACGTGAAAACATACGAGACCGCCGGTCAGGTCTAAGCCGCCCGCCGCGAGTTCCTTGGCCTCCGGATCGAATTCAGAGACATGGGCGACTGCGAGCAGCAGCAAACGCCGCCTTCCACCCTTTTCACAGCCGGAACCGATCGACGTTCGGGACCACCATGTCCCTTTAAAAGAACACTGGGTCAGTTCTATGTTACTTGGTTGGGAGGATACTCGCAGTCTCAAAATTCCCTTGAACTTGGGTGATTGCCCCAAGCTGGAGTGAATTCCCTTTTTTTGGGGGGGAGTTTGAGGCTCGTGAGTTTGGAGCTCCCACCAGTTCTAGGGAGATGCCTTCATTCACCCCTAGCCGGTTCTGAGTGAGTTTGGTTGTCCTCAGCAAGTTTCACATCTCCGATCCGTGCGGTGCGCCCTCTCTGTGCGCCCCCTCCCCCCCCACCCCACAACAAACCGGCGCGGTGGAAAACACGGATCCGCCACGACCGCGATCGATCCGTTGGCCCAGCTCCCTCCCGTCCGTAAGTTGGCATCTTTTGCGTGGACCCAAAGCCTGGGTGAAGGACGGAACCCTCATTGGGATAGATCCCATCTTTCATAAACCATTCAAACAATGAATCAATGAATCCAATGAATCAAGCAATCGATCGATCAATCAATCAATCAATCAATCAATCAATCAATCAATCAATCAATCAATCAACCAATCAATCAATCAATCAATCAATCAATCAAGCAATCAATCAACCAAGGAAAACCCGAAACCTCTCCAATCCCGCAATACTGGGGCCCGTGCCATGATCTGTAGCTTCGCTTGTGCCTGCCGGCCCCACATGGGGAAACTAGGGTTGGTCACCGAGCACTATGGGGGAGGAAGGGCTGAATAAGGGCTTTATTTGGGCTCCCTCCTCCCCTCCCTCCCCCCCATGCCTCCGTGAATTACACAAAATCAGAACCATCTCTCCAACCATCAGCATTTCGGGTAAGGATCCTACTGGACTCAGGCTTCCCATGCATCCGATGGAGATCTCCAGAATAAAAATCCGAACTCCCCCAAAACCATTAAGGGGATGCGGATCCATCACCTACTCAAATCCCTCGAACTGCCCCAATTGCAGTTCAAAGAGCTGTTGCGGTATTCCCTAGCTGCATGGTTCTTCAGAAGCTGCAAAAGTCCCTAAAGGTAAATTTCCGTTGGGTGGGGGTTAGAAGGATTGATCATGTTTCGATTGCCAAACCGGTTCTAAAGGCTGATCTTTTGCTCATGTGCTTCAGCCAGGGCTCTCTGCACAGCAAAAGGCGCATTCCTGAGAAGAATTGCGGGAAGTACAGCTTGATGGCCATCTTTCGACAGTCTTCCTGTCCTTTCCGCCCCACCACCTAGAAACAAACAAACCCGTACTGACGGGATTCTTCCATGACTCTTGGAGCAACTATCAACACTTGGCCTTCCAAACGTCTCTCCACAAGCTCCGCTTTCACTTGGGGCGGAAGGGCAAAGACTGCATTCCACGGGGGCACAGATTGGGGAGGGCAAACTGCGCAGAGTTCCCACCGGCCGATTGGGTGAAGTCCCGTCTCCTGGCTGAGAAGTAGCTGGGAGGTGCCATCCAAATCCTAGGCCGGGCGTCTTGGCTCGGGGTGTTTGTGCCAGGTGACAGTAGAAACCGCGCACCTCGCGGTGGATGCGGGTCAGTAGAGGGGATGAGGGAACCAATGTTGGGAGATTGCGCCATCTACAACACTGCACTAGTAAACGCAAACCTTCCAAGTTGGGAGAGGCACAAGCTTGCGAACAACAAGGAACAACTCACCATGAGAATCGAGGATTGGCAGATTGCAGAAAACAAGGATAACTCCAACATCTCTAAACTTGCCTGCTCTGATGTGTGATATTTGACAAGCATGCTTGCCATTTTAATCACAGCATCGCATGCGTGTCTTTTGATCAGCTCATAAACCAACAACAAAAAATAGTGTTTTTGTTTTTTTTAAGGGGCCGCGTTCAAAAGCAGGCTGTGCCGAGAGCTCCAGATTTCCGGTGCCAAGAACTGTTTGCTTGTGAGGCAGTTGGGTGCCTCCGCCGCTGATGCATCCAGCGACGCATCCAGCGACGCATCCAGCCTGATTTCAGACCAATGACTTGAAGCACCAATTGGCTCGGCCAAACGCCTTTGGACCATCCCACCTGCCCAAAGGACCCATCAATAAAAGGTTAACCTTTTGGGACCCCTACCAAAAATAGACCAAACAGGGCAAACCAAAAGGTCAAAAGGTCGGCTTTGAACAACTGAGCTGTCCTTTTAACTTGCTTGACCTTGGAAGGGAAGCAAAACAAATTAAATTTTAGCAGTTAAGTGGTTGGATTTCAACCACTAAACCACAAGAAAAATGCAAAATGTTGCCCAACGACAACCATGTTAAGGGAAATAGATGGCCCATGATGAAACCACTAGGTAAACCAGGAATCGACATCTATTTTTCGAGCAAAACAACCAAAAAGTCGACGCCTATGCTTTCGACCCTCCGAGAGTCCCGTTGGTTCCTTGAGGGGGCGTGCAGGAGGGTCCCTGCCTGAAAGCTCAGCGCAGCCCCCTATTTGGCGTGGTTTTGAGGAAGCCAATCATGGTCGGTCCATTTGGAGACAACCCCCGCACCATTTTCAACAGGATTTCGAATCAGCATTCATCATATGTTTCATTTAAACTCCCCCCCCCCCAAAAAAAAAGAAAAAAAAGAAAGAGAGGCAACTCATTTCAGCATACCCCACAAGAAACTGAAGGAGATATCTATATAGTAACCCCCAGAAAAAAAGGAAAAACCTACGACTCCCCTCCAAAACAAAGGAACGAAAAAGAAAGACAGAAAAAAAAAAGTAGATTGGTTCCCCTCAGCACAAAAAATGACAAAGGGAAAAAACATAATAAGACAAGTAGATATTGGTTTCCTTCTGGGCTCCCTTTCAAACCGAACACTGCTTGCAGCTTCGCCCGCCCGTTTTTGTTTGGCCCGGTGGCCCGCTTCAGCAGCTCGACATCGCTGACCGCCCCGTCGCGGTACAAACGGACCTGGGCGAAGATCCATTCAGAATTCCGCACCGAGGAAACCCCCGGGTGTCTGAGGGTCCCCCTACAAATACCAACCAAAACTATGATGTGTTTTTGGTTTTTGTGTGGTGTATGTTTTTTTTGGTGTGGTGTCATAGTGGTGCAGGATTTCGTCCATCCGCGGTGGATCAATGTACTTTACCCGAAGGAAGGTTCCTTGAAAAGGAAGCATTCCAAGAATTTGCCCATCGTCCAATCTGATCCCCTGCTCAAAGTGACGAACTTGTGGGTTCAATGGAACCTCCACCACAAAACCAACTAAAACACTCCAAAGAGTTGAGCCGGGCTATGAAACGCCAAGCTATTTTCAGAGATCTCCCCCAAGACTCCGATTCTTGGCTTCGAGGACTTACACCCTGGATCTAAGTAGAACTTGTGGTTGATTTTGATCTGGGGGGTGGCTGTGTGGGGGTTTGTCACTTTTGGAGAGAACACCCCCCCTTTTCATAGGTCAGGTTTATTAAAATCCGATGCACCGACGTTCGCTCTTTTAAACATCATGTAATAAATAAGTCTCACGTGCCACAAATGTATGGGTATGGGTCGAATTTTAAACCACCAGGACAGGACCACCAGGACATGGACCCATTCTCCATTTGCGTTTTCGCCCCCTGGAAAAACTATTCATATGTCCAATAGGGAAATCGATTCCCTTTAAAACCAGCAAGGAAAGAATAACATAAATCATTTCAGATGACGTTTAAAAACCAGCAAGGGAAAAATGAAAAATACTCATTTCAGCAAATGGAAGACCTTCCATGTCTCCTTCCCCCCTATCGCAGCGGCAAATGACTCGCTGGGCCCGGTGGCGGTTTTCAGCTGCGACTGGAGCTGCTGGGGGCATCGAAGCACCGACGCCTCATGGCTCCCACGGGGTTTGTTGCGGGTCCCACGCCCCTAAGCAACCAGAAAGATTGTTATTTTCTTCGAACTTCAGTTTCCCTCCAATTGGTGGTTCTGGCTCAGGGTTGGAGGTTGGGGTGCGGTTTCCCAGTGAGAGCAAGAACCAGGGGTTCAAATCCCCAAGCCACCAACCCAAATCACCAAGGTATATAATGAAAAGACTTTGAGTTTGTTAAGTTTGCATCCACTCACTAATCACTCGAACAGGCCACAAAGACTAAACAAAACAATATGCCAACGAGAGGTGAAGCAGCCCAAGCCCTGCCCAAGTCGGTTCTGAACCAGCCCAGTTGCCGCAACTACAACATATCATGTTGGCGTAAAACAACAACGCAAAAACAAAGCAAACCAACTTGTGCAGTTCCGCCTTACAGTGTTACCATCATGCGGGACGGTGTCAAAGCAAATCCGACCTCTCCAAACGGGGATCCTTCCAGTCGGTGTTCTTTAACTTCCTTCGCGCCCACGCGTGGCAAACGGAATGCCTTTTTTGGTGCAACCCGTTTCGGATGGCTTGGAAGGGACACAAAAAGGAAAGCGTTTGGAGCATAGGTGTCCTTTTGGTAAAATAGATGGCGATGGATGATGAAACAACCAGGTGGACCAGGGCCATCTATTCTCTACCAAAACAACCAAAAAGGACACTTATGATTCAAACCGAGCGGCTTGGATACGGTGGGAGGGGAATCTCCAGTGCCGCTCATTTTGGGGAGGTGTCAACAGCAAACAGATCCTCTCCCACGCCCCCCAAAATGGGTGAACAAGCGTGCCATCCCCCCATAGACTGCGCGTGAGTGGAAATGCCAAATGTCCAGACTTGTTCAATCAATTTCCGGTGCCAATTTGTGGCACCTGGAGTCGCCATAACTACCATGCCATGGCTGTCAAACAGGTCACTCAAACCAGCCGACAAAAAGCATGAAGAGCTTCGCGTGAAGGAACTCGAAAGGGCAACAAGGTCAATGAGACAATACAACCCAATCTCCGATCTCCGATCTCAGAATCAGCAAACAACTAGGTCCTCCAGTAGAGAGGTTGGAACACTGGTACCCTTTTTTCTGTCGTCTTTAGTCTTGCTTCCCACCACCATGGGTTCCCCAAAGGCACGCACACATCATGTGGTGGCTTAGGAAACCAAAAGGACCTCGCCTGGGTTGCAACAAAACCGTCCCCAGTCCAAGAGAACTAGGGCCTTGGAGCCTATGGCCTCGAAGGTGGGCTCCTAAGAAGGTCAAAGCCAAAACTTGGCTGACGTTGGGCGTGGGGAGCCAAACAAAGATTCAAGCTTTAGCAATTCAGTGGAGATTTCAAGCACAAGACCGCCAGCAAGATGTAAGATGGTTCCCAACAACCATGAAAACCTGGTGACTGGGTCGCCCACCTCAAGCCCGGCCAAGGGGCCAGATGCTCCGGCCAGCGCGAGCCGGTCTCTCCTTGTGAGGCCACCCAGGACCTCAAGGGTCCAAGTGGGGCCAAAGCGTTTTTGTTTTTTCCTTTTTCGGGGGAAGGGGGGGAGGAGGGTGCGCCTCGTGTGTTTTTGTTTTTGTTTTGGGTGTTTTTTTTTTGTGTTTTTTTTTCCGGAATTTGTTTTGAGGAACCTTTATTTTGCGGGAGCTTTTTTTGGGAACTCGTTTTGGGGAACTTCTTTTTTTTTGGGGGGGGGGGACTTTTTTGTTGGAAGTCGTTTTGGGGGAACCTCTTTTTTGTGTGGGAGGGGGGGGGTTGAGGGGAGCTCGTTTTGGGGGAACCTCTTTTGTGGGAGGGGCTTTTTTGGGGGAACTCCTTTTGGGGGAACCTTTTGCCCTTTGTTCCACAATTCAAACCACCAGCTAAGGGCTACCTGATTTTGGGCGGAAAAAGGAAACTTTGTATTGAGGTGGTACCCTTTCTGGGGTGGTTGTTCAGGAAAACCGTGGAACACCGGTCTGAAAGGAAACCAACAAGAAAAATCCTGTTGACCTGGCCCCATCCAGATTCGCCTGAGTATTGCTCCAAAGAGAAATCCGAAGAACCACTTCGAAGTTGGCATTGCAACATGTTTGTGCCAATGGGATAGATACAAGGTAAGTTTGATTGTGTTCGACAAGGGTATAGTTCCTCCAGGACCTTCCAAAAGCTGTCCAATTCCCCCCAAAATTCCACTGAAGGGGCTTGTGGTGCCATGTGGTAGCCTGATGACCACACAAATACCAGCAGTTGCTGGAAATTCGCGAAAAGAACAAACATAAAATCACCAAACAAACAACATAAAAAAAAAAAAAAAAAAAAAAAAAAAAAAAAAAAAAAAAAAAAAAAAAAAAAAAAAAAAAAAAAAAAAAAAAAAAAAAAAAAAACTACAAACAAATACACCTCGGGGGAGAAACAGAACGGTCTGAAGAGGCAGCCGTCAAATAGCCAACGCTCGTGTCATTTCTCCGCTCGTGAAGTCATTTGCCCAATGCTCTCCAGAAAGTTTCGGTCCGCAAAGAGCTCATCACGGAGCTCCAGCGAGGCCAGATTCTTCTCTCCGAAGCGGACCAAAACGATGGCCTCCGAAAGGAAACCACCAGTTGGATGGTTTTTCTCGATTCCAACTCATACTGAGAACCAGCAAGTTGTTTGACCCAAATGTCCATATGGGAAGGTCAACGAATAGCCAATCACCCGTCCACGACTCCAAGTATTTGTGGTATTTGGGGCCAACGCTGCGGCACACCAGAAATCAGATGAGAGCCCCATGAAAAGCCGGTCGATGCCCCGGGATTGAACTCGTATGGGTGTGGTGCCTCGGAGTTGGTGCCTGCTTTTTTGCGGGGTGGCAAAGGGACACTCAAGCAAAAACCAAAATCATGGAGGTGCCCAAGTAGGAGAAATGACCGGAGGTCAAACATGGCTAATGCTCAGGGCTTATGAATCTCCAGCCCGAAAAGAGAAAGGAAACCTTTGAAGGGTTCTGGAACCTTGGGCCGGGAAAGTCGTCAAGCAAGCTGCATTCAGAGTAGAGCTGGCCTGCGTTCGCTGCCATTGCGCTACAGCTCCGAACAAAAAAAAAAATTGACAGCCGGAACTTCCAGACTTAGAACCCTTAAGCTTGCAAAATCAACAAACACCAAAAACAAAGCAATTCCAAGGTGTATTTCGGAGCAATAAGCCATGCAGCGTTGGTGCTCGGACACCTCGGATGTTCTCCATTTATTTATGAAAATTACTGGCAATGGAGGCAAATCAACTGGAATAGCCCAAAACAATCTGGGTGAATTATAGTATTGCACCAGCCTGAAATAAGCTGGATGGAGGGATCTTCCCCACAAAAACCACCATTTGGGGTGGTAACTCGGTCGTGAATTCGGTCGTCATTCCACCAGAACAATTGGGTTCGGGTCGACCAGTCCCGGAATTCGTCTCGCTCCCCGGGCCGAATTCGGACCCGCCTCCGACATGGAGGTGATGCCCTGCTCGGCCAAGGCTTCCGTGTAGCAGTGGGCCTGTTCCAAGCGAATGGGATGTAAACTCCCGGAATTTTCGCGTAGCACCGCGAGTCTGAGATTCTAGGGGGCATAGGTGTCATTTGAGTGAAATAGATGGCGCTGGCAAATGAAGAGAGAGAACCAACCTACAACCAGTGACATCTATGTTCAACCAAATGACCTATCAACAGGCCACCTATGGCTGGGAGGTGATGCTTTGGTGAGAAAAACAGTTCAGTGACACCCTTCAAATCCCATCTTTGTTTGGCTTCCCCACCAACGAACCCCAAGAACTGTTCCAAAACATTTTGCGCTGGAAGCTTGGGGTCGATCCCCTATGTGGGTGGTTCATCTAAGGGGTCCCGGGGCTGTTGGGGGTTGGTGGACATCATTTAGGGGATTCATGTCCTCCAGCCACTTTTGAGGTGGTTTGAACAATCTCAGCCAGTTTCTCTCCATTCAAAATTCCTGTAGCTCTTTCAGTTTTAATACAGCTGGGTTGGTTCACTAATCAAAGAATAAACTGGGCTGTCCTCAGATCTCCCTCAAAAGTTTAACTGTTCGTGGAACCCCCCACTAAACCCTAAACAGCTTTTCAACAAAACATCAGGAACCGGATGGCTAAGCAAACAAGTTCATTCATTTATTCTTCACACGTGCGCAAATTCTTATCCGCAGGGCCTCCACCTCACTTGCCACGGGCAAAAAGTTCTCGGCGCTCTGCCGGTTGCCCCCAAAGACGCGAATCTCAGCGTCTCGGCCTAGGTACCTCCAGGGGCGGGAGTCAAATTCGAGCTGAGACTACATCGGGGCACCCTGACATGAAAACCCTTGTGGAAACATCTCTACTCTTGGTATGGTAGCAAAAAACTTGAAGTTTTTTGCAGACCCCCAGTAAAGATGAACAGAACCAAAAAACTAAAAAACTAAAAAACATGCCAAGAACAGTGAAGGAAAGACGACTTTTGAGAGGGTAGGTCTTTTGAGTCGGAGCCATTTGGGCTGGATCGAATTCGGTGATGGGAATGTCAGAAGTTTGACATCCCTACTCAAGTCTACTTTCGGTGTTGCAACCACCAAAATGGTACCCACCTGGGTTGAAAGAACCCCCCCAAAGAAATACAAGGAGGTTAAAAAAAAGAAGAAGCCAACATCGCATAAGGTTTGGCTGGGCCGAACCAACCTGTACTAGGGGGGAGCCTAAAAGGCCTAATCAATTTTAGGGTTTAGGGTTTATGGTTTAGGTGTTTTTTTGGGGGGAGATCGTTACAGGCACACTCTCAAAAGCTCATAGTAGAAAAGTCTACCCCAATCTATATACAGGACGAAAAGTCTACCGGTCGCACCCATCGGTTGGCATTGTGGCTTTCCAATCTTCACTTCGCCGGGCCTTGATGGGCTACGAGTCGACCCCAAAGGCTACGTGTCAAAGCTCAGGGCATGCTTTTTTTTTGCGATAATTCAGGGACAAGGGTCGTCCTTTCAACTAACCTCAGAGGGAAATCCCACAGTTGAGTTTTGAGAGATTGCCCCCCCCGGAAAAAAGAAAGAAACAACAAGTGATCATAGTGATCCAATTCAGCTGAACTTTGGGTCCAGCGCCGAAACAGCTGTCAGAAAACATAACCCCCAATCCGGCCATATGAGGGCTTAGAGGCGCAAATAACAGAAATACCTCCAAATGAACTCATTGGGAGTTACGTAAAACCCACCGGCGCTGAGTTGTGCTTTTTCCAGTCCTCTGCAGCCTCCCGGGCATCTCCTCCAGCATTGGAAGTCGATTTGATCGGCTTATTGACTCGGAGCTCTGGCACACAGAAAAAAACATATCTTGGTTGACGTTGGAAGGGGAGCAACCATTCTCACACTTTAGTAGTTAAGTGGGGAATTCAACCACTAAACCACAAGAAGCAAAAATGTAAAATGTTTCCCAACAACAACCATGACACGGGTGTGTGATTTTGTGGAACTCCCCCAAAATGTATGGTTTCCTTTTGGTTTCACTGCAAAAGAGTCAAAACACGTGGCGCCCCTCAAACAAGACACACCCATAGTCTCTCAGAACATGTTTCATGCTTAGCCAACCCTAAGCAATGAATATTGTGTGATATTGTGTATGTGTTCCAGTGTCTTTCAATGGTCAAAATCAGGTTGGGTGATTTGTACTCTGGTTCTTTGTCCCGCTTTGGTTCTACCGTTGGTTTCCCACCAATAAACTACATCAAACTTTGGATTCCAACATGAGACATGCCCACATGAGTGGGTCGGACCCCCCCCCCCCAAATGAGCAACCCATCCATCACCTGTCACCCGAAAACTGTCCAGATCTGAAAATAGTTCTGTTCCAGAAACCTCCCTGATTCAACAAACTTCATTGAACACACGCACACAATGAAGCCTCCCCAATCTTCTTGAGACACCTCGCTTGCATCTTTATGGTTTTCTTTCGATTTGGTACTCGCCCATAACCTGCCTGGGGGAGGGTGACCAAATTGGGGTTCCTCTTGGGAAGCAAAACTCCCGTGCTAACCTTCATATACCCGGGTTTTGAGTATAGCTCAGCGGTGCCCGAAAACCTATTGACAGGTGGTTCTACCAACATGGCCAAGGTTTGTACAGGCCTTGGCCATGATGAAACCAAGCAGAACGGCCCACTAACATGGCCAACAGGAATCCGTTTTGGGCGCTGCTTATTTTGAGCAACTGCCAATATTTACCCCGATCATCCCGATCTACCGTACTATAGGAGGTGACGTGGCACGCTCACCAACATATAATTACATGGGGTTCACTAACATCCCATGTCGGCTCTCATTGAAACCCCTCTGTGAATCCTAAGCTGGGTCCTCCAGTAGAGAGGCTAGAATAAGTTGGTCCTTTTTTTCTGTAGTCTATAGGGGGTTTCCCTCCCAACCAAAACAGAAACGGTAAAAGTTGGCACCAATTGCTGGGGGACCAAGGAGAGGAACCCGGTTTCCCCCTTTTCGTCGGACGTCTTGATCCTCCACGTTGGGCGCATATGTCACCATCATCAGCCACCCGCCCTCCTGAAGATCAGGGCTCCATGAACTCCGTGGGTGAATCGTTTTTTGAGGGGACCCCTTTAGGTTGGTGGAAACCAAAAGGAAAACCGCAAACTTTGGCGCCCCTACTTTGACACACCCATTTGTTTCTCAAAGTAGCAGTCCAAAAGGAAACCAGCCTGAAGGGGCCCTGAGATCATTGGTTCCGGTTGGCATCCCGTAGTAGGCAAAAAGGGTAGCCTCAAAAACGCACAAAAACACACCCATGTTGGCTGATCTGGGCTGTCTGTGTTACGATCCCCTGCTAAAAGTTTGACAACTTTCAGTGGGCGAAATTGAATGGACACCCAACCACTAAACCAACTAAAACCAACCTAAAACCTAAGACCCAAGTTGAACCGGAGCACGCTGCTTGAAAACCGCGTGAACATCCAAAACCATCAGCCTGGAAATGACCGCTCTACCAAACCAGCGAGCCACCAAACCAAGCACCGGGCTCCCATTTCTGGCTCCGGACCCGCTGCCCTGGAAGCAAACAAATAAGCCCATGTCCCCAGCAGCAACCGAATCTCCTTCTGAAGGCTGCCCCAAAACCACCCCACTTCTCGAGCTGACCCGTTGAACAATGAACAACTTGCTGGTGCGAAAACTGCAGGGAATGAGACATGGAATGAACCGTTTTGGGATTCCCGAATAAAGGAAACCATAGGAACGGTTTAAAAAGGGGTCGTTCCGTTTCTCATTCCCTGCCTAACCGGCCAGAAACATATGGCTGTGGCTCAAAAAAGTGGGACCAAAATGGCACCTAAATGGAACCAAAGACTAAAACCCGTAACCCCAGCTCGAGAAAACTTGAGGCATACCCATCAAGCCGGCCAGAAACAACTGAATTTCCGGCTCCTCCAGGCGCTTCTGCAGCTCCTCCCCGCACAGGCGCCGCACCACGTCTTCCCCACCCGCGCCGCCGTGCCCGAAAAGCGCCACCGCCTGGGAGGCGATGTTCTGCGGGTTCGGCAGGAACGGGGGGTTCGCCAAGATCAGGTCGAACCTGGAAAAGAAAAGAAAAAGGATCACGTCAGACCTGACCGAACACAAACAAAAGCGATGGCCCACCTCAACCTGGCAACTTCTGCATTTGATTTTTGCTTTTTGATGTTTTGTTCGTTTGGAGAAGAAAGAAAAAAGAGGACGAAGGCCCACCTCAACCTGATGAAACGGCGAAACCGGAAAAAAAGAGAGAGAAAAGACACAAATGAAGAAAGAAGCAAAAAAAAGACGAAGGCCCACCTGGAATCCCGACGAAACTTCCGATTTGTGATGTTCTTCTTTCGCGGGGAGAAAAACTCCAAACCACTGGGCTCTAAACCAATGGGGAACAGTGCAGCTCGGGCACCCACCGCCCCACCCACCCCAAACAGTGCTCCCTTTTTGTTTCTTCTGTCCAGTTCTTCCCTCTTCAACCCTAAAACCAGTGGCACCCCCATACCTGGCGGTGACAATAAAAAGTGCTCTGGGGGCCCTCAGAAGGGGAACCGCGGAGAGCTCACCGGAAGTTACCCCAAGGTGAATCCCACGGAGACGCACTTCCCATCGAGATGGTTCACAAAACGCTCAAAGCTCTTTGTTTGCCGCGAAAAATCGAAAACAAACTCAAAAAGTAACTAAAGCCCCTCAGAAAATAAAAAACCCAAGGCCATTCCGACGTTCCGAGTGCAGGTCTGGCAAGAAAATGGTACCGAAACCTGCGGCCAAACCGGATATGTGTCAAGATAGGGATTTGGACTCGCCTGGTGGCGGTTCCTTTTGGTTTCCCTGTAAAGCCTGCAAAAAAAGTTCCCTTGCTGAATGCACAGCGAGAATATGACCCCCAAATGCATGAACTGGTCTTGAAGGCTGCCTCCACACGTGGCTTTTGACCTTGTAAACACACGAGCAAGCAAACAAACAATCAAACAAACAAAACAATTCCACCCAAACCAGACAAAGCCAAACAAACACACAAACAAACAAACAAACAAACAAACAAACAAACAAACAAACAAACACAAACCAACCAACCAACCAACCAACCAACCAACCAACCAACCCACCAACCAATTTACGAACAAACAAACAACCACCTCGCGCGTGTGCCTGACATGTTGGCCTGTTTGACGCTCTCTCTCTCTCTCTCTCTCTCGCAATTTGGGCCCTCTACCCCATCCAACCTCTGGTCAGAGTCCAAGGCAGAGTAGAGATCTCCATGGTGGAAGCTGTAGTCGCGATCTAAACGCTTATTGAGCCTCAGTCGAAAGGGCCAAAGGATTGGATTGACCCCTGAGTTGCTACCAACTCAAGAGCCAGATCGAAACTTCCAAAGCCTGACAAACAAGGGTCAACACGGGATCAGAACAGGAATGCTCTTGGCTGACACAGTCATGGGTTTCCTTGCGTCTGTCTGAGAGAAAGGAATCACCAGTATTCACAACAAACATGGGTGGCTTCCTCTTGGTACGTGAAACAACCAGAAAGGGTACCAACTCCAAGCACGACACACTCAGATGGGATAAAACCTGAAAAACCAAACATCCTTGTGGTGGACCAACACTTGGATTAAAAACCGTTCGGCCCTTTTTAGGTTTAAACCAAGAGAACATGTGTAATGGTTGTTCCTTTGGATTCCACTTTCACACACATGGTTCTGCAAGGTCTACGTTCCAAAACTTGAAATCAGGGATCCTTCAAAAGCTGGACCTACAGCTCGAACCTCAACGCAAATGCATGACCCAAAAGAAAAGTCCGGACGCTGGAGCATCAAAAAGGGCTCGAGCTGACGGCTTTGCTTTTGGAAGAAAACACAACGGGGCTGGCCGTTTTCCGATCCCCTGCTACAAGTGACCAACTTGCTTGAATATGGAAATGCAACCGCTAAACCAACAAAAAACATCCAAACACCCAAGCTTAACCGGATGGCTGGTGGAACCACCACGGCAAGACCCACCCGAGGCTCCGCAAACAAAAACCGAAGATTCGCCCGAGCAGCGCCAGGTTGAACTCTGCAAATTGGATGGCCCGGGGATTCAAATCCACAAAGGCCACGGATTCGGCACCGCGGCGCAGGGCAGAGATGCCTGATGAAACTGCCTGGATTTCCACCATACGTTGATCAATTTACTGGTGGTAGCCAACTTGAAACTGCAACTTAAATGGAGAAAAACCCTAGGGATTCGCATTTGTTTGTCTGGGGGGGTGGAGCTTGGGATTGGCTTTGGCTTGATACGAAAGTGGTCTTTCCAAAATTCTAAAGTCTGGGGCGGGGGGGGGGGGGGGGGCGGGTACGGTTTGGGACGAGTTTGTCGGGCTTTAGGGGTTAGGGGTAATAGTTCTTGCCGTGCTAGAGTGGGCAAAAGTGAGATTTCCATGCCATGCTTAGCTGAACATTGGGGGGTTGGCTTGACCCAACTCCGGCGCAAGTTCCTTGTTCTGATTTCTGATCCATATTTAGTCAGCCTTCAAGTATACCAAAATTTCTGAAGCAACCAACCTGATTTGTTTCAGCCCAAAAGAAACCCGCCGTGCTGTTGCGAAGCCGCGCCTTGGACCCCGCTGCCGCAGCAAATGTCCAAGACACGAAGCTTGGCTACGTCCGGCCTCGTGTCCAGCAGTGCCAGGGAGTCGTCTGAGAGGTACATCACCTGTGGGAATCAAAGCTATTGCCAAGAGTGGGTCGCCTCGACGATTTTATGACTTGCGGGTTATGGCAAACAAGAAACGACGTAGGGACTGGGGGAATATGGAGCAAGGGTTCGGAGGATCCAACCCTGGCTCAAAAATCAAAGGCACAAACTATAGGGACACCTGAGAGAGCATCAAGGGAACCACTAGGAACCAGGACCTTTGACTGACCTGGGAAACATAGCACCCACACTCCATGCTTTTGCGAAAAAAGACCCCTTCGGTGATGCCAAAGTGGGATTTCCATTCCTGTGAAGACTTTGTCATTTTCAACTCGACCCCCTCGGCCAGTCACAGAACATTGCAGCCTAATCCCCTCCAACCAACCCCCTTCTTGCACCCCCCACACAGAAACACGTTGGGAAATATAGGGAAACATAGTCGTAGGGAATTATACAAGAACATCTAGTGAATCTTGTTGAAACTTTGGGCCAAAAAAAACAAGGAATCAATGAACGTCGTTTTTCGGGGGGACCCCCCCATTTTGTGGTGTGTTTTTTTTTTCCGGGTTTCCCTATTGAAACCCCCAAAAAGAGACACACTTGAGACACACACACACACACAACACACACACACAACGCACACACACACATCCACATGAGAAAAAAAAGGACAAATCCCTGGCCCTGCTCCGATGCCCATGCCCCCCGGCTCACCGGCTCGAAGTTCTCGTGGGGCCAGGTCTGAGCGTCCGTGGCGATGACTCCATCCGCGAGCGGCCAAAACCTGAGGTTGCTGAAGCAGGCCGCGTCCCGGGCGGGTGGCCACCTGGCCTCGGAACGCGAAGCATCCGAAGAAAAACTGACTGGGGGGTTCGGTGTGTTTTCCCAACCTTGGGTTTCCAGAATGGGGATTCAAGGTTGTTGAGAGATTTCCGAATTTGGTTTCTGACAGCATCTTTGACTTGTTGGTTTTCTCGGAGCGCTTTCCCGCGTTCTCCCCGTTGGTTCCACCCCGGATCCAAGCCACCGCTTCCTGTGGCGAGAGGATGCGGTGGCCTCTGACCGCCGTCACCGCCTGCAGTTTCAGTAGCAGGCGCTCGGCGCCGCTCGAAAGCAGCGGAAGCCGCTCCAGGGGAACCTGGCGACATCTCAGAAAACGGTTGTCTTGGACCAATGCTTCAAGAACCAATCCAAAAGCCTTCCCCCACGAAGCCTTTGACAAAACCAAGCATGAAGTGCCCACAATGGCCCTTTGACTTCCAAGCATAGATCCTATGCAGCGCTTCCCCTCCGTTGCTTCCCGCTACGTAGTGCCCATTTCCAAAGAGAAACAAAAGTGCCAAAAGGCTCTGGTGATGCTTAAACTTGCAAATCCTTGAACGGTTCCACAAGGGCTTCGGCGCTTGGAACGCGTGGGGTGCCATCTCGCTTGACATGCTCACATCTCCAAAGATCATTTGTCCATCCCAAAAGTTGGTGTTGAACCCTTTTAACTCACTTCCTGAGTGGAGTGGCCAAACAACTCCAAACTTTTCGTTTGCCAGTAAAAGTGTCAGCCCAACAAGTAAACAAACAGAAGTGAATTAACAAACGGGACGAGTCCGAGTTCAATGTCCTTCTTCCGCAGCAGGAAGAGGAGCAATATGTCGTCCGGCTCCACGCCGCCCAGCCCCTGAGAGGTTCGAATCCGTCGGAACCCGTTTCTGGAATCCGTTTTCACGGGCCCTACCAAAGCATAGCGTAGCAGGGACACATTTGAAACGGAAGGCGGGGAAACACCTTCTCCGGATCAGGGGACAACGTGCAGCTCGCACTTTTTCAACTTATCGGGCGCAGTATCTTTGAGGCAGTTTTGATGACCCTATTTACCGTCTCCCCCATGCGTTCAATCATGGGTGACAGCAGGCTCCAACAAATTTCCAAGCATCAACTTGACCTGCCGGATTCTTTGAATAAGAGGCATGAGATGCCCATGAATGCCAGCCATCCTTTTGCCAGTAGGCATAAGGAACCTACGAGCCTAGAGGGCCGCATCAGGCCACCAAAAGTTCTCTTCTCGGCCACGACAGCCTCCAAAAGCATGAAAGCATGAAGTCATAGGGTTCAGACCCGCCCGGCCAACTTTGCCAAACGAATCTTCCAGCAAAGTTTCCGCAGCTGTAGAGCTTACTCGCCACGCTTGGGGCAGTTTCCCAACCGCCTTGGCCTGGGAGATCATATTAAGTCTGAACACAGTCACGGCATTCCTTGGCGCAAGCTGCCAGTAAGTCCTGAACAAGCGCAAAGCCCCCTGTGGGAGCCGAGGGCCGTGCCTCCCAATGAACGCACGGCGTGCCAAGAAAGGCTTCGCGCCTGGCAACATGCCCAGGCGGCCACAGCCCAGCTTCCCAGTCAAGGGTTCTGCCACCCAGTGGAACAAGCCTCACGTCCTTGAAGCATGCACCCATGTAAGACAGAAGCCCCCCAACTCATCGCATCATTGGCCCGGACCGCCCGTGCGGGTACCTCCAAGATCGCATCACCGTGTACCCCACCGGCTTCGCTCAGGATGATGGCAACCTCCTTGCCCATACTAATATGAGTCATGGCTTCAGCCCTTAGCTGAGCCATGGTTCTTTGGAACTTCAGCAGGTTCGCGGGACTTTCGACCGGAACCGCGCACCATTGTGCCCGCCGAACAGCCGCATGGATCATGGGGGCATGATCAAACAATTTGCAATGATTGCACTTGAGCCATTGAAAATGGCACCCGTTCGGTTTGTTCATTTTGGCCAAGAGCCCGCCCTGACCAAACGATAACATGTCGCCCGAGCCTGCCAAGCGCAAACATGTCGCCCACTCCGGGTCGACACTAGCAAACATCGGCGGAGTGGAACATCCCGAACCAATCAACCGGATCCCAGGGCCCGAAACCTTCCGGGGATTTACCAGTGACTCACCAAACCGTACCGGGGCTTCTTGATTTCGCCAGGAGAAAAAGATCAACGTCCACCAGGTCGGTTGTGATCTCAGCCGGGGGAAAATGGCAAGAAGGCGGGCTCTCAACACGTTGCAGGTGAGGAGAAAGGGACCACACGCCACAACTCTACAGGTAGGATAGAGGTCCAACCCAGGACCAGCCAAGAAGATGGGCCTTCTGATCCATAAAGCCTCACCAAACTGCCCTTACATGCGCGGTGCAATATTTTACACTAATTTTGGGGCATCTTTAAGGGTAGCTCGGGGAGCTTCAGGGTAGTTGGAGGTCCGGGCATGTGTTTTTTTCCTTTTCTTGGCTGTCCTCAGATCCCCTGCTAACAGTTTTAACTTTTGGTCGGTCAAATGGACACCCAACCACTAAACCAACGAAACTTAAAAAGGGCTAAGATAATCACCTCACGCGCAAAGACAAAATGAACACCAGAAGAAACACTACGAAGCAAACAAAAAAAACAAAAACAAAAAAACACGAAAAGCGCCTCTGAAAAGGCCTGGAGCTTGGACTCGTCGCTGAAGTCCAGCAAGGACTCGGCGCCTCGACCGGCTCTGGACGAGTGACGTCCATTTGGTTAAGAGCCTGAAAGAATGAACATCTGTCCAGTAGTGATAAAATTGTTTAAAACAAACAAGGGCAAATAAAAATAAACTATCCTTTCGCGAATGGAAGGTGATTGCAGTTGCGAGTTGAAAGGGTTGGGTGTCGCTGGAGGTTTTGCAGCTGCCAACTATTTGACAAGCATCCGGATGAGGATTGACCGCATCCATGTGCAGCCGCTTTGGAAGGGAACGAAGGAAAATCACAGGGGCAAAAGCAGCCTAGATCCGGCTAAAAGGTGCGTTGAGCCTGGAGCAGGAAAGATGTCCTGGCCGTTTCCTCAGCTGAAAGCTTTCTTCTCCAACCAAATTCAGGATGCGATCCGCGTGTTCCCTACGAGCAGTGCAAAATAGGGCCAGCAGGAATTGAACGTGCAACCTCCCGAGCACCCGAAGACACGGGCGCACTGCCATTGCGCCATGACCCCGCCATATCCTTGTCTTTTGTTTTTGGAAACCTGCCTGGGCATCAGTGAGCCTGTAAAGGCACCGGAAATGGAGTGAGTCATTTTAAAAGGATTTGGGCAAGGATATCTAGGGCAGGATGGTGTCCGTTCGGGCAGCGGGTGGTCCCGTTGGAAAGCTGTTGGAAAAATTATGACCCGAATCCCCACGTAGCCACGATGGCCCTGCCCGCTTTTAGCGCGAACCTGTGGAGGCCAGCACCTTGTCGAGGACATAGCCCAGGTGCCTGCACAGTGACACGCAACACCCATCTTTCACGGAGGCGAAAGCGATTCCCAGGCTTCAGCTGTAAGGAGCTTCGGCTCTTTTAGCTTCACCTCGAAGCTGTTACAGAGATCAGATCTGTTCGGATCTGCTTTGTTTTTTGTGATACCTCAGGATTCGTAGAGACAAACGGGGCCTCCAAAAGTGGCGATCGTTTCAATGGAAACCAACAATCAATTGATCAACCTACCTGCAGTCTCCATGACCCCTAGAAACAGGGGTCATTACCCAAAATTAAGGGGTGATGACCCCTTTTTCTAGGGCTCTTTGAAGCACTCTAGGTAAGGGGGAATCCAGTGACCCCTGTGTAAAGCCCGCCCGAAACGGGAGAAAGCCCCGAAACGACGCGTCCGAAGTTGCCTCAGCCGGTCTGCAAAGGGATAAAGCGCGTAGAGGGCTGAGGGATCCTCCAGGCCCGTCATGGACGGGGAAGTCTTCAAGTTCTCGCACATAAGGCAGTTGTCCAACCTAAGCTTGGTTGACGTTGGAAGGGGAGGAACCATTTAAAATTTGGCAGTTAAGCGGGAATTTACCACTCAACCACAATAGGCAAAGATGTAAACAAATGCAACAACAACAACAACCATGTAAGGCCACAGGAGAAAAAGGATTGGCACCCGTATTTTTCCGGTTCAAGGAAAACCCGCGTGGGAAAGTAGTCACAGGTGTGGGAAAAGGCTCGCACTTTTCGAAGAACGATGGGGTGAATCAGTCTAAGCTAAAGAGAGGCGGAAGTGCGCAGTACCCAAACTCACGAAATGGGTGTAGTGAGAACGAGCCACCAGTCCAAATGGGGGAGGCAGTTGTCCAAAAGCGTTCTACACACCTAAGACGAACTATGGCCTTTACAGTCATGCCTGGCTCCAGTATTGAGGTATTACAGGTTGAATGAAGATCATGCTTTTTCCTCAGATAGCCTATAGCTATAGGGGTTCTAGCTTCTAATAACAAGCGTAAAGTAATGTGCGAGATTTAGATTGACGTCTGGGTGCTAGAGGGATACCCACTAATTATGGTCTGAAAGATTCGTGGTTTCTGAGGACCTTGAGAGCAGAACAAAACTAAGCAATGATACGCAATGCTAATAAAGACAATCATGCGGGTAATCATTTAGCCCCTTTCTGGGATGCCAGCCTGGCCTGCGAAAATCCTATGCCAGACTCCCTATTCGAAGAAAAAGAAAAAAACAACAACAGGCAAAGCCCAAGGAATTCTGTTGAACAGCCCAGGCAGAATAAGCAACACAAAGAGACAACCAAGCAACAGATCGACGGCCCTGTCGTTGACCACGCCCAGATCCATAGCCCGACACACGCACTGGTAGGCGCTGGGTACATCGATGAGTCGCAAGTGCAGCTGAGCCAAATCCAGGTTGAGGTTCGCCAGCATCTCCGGCTCCCTTAGGGCAAGCCGAGTGAAGTCCCTCAGCCAAAAGGTCTTCAGTAGCACCCGCACGGGAATGGGGGTTGGGGGTGGCGGGGTGTTTCTGGATATCAGCTCTACAAGGCTTCCAAAACCTTAGGCCAAACATCATGGTACCGGCGTGCTCGCCATACAATTGGCAGAACATGGCCGACCCCAATTTGGATGGCACAACCCATGGTAAGCACGCCTTTTCTCGGTTGCTTTCTGCTCCGCTGCTAAAGTTTAACTTTTAGTGGTTTAATGGAAAACCATTAGTTGTCAAAAAGTTAAAGTCCTAACATCCAAGCAAATCGCACCAAAGTTTTGCAACCGGCTCAGTGCTGAAGAGGGAGAAGGAGAGAGCAGACTGGGAACGACATCTGTGTTGACATTTGACCCGCTGCCAAAGTGGGGCGCCAAACAGTGGAGGCAATACCGGGTCTGGCTGAATTGAACCACCGGGACCAATCGAAATTAGACATCGCTCCTCCTCCAGATTTGAGAGGTTAGAATAAGTTGGTACCAACTTTTTTTGTAGTCTCTTTTAGTAGTGGAATCCTCCCAGCCAAAAAAGGCTAAAAGGGCACTACTGGGGGACCTAGTTGGGTTCGTCTTAGTTCTTGAAGCTGGGTGGTAGGGGGTCTGGACAAATCAGCCAATTCCCATCTTGTCTTGGCTTCCGTTTCAGCAATTGTATACATGCATACATTGCCTATTTAAGCCCCAGTGACCCTCCTTCTGGTTTCCAGGCCAACATATTGGCTCACATCTACTCCAAACCAAGTTTCTGATCCTATCTCATGTTTGCCCTACCTCAAAATATTGAATATGTTTGGAAGAGACCCCAGCTCGCTTGATTTACCGCATAAAGATCGCCCCACCAAAAGAAAGGTCTGGTTGGCAACCAAATAGTGTTGTTTGCAACCACGCGCAATTGGATAAAAAAGGGGCCCAAAATCATGATCAGAATTTGGTCTAACATCAAATTTAGTCATGACTGTGGGAGTACTCAAAAAAAGGGGTTGTAGTGGTTGTGTCTTTGTGTGGATACCCTTTTGGGCCTTTGGTGGACGTCAACATGCCAACCACTTTTGAGGTCTGTCACCTCCCAACTACTACGAAGCGAACACGCAGTATTTTCAGACACTCCCAGTCATAAACCCTTTGAAGGGAAACCAACAGGAACCCCCTTTTTTGCTTTGTTTGGAGGGGAGCCTTTACAACAACGACAAGCCGATATTATGTGTCTTGTTAGGCCGCCGCCCCCCCCCCATGGAGTTCTTTTCGGTTTCCCAGAGCCACCAAAAAAGGGGCACGTTCGTCGCCGCATGCCACCCGAAGCCAGCTGAACCCTATGGTCTCAGGCGCAGGCTTGGTTGACGTTGGAAGGGGAGCAAAAAACTAAACTTTAGCAGTTCAGTGGTTGGATACCACTTAAAAGCAAACATGCAAAAATGTCTCCCAACAACCATGGCTTAGGCACAGAACCTTTCCGACACCATTCGGAGTCCATCCCTCTGGCATCTTCGAAAAAAAACAAGAAACTATCGCCAGCCCAAACTGGTTAAAAATGTATTGCCCCAGGAACAAATGGTCCAACCTAAGCTTGGTTGACGTTGGAAAGGGAGCCAAAATTCAGCTTCTTGCAGTGAAGTGGTTGGATTGCAACCACTAAACCACAATAGGCAAAAATGCAAAATGTTTCCCAACAACAACCATGTAAGGCCCCAGGAAAAAAGGATTGGCACCCGTAGTTTGTTTTTTCCCGGTGGAAGGACAACCTTCGTGGAAAAGTAGTCACAGGTCTGGGAAAAGGCTCGCACTTTTCGAAGAACGATGGGGTGAATCAGTCTAAGCTAAAGAGAGGCGGAAGTGCGCAGTACCCAAACTCACGAAATAGGTTCGATGGTTGAATCAGAGAGGTGGGGAATGCGCAGGGCTCCCTGCGGGAAAAAAAACAAAGCCGTCCCAGGGGCGTCTCGGCGTGGCCCAGAGCCTCCGCGCAGCGCGTTTGCCAGGAGCCCTGCGCTAGCTCGAGCTCCAGCAGCGCACGGGTGGCCTGTGCCGCAGCCGGTCGGTCATGGGGGGATTTTTCTCGGTTGCTTTCTGCTCCCATGCTAAAGTTTAGCTTTTTGGGGGGTTAGTGGAACATCCCCTGCTAAAAGTGACTCGCAAGACACAGTTGAACAAATCAAGATGATTTTTTCAGGTACTTGTAACAAGTCTGAAATAGCGTCTCGCTTATTTATAAATAGTCTCAAATAGTCGGTGTTCCTTTTCTGGGCTGTCCTCAAATCCCCCGCTAAAAGTGACTCACTTTTAGTGGGTTAAATGGAAACTACAACTCAACAATAAGGGGATGGCTGTTGACTTGTCTGCCAAAAGTTTCAACCTTTTGGAGGTTTAGTGGAAAACCACTTGATTTCCCAAAAGTAGAAAGTCCAAAGATCCAACTCAATAGAAGGCAGTCAAGTGTTTGTCTCCCCCTAAACTAACCCCAAGACAGTTGACAAATCCAAACGCATGCAATTTATTTTATAACCCAGGTAAATATATGGGGCTGTGTTTTCTTGAATTTTGTCGTCGCTTTTCAGGGAAACCTAAAGGATTTGCGGTCTTTGGAGAGCTCCCTCAAAAAGAGAGAAACCTTATGAGTAAATATAGATTTCAACATTTGACCATTTGGAGGACGTGGGTAACTATGCCATACATGGCGCGGGTTTCAGGGGAAAAAGGAAACACATGTTTGGGGAAGGGATTCCTCAAGTTAAGATGCAATCTTGGCCCACATGTGTGGAGCATACGTTCAGATGATGTTTCATAGTACTGTGCCAACAAAAACGGATATGCTCGTTCTTGGAGGAGACCCCAAATACCAAATTGGAGTATATAATGCATCTACAATGCACATATAGAGCCCATGTTTATATAGTGTCTGTAAAGTGTTTGCACACTCTTTTCTTGGCAGGGTACTGGGCTGGTCACAAGGGGGCTTGCTCACAGCCGAAAACGTGACAAAAAGAGACCAAGGAAAACTAAGCGTTGCTTCTCCCACCTCTCCCCTTGCGATTCTGCTCTGAATCCGTATGCGTCTGACTGGGTTGCTCTTAACATGCTTACTGCCCAAAAGCTCAACAAGTCACCACAAAGGCCGGCCAAGCTTATCATTCAAAGAGGGGATGCTCTTGCCACAGATCGTGACGGGCCATGCCGAACACGTTTTGCAGGTTCGCACGCTTGACTCCAGGTCATCCTGGGTTGCCCGCCAAAGGACCTCTTGTGTCTGACTTGAAAAGCTCTCTCCAAAAAAGAAGTTGTGGCTTGGAGCAAAAAAAACGAAGAAGGTGCCCAACAAATGGTAAACATAGGAAGAGCCCAATAGACTGGAGCAAAAAAGAAGAAGAAGGTGCCCCAAAAAAACGCCTAGAAGGTCAAGACAGGAAGAGCCCAATAGCCTGGAGCAAAAAACGAAGAAGGTGTCCAAAAACACCGCCTAGAAGTAAAGACAGGAAGAGCCCAATACCCTGGAGCAAAAAAAAGGAGAAGGTGCCCCCAAAAACGCTCAGAAAGCAAAGACAGGAAGAGCCCAATAGCCTGGAGCAAAAAAAACAAACAAGGTGCCCCCAAAAACGCCTACAAGTAAAGACAGGAAGAGCCCAATATCCTGGAGCAAAAAAACGAAGAAGGTGCCCCAAAAAAACGCCTTGAAGGTAAAGACAGGAAGAGCCCAATAGCCTGGAGCAAAAATACAAAGAAGATGCCCCCAAAAACGCCTAGAAGGTAAAGACAGGAAGAGCCCAATAGCCTGGAGCAAAAAAACGAAGAAGGTGCCCCAAAAAAACGCCTTGAAGGTAAAGACAGGAAGAGCCCAATAGCCTGGAGCAAAAATACAAAGAAGATGCCCCCAAAAACGCCTAGAAGGTAAAGACAGGAAGAGCCCAATAGCCTGGAGCAAAAAAACGAAGAAGGTGCACCCAAAAACGCCTAGAAGGTAAACACAGGAAGAGCCCAATAGCCTGGAGCAAAAAAACGAAGAAGGTGCCCCAAAAAATGCCTAGAAGGTAAAGACAGGAAGAGCCCAATAGCCTGGAGCAAAAAAACAAAGAAGGTGCCCCCAAAAACGCCTAGAAGGTAAAGACAGGAAGAGCCCAATAGCCTGGAGCAAAAAAACGAAGAAGCCTGGAGCAAGAAAACACAAAGAAGGTGTCCCAAAAAACGCGTGGAAGGCAAAGACAGGAAGAGCCCAATAGCCTGGAGCAAACAAAAACGAAGAAGGTGTCCCAAAAAACACGTGGAAGGCAAAGACAGGAAGAGCCCAATAGCCTGGAGCAAAAAAAACAAAGAAGGTGCCCCCAACAACGCCTAGAAGGTAAAGACCGGAAGAGCCCAATAGCCTGGAGCAAAACATCGAAGAAGGTGCCCCAAAAAAACGCCTAGAAGGTAAAGACATGAAGAGCCCAATAGCCTGGAGCAAAAAAACAAAGAAGGTGTCCCAAAAAAAAAGTGGAAGGTAACGACAGGAAGAGACCAATAGCCTGGAGCAAAAAAACAAAGAAGGTGTCCAAAAAAACGACTAGAAGGTAAAGACAGGAAGAGCCCAATAGCCTGGAGCAAAAAAAACAAAGAAGGTGTCCCCAAAAAAGCCTAGAAGGTAAAGACAGGAAGAGCCCAATAGCCTGGAGCAAAAAAACGAAGAAGGTGCCCAAAAAAACGACTAGAAGGTAAAGACAGGAAGAGCCCAATAGCCTGGAGCAAAAAAAACAAAGAAGGTGCCCCCAACAACGCCTAGAAGGTAAAGACAGGAAGAGCCCAATAGCCTGGAGCAAAAAAACGAAGAAGGTGCCCCCAAAAACGCCTAGAAGGTAAAGACAGGAAGAGCCCAATAGCCTGGAGCAAAAAAACGAAGAAGGTGCCCCAAAAAAACGCCTAGAAGGTAAAGACAGGAAGAGCCCAATAGCCTGGAGCAAAAAATCAAAGAAGGTGCCCCAAAAAAACGCCTAGAAGGTAAAGACAGGAAGAGCCCAATAGCCTGGAGCAAAAAAAACAAAGAAGGTGTCCCAAAAAATAAGTGGAAGGTAACGACAGGAAGAGACCAATAGCCTGGAGCAAAAAAACGAAGAAGGTGCCCAAAAAAACGACTAGAAGGTAAAGACAGGAAGAGCCCAATAGCCTGGAGCAAAAATACAAAGAAGGTGTCCCCAAAAAAGCCTAGAAGGTAAAGACAGGAAGAGCCCAATAGCCTGGAGCAAAAAAACGAAGAAGGTGCCCCCGAAAACGCCTAAGGTAAAGACAGGAAGAGCCCAATAGCCTGGAGCAAAAAAAACAAAGAAGGTGCCCCCAACAACGCCTAGAAGGTAAAGACAGGAAGAGCCCAATAGCCTGGAGCAAAAAAACGAAGAAGGTGCCCCCAAAAACGCCTAGAAGGTAAAGACAGGAAGAGCCCAATAGCCTGGAGCAACAAAAACGAAGAAGGTGCCCCAAAAAAACGCCTAGAAGGTAAAGACAGGAAGAGCCCAATAGCCTGGAGCAAAAAAATCAAAGAAGGTGTCCCAAAAAACGCGTGGAAGGCAAAGACAGGAAGAGCCCAATAGCCTGGAGCAAAAAAAACAAAGAAGGTGTCCCAAAAAACACCTAGAAGGTAAAGACAGGAAGAGCCCAATAGCCTGGAGCAAAAAAACAAAGAAGATGTCCCAAAAAACGCCTAGAAGCTAAAGACAGGAAGAGCCCAATAGCCTGGAGCAAAAAAAACGAAGAAGGTGTCCCAAAAAACGCCTAGAAGGTAAAGACAGGAAGAGCCCAATAGCCTGGAGCAAACAAAAATGAAGAAGGTGTCCCCAAAAACGCCTAGAAGGCAAAGACAGGAAGAGCCCAATAGCCTGGAGCAAAAAAAACAAAGAACGTGTCCCAAAAAACGCCTAGAAGGTAAAGACAGGAAGAGCCCAATAGCCTGGAGCAAACAAAACGAAGAAGGTGTCCCAAAAAACGCCTAGAAGGTGAAGACAGGAAGGGCCCAATAGCCTGGAGCAAAAAAAACAAAGAAGGTGCCCCAAAAAACGCGTGGAAGGCAAAGACAGGAAGAGCCCAATAGCCTGGAGCAAAAAAAACGAAGAAGGTGTCCCAAAAAACGCCTAGAAGGTAAAGACAGGAAGAGCCCAATAGCCTGGAGCAAAAAACGAAGAAGTTGCCCAAGCACGTGGCCATCGATCCGCCCGATTTTTGTATTTGGTTCGGGGGCCTCGCTGTGGGCGGCCACCAAGGGCTGCACGGGCTTCGCAGATGAGAAGGGCACCGTCCAGGTGGAAGAGGGGTCACCATAGGGACACTCCTGCGACGATTCCGCAAAAAAAGTGACACTCGTCAAAGAAGTCTGTACTCCCCCCAACACTCCCCCCCCAGAAAGGGAGTATTGGAGGGGAGGGGTGGCTCTTAGGGAAGGCTCTTTCAACTACTCTCAACTAGCCCCTGAATGGGATTCCATAATTGAGGGCACGTGTGTTTTGACCTGTGGTGCCAAGATCAAAAGGTTTGCAACATGGAACCAATGCCAGGGAAAACAAACCCCAAAGGGGTCTCACTCTAAGGGTACATCCAAAACCACCTGTTTATCAAAGGGGATCCTCCTCAATCAGCTGAAACCCACTTCGCACCAGTTGGTGGCTGGTTTAGTTGTCACATCCCCCGCTAAAAGTTCAACTCTTGGTGGGTTAAATTCGGCGATCCCCACCAAACAGTAAACAACCTAAACAGCTAAGAGGATGCACACGAAATAACAAGCTCAGGAACTGGATCATCTCTACTCTTGGTATGGCAGCAAAAAAATGTGTTTTGCAGACCCCCAGTAAAAATGAACAGAACCAAAATACTAAAAAACATGCCAAGAACAGTGAAGGGATGGCTGGCAGAACAAACACTGGATGGCAGGGCTTGCCACCAAGATGTGGTCATGGGTCAAAATCCCGTACCCCCAGTGAACATCCCAATCCCAACCAGACTAAAATGGGTGGTGCACCTACCCCAAAATGGTACGTTTTGACACACCGCCATGTGATTTCCATCCCAAATCCGCTCCTCCAGCTCCTCCCTCAGCTCCTGCTGCTGTTCTTGCAGCTGCACTACTTCCTAAGGTCTCGGCGCCAGGGACCCTCGACAGATCTCAAGGGTCCATGTCCATTCACCACGCATCCTTCCCTTTGTTTGAAAGATCCCCGAAACTCGGGAAGGCACGATTAGATTCGTGGCCAAAAACAGCTCCTTTTCAAACATTGCCACCTAGAAACCTTTTGGAAGCGTCCCATCTTGGCATTTGTACACTTGGATGTTTGTCGCGTCGTGAATACGATTTCTTTCTTGCAATCAAAGCAAATGGATATGTGTCAAAATAGGGGAAGCCCAAAACTGGCGGCTTCTCCTCCAATCTCAAGGAGCTCACATTAGGTTTACTGTTGGTCTTGATTTTGTGTTTCGTGGCCAAACACGCCTGCTTGTTCCCCGCAAAAACTTGACCCGAACCCAAAATGAAGCAACCCTGGAAACACAAAGGGGGCAGCCAAACCCAAAAACTGGAAACATCACGCAAGGTTCCCAGGGGCAAAGGTGAGCGTTTCTCATCCACTCCAAGCTTCCGCCACTGCCTCTGGCTCCAGGCCAAGGTCTCGCCACCTCCTCCGCAGCTTCCGCAGCGCCGCCGCGGCCGCCGCCAGCCGCGCCGGCCACGCGGAACCCGCGGCGCCGGTCGCGGAACGGGGCGCTTTCAGCGGCAGCCGCGCGCGAGGGGCGAGCGCCCAGGGCGAAAGCGAACGGGGCCAAAAGCCCGCGGCAAGCATGGATTTATGGGCCACCGACCAAGCTGGATTCTTCAAAGAGTTGTATTTAAGCACCATGGATCTGCTTGGTGAGACTTGGTGCCACGACAGCACGTGGCAGGAGCTGAAGCCTTCTTGCAATCGCCATCTGTTTCATATGTGCTCCAGTGTGTGTGTGTGTGTCTTGCACGCCTTCAAGCACAGACCATGGAAGCATACACCAGGCCATCAACCATTTTCCTCCAGCCTTGCTTGAGCCTGCTCTTGGCTCCAGTGACCTGGCTGTGGGCCATACCTCTTCCTCAAGCAAAACCTTCAGGAACCCCCAAAAACCACATTGGGCTTTCTTCCTGAGGAAGAAGCCAGCGCCCCAAACGGCCTTTCACAAAAAGTGCTCACCTCTGGCGGTAGGGCAACGAAAACCTTCATCTTGGGTTGGAATGAGCTGGAAAAACCAACAGGGCACCCACCATGTTTTTTTTCTTTTGGGGGGGGGGTCTCCTACAAGACCCCCCCCATGTACAGGTGGACGACTGGAGGTTTTGAAAGGGCAGCAAGAGGTCAGCACTGGCACAAGCATATGGTGCTTTTCGACAGTTACCCGTCGCCCGACCTGCCAAAAAGTGACCAAGTGCACCTTGCATCGGCTTACCCCTTGTTCTGCTCAAAGGAAAACCTTCAAAACCGTGGGAAACCGTGCATTGGCAGTTACAGGGGAACCCTCACAAACCAGGGTTTCTTAGGTGGCGCGAAATGGATTCGTGCATGCACACTACGAGGAAAACTGCCAAAAAGGGACAAGTTGCACCTTGGATGGGTGCTTCTTTCTGGAGTTACACCTTGGTTCTGATTAAAGGAAAACCTTTGAGGAAAGCCGCCCGCTTTGCGGACCCCTTCCATTCCCCCTCTCAACGAGCTCTCGGAGCCGCGAAGTGGCGAAATCTCGAGGCGGGCGCTGGAGCGTGACGTGCAGATCCCCAAGCTTCTCCAATGCCTCCAACCTACGCTCGATAAGACGTAGGCTCTCCGACGCTTGAGGAAAACCAAAGGAGGTTGAGGAAACAAAAATGCCAAGTAGAATCTTCAGCTGCGCCCTCAAAATGTCTAAACATGGGCCCAGAAAAAGAAAAACAAGACAAGAACAACAAATCATGACACACAAAAACAAGAGAAAGGAGCTCAGTGAACCCCTGAAAGTATTGCAAATGCGTGTAGGAAGATGCCACAATTCGCCATTTTGGTTGGGCTCAGGCCTCCGGCTTAAAAAAACAACAATCCAATTGCTTAAGCCCAATGAAAGAAAATACAAATATGTCCAGTAGTGATCGCTTCTTTTTAGACCAACAGAGGAAAATGAATCAAACAAAAACTAATCTTGAACAAATGGAAGAAACCAGGAAACCACCCCCCACCACCCCCACTCCGGACGAAAAAAAGGGCCCCCTCTCTTAGCGTGGGGTTCCCGGCTTCTTGACCCAAAACTTAAAGGGGACAAAACTTCGCATGGGGAACCCCCCAGCGTGGTCTCGGTTTGCCATCGAGTGCAGTGGTCAACCAAAAGTCCAAACCATTTATGCGCCTACACCCTCAAACTACCCTTCAAAAAGGCGACTCAGCCAATACTTTTGGGGCAATAACCAATTTCTAAGTGTAGTTTGAGGGTCCAGGTGCCACTAATACGGAACCAAACCCACGTGACATGTCAGTCCGAAACGGAACTCAGCTTCCATTTGCTTGTTCGCCCCCCGCAAAAAGAACATATGTCCGCGATACACTCCCTTGAAAACCCAACCAGGGAGAACAACACCTTCAGCCAAATGGAAGAGACACTCAGGCACCAAACGCCCACCCCTATAAGCTCCATCCCTTTTAAGAAGGTTTCCTTGGGATCGGATCCAACCAAAACGGCTGAATCACGCCCCCAAATCCGTGCTCTGCGCCCCGACGCCTCCTCTGCTGCTCCGCCTTGCGCTGCTCCATCGCCCGCTGCACCTGGTTCCAAGAAGAAGCCCATGGCCCTTGAGGTTGAATCCCATCGTTCAGATTTCCTGGGCTGTCCTTGCATTCGTCCTTCTCAGTGGGAACGAAAAGCTACGTTTTGCTGCTGCAAAAAAAAACCAGAAGCCGCAGGAAACACCGGAAGAGCAGTCGAGTTTGTTGAAGCGCCTGTTGTTGGCACGCCCACTCGTCAATTAGCTTCAGGGTGGCTTTCTGGCAGTGCCCATCTCCCCACATGGGTTGTACCTCATCGGAGTTTGCCCTCGGACCGTGGAGCCCACAAGGCAAACCGGGGGTGCCAGTAGGTTCCCTTTTGGGGGACCGCAACTCTCACTTCCGATAGAGTTCCCATATTTTTCTTACTCAAGTCCAGGATTGAGGAAGTTATGTCTCTCTCTCTCTCTCATCAGCAGGAAGCCAGTGTGGCAACGACAAGGGACCAGGGCTGTGGGAAATGAAATCCGCTTCTGTAATACAACAAAAGGGCTTCCCAAAGATTATAACCTCCCATACAAAGAGGGAGATTCCCTTGTATCAAGTGGGGATAAACCCTGAGTGATCCCCACAGCCCCGCTAGGGGTGAAAAGGAAGGACATCAAACGAACTTACGTTTCTCACCTCCTGGAAAGAGCCGCGTCGTTTGCCTCCCCATTGGGCGGAACCCTTGCCGATTTGCAAGTGGTTGGATAAACCCCTTGTCATCCCCACAGCCCTGCTACTGTGGATGGACGAAATCCTGCACCACTTTGTGCATGGTTGAAACCACCGTTTGTTGGTATTTACGTTGGGGAATCCTCAGAATCCCACGGGTTTCTTAGGTGCGAAATGGTCTTCGCGCGTCCACGGTAGGGAAACCAACTTGCCGCTTGGGCGATGTCTGGCCTCCAGCCTGGCCAAGTCCCTCTGCTCCTCGTGCTCGCGGGTGAGCCGCTGCTTGTCCTGGCGCAACAGCGGAGTCTGGATGCGTCAGGAGGACGCCACGGGGTCCAAGGGAAAGTCAGGAAGCCATGTCAAGACTCATCTGGCTGAGTTGGCCCAAAACAAGCCCAAACTGTTCAATTTTTCCGCTCAAATGGTCTTCCCACAAAGTTTAAAGTGCACGAACTCAGGAAGTGAGAAGATATAGGAATTTGGACCCCAATCGTGGTTATAGAGATTGAGACCCCGATGCTTGGTAGGGATTTGGACCCCCATACTTGGTCTCATCTGGTTTCCTGTTGAACCAATCTAACAAAGCGTGCCGCATTTGGTGTCTGTTTTGGAATTTGTGAGAAACTAACAAGCAAGGTACCGAGCCTCAAGAACCCACCTATGTGAGCTTTTGTTTTTGTTCGGGCCCACAACAGCTCAACAGTGCTGGATCACTTTTGGGGCTGCCTTTGATTTTATAGGTACTCTGATTTGTGGAAAAACGTACCCACCATGACCACACCGCGCAGCTTGGCAGGCCCAAACCGCGACAGGACGATGTGTGCTTCGACGCCAATGCCCCAACATCCCCAACGTTAGGGGAACCCAGCCCGGTGGATCCATTTACCTATGCAGTAGGTAACCACGGCAACCACTCATCAGACATGTCCACCCTTTGCATGGGAATAACGGGGGTGTTCACCCTTCGCATGAGAGGGGACCTCCTCATTCTCCTTGGAACTCAGGGAGCGGCCGGACTGAGGCCAAGGGAGCACCCATCTAGGCCCATAAAAACACAGAAACGTAAACAACATAAAAACAAACAAAATGGAGAACCCATTTAGTCCTTCTTGTCCTTTATAGAATAAGTACGCAAATAAACAAGTAAACAAATAGGTTCACATAATATATATATATATATTCTTCCCCGGCACAAAAGAAGGGAAACAAGAACCACGCAACACGTGGCACAAAAGATCGGTGAGCCGCGCGCGTCTGGCCTCCCAGGTTTGCTTCATGAAGTCCTCCAGCGCCTCGATCTCCGCGCGGTGCTGGGCCTCCAACTCCTCTCGGCCCTGCGCTCGGAGGCCTTTTGGAATGGATGGATGGCCCTTGGAACAAACCCCATCTGAAGACAACGTTGAAACCAATGGACAGGTTCCAATACACCCATTCGGATTTTTTTGTTGTTTGTTTCTTCTTCTTTTTTTTCCTCGAAAAACTCCACCGAAGACCCTCGCGACCCAAACTCCAGGTCTAAACCATGGCACTGGTTTAGATGGCCTGGTAGATGGCCCTCAATGCCATCGATTTTTCACTCCCGGCCCTGGCCTCTAGGGGCCTTCGCCCGGTTTTCCACGTGCTTTCTCAGCGCTTTTGGAGGGTGCCTTTGGTCTTCCAGGTGTGTTTGCTTCGGCGTTTTTAAGGAGCCTTCAAAAGGAAAGGCGGTCACCTGGTGGCTGTCCACGTGTTTTTCTTCAGGTTTGGAAGGGGGGGTCCCATGAACATCAACTTGTTTTGCGAACTTGATTTTGGGTGGTTTGCCGCGTCTCGTTTGTTTTGGGCTTTGGGATGGTTCCCATCAACCTGTGACGGGCACCCGCTTCTATTTCCATTGCCCTTCAATGGGTAGCTCAAGCCTTTTGACCCTCCATGTCAGTTTTGCAAGGGTACTCCTGCAATGTGAATCCCGGATTCAGGGGATGGGGGCCCCTCAATCCAGGGTTTATTCATACGGGGTGTTTTCCAGATGCTCGCCATTCGCGCATACGGCCCTGTCCGGAAATCAGCCGTGTCGGAACCCGAAATCTCGTAGGTGTGTCTTTTTTCAAGGGACCCCCCGAAAATGGGTGGTTTCCTTTTGGTCTCACAGGAAGAGACACCCAAATGCACGGGAGACCCGCGGAGTGTTTCCCTGCAAGTGCCACCTGGTGGGGTCCGAGTCCGAGTGAAAAGGTTGGACAACTGCGGCGGTTCCGGCTTATTGTGAAAAAACACCACCCTCCCCGTAGAACCATTCCCATCTCATCAAAATGCATCGCGCTTTTCCCCCTACTTGTTCTTGTTTTTGCCCCCGTTTCCCCCGTTTCCCCGCCCCCCCCCGTTTGTTTTTTCTTGTTTGTCGCTCGCTTCTGCTCTAGGGCTTCCGTTCAGTGGATCGGCCTCTGCGGACTTCCGGAGTTCCTCGACCTGCGGTCGACGTGAGCTCTGGTCATGGGAGGCGGGGTTGGGCCCCACCATTCAAATTCGTCTTCATAAGGGAAACGGAGCCAGAAATGAGAAAAACTCCCAAAAATCGAAAGATTTCGACGCCTGAACTTGAACGCTGGCCAGTGGGCCTTCTAAATCCCCCCCCCCCAAAAAAAAGAGGCAGGTGGGGGAAAAGTCCGGAAACCGAGCCAGAAATTAGAAAACGGGGTCGAAAATGGTCGAAATCCATTTCCCCCTCCCCCAATTCCATAGAGCCATAATTAGGGTGGGGATGCGGGATAAAAGGCAGTGGGAATCACGATGTGCCCCTTTAGGTGACCCAAGCATAAACACTCAAGTCGCCGGGCAAACATACTCACTACGGCACATCACTTACATGGTTGGGGCAACAAACGGATGGCACGGCCAAATGAAAAGGAACCAAACTGAAACCGGTGGAACCCATCCGTTTGGGTTGCTCAACAAAGAGATCCGTTTTGGTGGGGCCAAATCAGACGGAACGAGGGGTCCCTAATTCTCACTTGCGCAAAGGACCTGAAAATAGAAGGTCGATCTTTTGGGACCTTGACTAAACCTGGACCAAAATGGGCAAACCAAAAGGTTAAAAGTATAGAACAGGTTAAACAACCGGGAAGGGTCACAAATGAACCCTGTACTCAGCGCGCTTTTTCCTTGAGCCATACGCAGTCGTAATGATGAGACTGCGTAAGTGAGACATTCATGCATTGGGGTTTTACATGGTTGATAAATACATCACGTTACAAACTACACCCCCCGTGCCCGACTGTGAAACAGGAGGACAAATGAAAGGGATGAAACAACCAAAGAAACCCGATCGGCATGAAGTCCTTTTGCAGTACACAAGCACTTGGATTCGAGCAACCGGCAGCTAAGGTCTTCCGCCTCCACTGACCGTCGCTCTCGCGAGGCGTGCTCATGCACTGTACATTGATCCTCGGCCAACATGGATTGAGAAGTATAATGAATATTGAATTTGAAATGTAAATGGATGTCAGCCGAAGATTGAAAAGATTGTTGAAGAGATCGCTCATTCATCGCCAATCCCAATTGCGGGAGCTCTTCCACGGACGCTGATCATCAGACCACCACGAGTCCCAGGATTGGCCCCAGCTTCCCCAGTACGACTGGCTCCATTGACGATCTTGCCATTGGCCACCGGTCTCCCGGAGCTGCGGAATGGGCTTGCGCGTCACACCGACAACTGCAGGGAGCGGGGTGGCTCGTCCAGGGATCTCGATGCCGGGGATCTCCTCTTCGACGAAGCAAAGCAACTCAACCAATACCATTTCGGGGTCTCCCACAGACGAGAAATCCCGGGTCCAGCCCATCACGGGGTAGCGGTCGCTCTTGTCAAGGCTTCCATACAATGCAGCAAATTGTTCTGGTTCCAGAAATCTGCCACTATGCACCACATACACGTCCTTCGGATCAACCTCCTGCACGTCCTCCGTTGGCGGCACCAGCGTTAGCCGTGCGTGATATTTCGGCACAGCAACGCTTCCTTGGATCATTTCCTTGGTTCTCCCGAAACTCGGAATAATACATCGTGCCACAATCTCGATAAACTCGAGGGCGGACGGCGTCAGGTCTCCCCGCGGGGTCATTGATCAGCCTCTCGTACAACGTGGTGTACTCCTTGTTGCGAAGAACTGCTTTCTTGGCGATGTCCTTCATGATCCCGAGGCCCCCTCTTGCGCTTCGATCCCCTCGCGCATCCTTCCGCTGCGTCAAGATCTGAGTCTCAACCTGGTCCATGGAAAGCGGCACGCCCAAGCTGTTGGCCATCTCCTGCAATCGGACGACCCTGGCTATTTTCTTGATATCGGGCATGCGCTCCATGAGACGGTCACACTGGAAACAGTTGATGGTGCCGACCGGGATGAGGATTTTGCAGCGCGGGCACTCAACGTCGGGGATGTGCATGACCTCCGCGAAGCGCCAGTTGGTCGACTTCTGCTTGTTGGGATCCAAGTCCTGCCACAAACCACTCCGGCCTCGGGTTTCCCCGGGCTGCTGCGTCACAGCTCGGGCCCAGTTTCTGTAGAGGCCATAGCGGGCGGTCTCGAATTCAAGCGCGACCTGCTCTTCCTTCGGGAGGTTCTCGTCGTAAATGCCCCTGACCTTCGTCACATTGCCAATGCGGTGGGGCCGCGTCATGTCGCGGCACGCCGTCGGGGCCCACTGTTTGTAATAGAGCTTACACTCCTTCTCTGCCTTCGCCATGAACGACTCCAGCACTGGGGTCCCGACAACGCCCTTCTGGGTCTCTTCCCGATACTTCTTGACGCTGTCCTGGTAATTCCGTCTGACGCTGACATACATCCGGTTAGACCAGATAAACTTTGCACATTCAGCGTCATAGGCGTAAATGAGGACCTTGTTCGTGATCCAATCCTCCGTCACCAGGGCTTCCCTGTCTCCGGGTGCGTACAGCCGACATCCCAATTGGATCAACATCTCCACATCGACAGCGATGTTGATGGGTCGGTCAGCACGCGCACCCCCCGCCTTCCGGCCATGCCTGTCCCAAGGAGGCACTACCGTTAGGGAGGCGTGACCACGCGAGGTTTGCCGGTCTCCCATTCCGCCCGGAAAGATGCCCATGTAGATGATGTCAAAGAAATTCTGCATGTTGCACGTGTGGTAGGCGATTTTGGGCAGCGCCTTTCGGCGTGCGTCCGAGAAATCTTTGCAGAAGCCCGGTCGCACACCCTTCTTTGCGTGCTCAATGGTGTAATTGACATCCATTGCAATGGGATCTCCAGGAATATTGTCAAAGCCGCTGGCCTCGGTCACCCAATCGTTGTGGCCGGTGAACGCGCGAATGCGTAGCGGCATGAAACTGAGCCCGTTCCATTGCTGCCCGGCCGGCGCGTACTCGACATAGACCTCGAACCGATTCGATGTGGACGTGGCCTGAAGAAGAGTGTATTGGGTGCAGTTCCAGTCATATCGTCGTTGGATCCATTTGGCGACGGCTGCGTAGTCGAAGGAGTTGTCCTTGAGATTGATCTCAGGGATGGATCGCGTCGCATGTTCGTGGGCATGTCCGCGAACCAAATACGACACCTTCTTGCTCAAGAACGTCCTTCTGCCATAGTTCTGGATCTGGGGAATCTTGATTCCTGAGCATTTGATCCACTCCCTCTTGGGTTCAGCAGCCTGGCCACGGGTCTCCCCGGGCTTTCCAGCAGCTTTGGAAACTGCCTTCGCCTTGGGGATGATCTCCGGGCCACGGATCTCTCCGGGCTGAGTCTTGCTGGTCCCAGCCACGGACGCCTGATCGCTGGATGAGGCAGCCTGCATTGGCATTGCCTTTGATTTCACCTTTGGTGTCGCAGCACTGAGAGCTGCAGTCATTTTGTTATGACTTTTCCGCTTGGAAGTGAGGATGAGCTTGATTTGGCCGTCCTCACCAATGTCATTCGGATCCACTGCGGCAACCTCAACGGCCTGGCCTTTCGGCCGGCTGACCTTAGGCTGAGAGCCAGGGGGCAGGTCGAAGCTGATCAGGTCCTCCTCATCCGAAGAAGAAGACCAATCGATCACATCGTTGAGGCCGCTGACGGTCGCCGCGTGAATGTCGGGTTGCATCATCTGTAAGATCTTTGCTTCCTCCTTGACGGTGTCAAGGGGGTAGAGGGGGTTTGCCTCCTTTTCAGTCTCCAGGAAAATCTCGCGCTTCGGCTCTTGCGCGGCGATTTCGTTGATCGCCTCCAACTCCCTCTCACGGACCTCATTGTCGAAAGGGTCCTCAGGGTTCTTTGCAATTGCCGGACCGCCAGTTTCCTGGGGTGTAGCGCCAACGATCGGGATAGATGTGTCAATGTTCATGTATTCCCTTTCGAGGCGGTACCAATTCATCGCCATTTCGAAGCGGTTGATTTGGCCAATGCAGTACCCGAGCTTGGCGGCGGCCACATAATAATTGATGTAGTGCTTCCTGTTCCGCTCGGTGTCATCGGTGTGGATGCGGTCAGCTCGAGACGTGTTGGATATGAGAGTCTGGGGGTCGAGGACGGTGATTCCCGCGGAACCATGCAACAAACGAGCATGCCCGTCCATCTGAGTCTTGTAAGATTCACTCAGTCCATACGTCTCATAGTCCCTCGGCACGATGAGGACGACCTGGACGACGTCTTCCCGAAAAGCAATATGGCGTAGCCGATCACGGACAGTCATCACCGCTCGGGCATTCCTTTCGATGATGTCCATCGCAGCCTTCCGCTTTGCCTCGGAATCAGTGGCCCAGCCCGCTAGGGCGGCGGGGTTGTCGATGTAACCGTTACGACCGACAACGTCATTCCCGGACCACGAGATCACGATGACGTACGGCCGGGGCTCAGGCCTTTTGGCGAGCTTTAGCATTGCCCGCTCAGCAGCGTCAAGAGATTCTGCTAGTCCTTTGCCCCATGTCATTTCGGACCAAACCCCGTGCTTGTGCCCAAAGAGCGTCCGCTTATTCTCCTTGAGGATGGTGCCAACATCTGTCTTTGCTCCATCTTTGACCAACGCATTGAAGGAGTCGCCGAAAAACAGATAGTTGACCGCGGGTTTCCCCGGGCAGAAGAGGATATCGAAAGCCTCAGCCGGAGCCTCTTTGAGAATTCCCGCAGTACCTGTCAACGATGACATGGCGTTCTTGGCGAGAGCCAGCGCATCGGTACGTTCACTCATCTTGGCAAGGTCGACACCGGAGTTCACGTCCTTGACGATGAATGATTGAGTTGCCGCATCACGGAACATGTGACCAAGCCTCTCGGTTGGCGACGCGCAGCTCGTCGGGGATGACCTCGGCCTTCACCTTCCCATCGTGCAGGATGTAGTCCGAGCCGTAGTCAACTCGAGCAAGCGGCACATCTTTGTAGTGCCTCTCGGAGAATGCCGAGCGTACCGTCTTCAAGGCCTTCTCCACGGGCAGTGCTTCAGCCATGGTCGCGACAAGTATACGTGTTTCA